ACAGAGCACAGGGTCAGGACACAGGGACAGAGCACAGGGTCAGGACACAGGGACAGAGCACAGGGTCAGAACACAGGGTCAGAGCACAGGGTCAGAGCACAGGGTCAGGACACAGGGACAGAGCACAGGGACAGAGCACAGGGTCAGGACACAGGGTCAGAGCACAGGGTCAGAGCACAGGGTGTCCGTGTAAGTACTGTTTAAACAGCTCAAATAAAGTAAAGTAAAGAGACCACTGAGACCAGAGACCAGTCCAGTGAGACCAGAGACCAGTCACTGAGACCAGAGACCAGTCCACTGAGACCAGAGACCACTGAGACCACAGACCAGTCCACTGAGACCAGAGACCACTGAGACCACAGACCAGTCCAGTGAGACCAGAGACCACTGAGACCGCAGACCAGTCCAGTGAGACCTCAGACCAGTCCACTGAGACCAGAGACCACTGAGACCACAGACCAGTCCAGTGAGACCAGACCAGTCCACTGAGACCAGAGACCACTGAGACCACAGACCAGTCCAGTGAGACCTCAGACCAGTCCACTGAGACCACAGACCAGTCCAGTGAGACCACAGACCAGTCCACTGAGACCTCAGACCAGTCCAGTGAGACCAGAGACCACTGAGACCACAGACCAGTCCAGTGAGACCTCAGACCAGTCCACTGAGACCAGAGACCACTGAGACCACAGACCAGTCCACTGAGACCACAGACCAGTCCACTGAGACCTCAGACCAGTCCAGTGAGACCTCAGACCAGTCCACTGAGACCACAGACCAGTCCAGTGAGACCTCAGACCAGTCCAGTGAGACCTCAGACCAGTCCACTGAGACCTCAGACCAGTCCACTGAGACCTCAGACCAGTCCACTGAGACCTCAGACCAGTCCACTGAGACCTCAGACCAGTTCACTGAGACCACAGACCAGTCCAGTGAGACCTCAGACCAGTCCACTGAGACCTCAGACCAGTTCACTGAGACCACAGACCAGTTCACTGAGACCACAGACCAGTCCACTGAGACCACAGACCAGTCCAGTGAGACCACAGACCAGTCCACTGAGACCACAGACCAGTCCACTGAGACCTCAGACCAGTCCACTGAGACCTCAGACCAGTCCACTGAGACCTCAGACCAGTCCACTGAGACCACAGACCAGTCCACTGAGACCTCAGACCAGTCCACTGAGACCTCAGACCAGTCCAGTGAGACCTCAGACCAGTCCACTGAGACCTCAGACCAGTCCACTGAGACCTCAGACCAGTCCACTGAGACCTCAGACCAGTCCAGTGAGACCTCAGACCAGTCCACTGAGACCTCAGACCAGTCCACTGAGACCTCAGACCAGTCCACTGAGACCTCAGACCAGTCCAGTGAGTCCTCAGACCAGTCCAGTGAGACCTCAGACATCGAGCCCAGAAAGACTCAGCGACATCGTCTGTTCAAACAAATCCAGATCAACAATACTGTTTCTTTTCTCCTTCAAAAAGACCAATCAGAATGCTCCTAGACCATGTCCAGGCTTCATGGTCTCAGTCAGTGATACCATGAACCATGAACATGAACCAGGAACCATGTGGACTTTGGAGAAACACAACTGCTCCAGTTGTGCCTGAAGAGTGTGTGTGGATTTCCCGCCCTCGGAGCTTATGTAACGTTTGAGAAAAGCACAACACACAGACACAGACACACACACACACACACACACACACAGTCGCACACACACACACACACACAGACAGTCGCACACACACACAGACACAGACACACACACACACACACACACACACACACACACACACACACACACAGTCGCACACACACACACACACACACACACACACACAGACACACACCAGTAACTGGAAATGTATAATATAATTAAATTATACTTGTGGTGTTTGTTTACTTATGTACAATGAATATATATATAAATAATAATATATATATAAATGTATACATATATATATATTATAATATATATAAATGTATGTATATATATTATAATATATATAAATGAATGTATATATATATTATAATATATAAATGTATGTATATATATATATTATAATATATATATATGTATGTATATATGTATATAGTATATATTATATAAGCAGGTGGTGAGGGCGGTCCACAGTAAAAGTCAGAGTTATGTAACAGACACTGCTCATATAGAATGTTTCTGCTCCATCCTCAACAACTGTGTACAATACACCAGGACCAGGACCAGACCAGACCAGGACCGGACCAGGACCGGACCAGGACCGGACCAGGACCAGACCAGGACCAGACCAGGACCAGGACCAGGACCAGACCAGGACCAGACCAGGACCAGACCAGGACCAGGACCAGGGCCAGACCAGGACCAGACCAGGACCAGACCAGGACCAGACCAGACCAGGACCTGCTGATGTCACAATATGTTTGAATGTGAACCATGTCCATCATCAGGTGGTTCCCTGATGACACTGCAGCAGAAAGCATCAGTTAAACAGTTCTCTGATGCAAACAGATAAATCTCATGTTCCTCTGGAGCCGCTCTGAGCAACAACCATCTACTCACTCTGACTCTGGGGGAACAAGGAGAACATGCAAACAGCAGCAGCAGCAGCAGCAGCAGCAGCAGCAGCAGCAGGGGCGTGTGCGCAGAGGGCGTGTGCGTAAATTCCGCTGTCAGTTCCACAGCACCTGGTTCTCCTTCAGTCACTGAAGCCACAGATGTTGCGTAATCACGTCTGAACACAAAGGGGCCGTGCACGCGCCTCAGCAGCACATAGGTTCGAGTCCCATGTAAACAGACACGACACCAGGGGTCTGAAAGCTACATACACACTATCACGAAAGACCAGGAACAAACCAATGCTGTTACTACCATGTGCACTAACCCTGGTAATACCATGTGCACTAACACTGGTAATACCATGTGCACTAACACTGGTAATACCATGTGCACTAACCCTGGTAATACCATGTGCACTAACCCTGGTAATACCATGTGCACTAACACTGGTAATACCATGTGCACTAACCCTGGTAATACCATGTGCACTAACCCTGGTAATACCATGTGCACTAACACTGGTAATACCATGTGCACTAACACTGGTATATCTACAAACATGATCCGAGTGTCTGTCTGTTGTCTCTCACTGGACAGTTTCGCAACATGGAGCCGCGCAGGAGCCGCGCAGGAGCCGCGCAGGAGCCGCGCAGGGGGCGGGGAGGGGGGGCTGTGGTTCTTCCAAAAACCTCAAAACAAAACAGCGCGCGCACTCACCACAAACTGTCAAATGGATTCGAACACGAGAATTGTTCGAATCGAATACGACCAAGGCGCGCGCTCACCTGATTTGCTCGGCGCTTCTCGGACGTCTTCTTTCTGCACTTGGGTGATGACACTTTCCATTTGCAAACCACGGAGCCCCCGAAGAAATCCTCAAATCGTGACCTCGGCTTGTTTTGGGCATCCCTCATCGGCTTCAGACCCCTCACTCAATATTCACCGAGTCATGAGCCACAGCAGCCTGCGCCAAAGCCGTGCGTAAAAACCAAACCCGTGCGTAATGGCGCGCGATGGTTCGGTGTTTTCTCCGACGGATGCGTGGGTTTGTAGTGTCGGGGGGCTGCGGGGCTCTGGGGGCGGTGTGTCGGTGTCGAGGCCCGGGTCTGGACGCGTCTCTCGGGCCGCGGCTCCTGACGCGCTCACAACATGGAGTGTCCAGGCGAGAGCGAAAACAACCTGAGAAATGGGGCAAGGGGGCGGCCGGTTTCAAGGCTCCCCTTTACTACACATAAACAACATCGTCGAATCGGTTAAAGCGCGTGGTAAAAGACCGCGATGATCGGTTTTTCGAGCGTGATCCCGTGTTTACCGACGATCTGGCGACTGAGATTTGATTCGCGGAGTTTAGTTGGTGGTGATCGTTGGGTTTGTTTTTCAATCGCTGAGACTCCGGGGGCGCCTGGAAACGGTTGCTGCGCCGTGATTGGTGGAGAGCGGGGAAGTGGGCGGAATCCGGGCATTCCTCCAGCGGTGTTTCTGCAGAGATGGAGCTGCGCGGAGAAGCCCCCGCTCACAGGCTGCTCTGTTCTCTTTGGACAAACTCTCTGGTTTTATTGGACGAGCTCGAATCAGCAGAATGATTGACAGTTGGGAGGACCAATAAGATTAACTTTATTGATCACTCAGTGGATGTACATGTGACATCACAGACAGAATCACTCTAAAAGACATGAAACATGTAAACACAGGTCTTGAGTGAGTGTATAGTTCCTCTCAGGGCTGTGGGCTCAAGGACTAGAGGAGCTCAGAACGGGAACTGTCAGATCCCGAAATGAAATACTTCATTTGGACAATCAGCTTTTTCCGTACAAGGCACTAAAGCCTGGAACTGTTTACCCACTGACCTGAAGGGAGAGTCAAACTGGGTCCCTTTCAAACACGAACTTAAAGACTCTTTAATCAGAGGTCAGAAATGTGACCACTGACCGTCTGCTCTGTTGTGTTTGTGTTGTACTGTATTATGATATGTGTTTTAATTATGTTTTAACCATGTATTGTTTATTTTTTATGTAAAGGCCCAACTAGGGACGGACATTGAGAATTAGCTTTGGCTAAAATGTTGTAGTATGTAACATGAGCTTATGTGACATACTTGTCCCTATTCAAATAAACTTAAATAAAAAAAAATATATATATAGTCTCAAGATATTTCATGGACACCTGAAAGTCCTCTACCTCCAAAGTGGTTCTGGGTCCAAAGTGGTTCTTGTTCATTTATCTTCTGCTCCTACTGTTCTGTGACGTTGCAACACTGACATTTCCCCACAGTGGGTCATATAAAGGACCTCTTCATCTTCATCTTCATCATATGTTAAGATAAACATTGGGATTGTTCTGTAGTGATGTGTGTATGTGAAGCCCTGGGTCCTGTGGGTGCGGTCCTGGTGCTGCAGCTTCAGCACAAACACGATGAGACGTGATCGCAGCGTTTGGACGAGATCAGAGAGAACGAGAAACTATCCTGAAGAAGAGAGTGGGGCCGAGGGTCTCCGTAATGTTTACAGTCTACGGTCAGGACAGACACACGCACACACACACGCACACACACACACACACACACACACACACACACACACGAGGGGCGGAACCAGCTTCACCGTGACAACTGTGGGAAGGACAGTTTATACAGAGACACAGACATGTCACCAAACATCAGAAATATCCACAGTTCATTAAAAAAGATTAAATCCTTCAGTTGTTGCAGAAACAGAACTGTTTTCCCCTGGATTTGAACATCAGAGAAGAAGAAGTCTGTCTCACATTTTCAGGAAGACTGTTTAGTCCTGACTCTGGAACCAGCAGGAGGCCAGTCCCTGTGCTCCTCAGAGTCCCAGCAGGAGTCCAGTCCCTGTGCTCCTCAGAGTCCCAGCAGGAGTCCAGTCCCTGTGCTCCTCAGAGTCCCAGCAGGAGGCCAGTCCCTGTGCTCCTCAGAGTCCCAGCAGGAGTCCAGTCCCTGTGCTCCTCAGAGTCCCAGCAGGAGTCCAGTCCCTGTGCTCCTCAGAGTCCCAGCAGGAGGCCAGTCCCTGTGCTCCTCAGAGTCCCAGCAGGAGTCCAGTCCCTGTGCTCCTCAGAGTCCCAGCAGGAGTCCAGTCCCTGTGCTCCTCAGAGTCCCAGCAGGAGTCCAGTCCCTGTGCTCCTCAGAGTCCCAGCAGGAGTCCAGTCCCTGTGCTCCTCAGAGTCCCAGCAGGAGGCCAGTCCCTGTGCTCCTCAGAGTCCCAGCAGGAGTCCAGTCCCTGTGCTCCTCAGAGTCCCAGCAGGAGTCCAGTCCCTGTGCTCCTCAGAGGCCCAGCAGGAGTCCAGTCCCTGTGCTCCTCAGAGTCCCTAAACTTTTATTTCAAATGGTCACACACACACATACACGTTTTTGTTACCTGGTGGGTCCGTTTGACAGGGCCGTTCAGAATGGGACCCATAGACATAATCTTTTTTTACTGGGACTACTTTAAGTAATACAAAACAGTCAATAGAAACCAAACAACTATTTTAAAAGAATTTTATTTTAGATTTTGTTTTCGAATTGCAGTGATTCTATTTTTGACATAGAATTTAATGCCACTCCATGTCCGATGTCTAAGGTCATCTGGTGAGGCATTAATGCAGGCCAGGCCAGGCCAGGCCAGGCAGTGAGACTTCCCAGGGACCTTTCCAGTCTGTATGAAAGGTGTCATGGTCTTCTCCACAGCCTTCACCTCAGATGCAGACCATGGCTTTCTCTAACGTTCTAGGGAGAGAAATAAAAATATATTAGCAATATACACTCCCAGGGTGAGGACCAAGCAGCCTGGCTGTAATCCCCCACCTGGTACACTTACCAGAAGGGGCACTGCCACTACCATGGGGTGCATCTGGATGAATGGTTGAAGGTTCTCCGCTTGAAGTTTCTTTTAGCCCGTCCGTTTGTGAGAGGATCTCTACTGCTCTCCCTGTCGCACAGAAAATAAAAATACAAGTGGCCTTTAGGGGAAAAAAATCATACATATTTTAATAATATCAAGAATTACCTTCAGGCTCAATTTGTATCTGGTCGAGGCTCTTTCCTTCGAATTCCGTCACTCTTCCCTGCTCCATGGCCATCAACACTTTGCTGATTTTGGCCAGCTCCAGTGTCCCCTCTGGTAGTCTGTAATATTGCCTGTGGATGCGAATGTCATGGCCGAGGAAGTTGGCAAGTATGTCCATCTCATTCTCTTTCATATTGAGAACTGTAGACATAGTAGCTATGTGCTTTCTAAGTTTGGTTGAGGATAGCATCTCTGGATGCACCGCACCACATTCTTTGGCTACCTGGCGTAGGGAGTCTGATCCCCTGATGTGGGTGTCTGCGCCCGGGCGGGAAAAGAAGTATGGGTTATGGTCAGAGATGGAACAGGCCCTTCTGTTCTCCACCAGCACCTCCATCGAAGCAATCATTTCAGGAGTCAAAAGAACCGGCACTTTCCGACTTCTTTTCCCTTTAATTTCAATGCGTTGAAAATGCTGACACAGCTTTTTCTCAAGTTGGGACAGTCCCAGAGCAATGTCAGAATGGATCCCAGTCTTACTTCTTAAGGTAAAGGCTGTCAGTGGCATCTTTGAAACCTCACCTTCCCTTCTTCGATTGAAAATGATGACCTCACAAAGAGTCAAAACTGCCAGTTTAGACCAATGCTTAGACGTTGGCTCACTTATTAGGGTTTGCACATATTCAGGTCGACATACCTCAATATGTGCATGCATGGCTCTAACGTCCTCAGTCAGAGGGAGCAGGTCCGGAGTGTTCCACTTGGCTTGCCGGAGGGTCTGTAGGGCAGCAGAAGAAACACAGACGTCCCACCTCTTCTCAAAAAGCAGCCGGCTTCGTTGGAGGTTTTTAATAAATAGTTCATCAACACAATGCTCCATTTTTGAGTCACATTCAAGAATATCTGCTAGCTTTCTGAGGCTATGGCCGAGTTTGAGGGCCAAGGATGGAGTCTTGTATTGATTTGTTTCCTCATCATATCCAGCCACAGACCTGACTGCATCAATCACATGGTTAAAGTTGGAAGGAATAAAGAAATCCTTAATTGTTTTCAGTTTCCCTGCGGTTTTTGCTTCGTTAATTAACCTACCGACTTCTCTCATTTTCTGCCTAATGTAATCATGCTTTGTCTTATCATGCCCGTGTTTTAAGTACAGGTGCTCTCCGAGTCTCAGAATCCCCTTTTCTGCTTTGACAACACCCGTGACCTCATCCTGATGCATTGCCGAAATTAAAGACCACAGCTTTTTGCTGATGCCCTCCGGTACAGGCTGGGCTAGGGAGCAGAGGGACTGGACCCTACTTCTACCTGGTTTAGCCTGGGCATCTTTCTGTGAAAGCCGGCACCTGGCCACATGCCTCCACAGCGACTTTCGCTTAAGCAATGCCCCACAGTCTATACAGTGCAAAAACTCACTGGATTTAACTGGGGAATTTGGCTGTTTAGCTGGGACTAAAGTTCCAATGCCGGCCTTTAAAACCTCAAAATTGTGCTCACGGTTTCCACTATTCCTGATCAAATCAAACTGAAGTTTACGTGCTTTAGATTTCACAGGTAGAGCCAATGCTCTGGCTACGTCACTTTCATTTCCATGTTTTCTAGTCAAATGACGGGACATTTTGTGGCAGGACATTGAACAGTAGAGGCAGAAGTGTCTCTTGCTGTAAACTCGCCCCCCATTTTTCTTCTTTTGCAGCTGCATGATAACAATCTTATTTGCCTTTGGTTCGTCACTTTCCGAGTCTTGAAGAAAAGTGTTTTTGATTTTTCTTTTTCCATACTTTTTTACAGGTTTCTTCTTGACAGTTAAATCGTCAGAATCTGAGTCGACTTCATCAATTAGGGACTCTTGACTAAGCTGCACAAACAACAAATAATTTGTAATCATTCTATATAACAATTTGAAGTCATGACTTGTAGTCAGCACTTACCAGTGGTTTGTAAGCGTGCGCTTCAGTGTGCTCCTCCATGATTTCTTGCAGCCTAATGAACCACACACTTGCACCTTTTTCTAGCCTGACACCTGATTTCCTCTGTTGTGCTGCTCCATGATTGGCTCCAGCCTCTGTTGGGCTGCTCCATGATTGGCTCCAGCCTCTGTTGTGCTGCTCCATGATTGGCTCCAGCCTCTGTTGTGCTGCTCCATGATTGGCTCCAGCCTCTGTTGTGCTGCTCCATGATTGGCTCCAGCCTGCTGGACTGAAATTGCCCCAGTGTGCCCCTCCTTGATATCCCGCAACCCACCACCAGGGTTCCGACACATAACACACTTTTTTCAGGAAAGTAAACCTCCAGGGGTCCTTTCCATATTTTTACAGAGACTGCATAAGGACCGTTAGAAAAGCATTACCCATTGATTATTAAGCTTGGACCAGTGGGGTCCGGTGTTCGGGCCCCACCACGTAAAACCAGTCCCCATGACGTGAGTGGAATCTCAGGTTATGGAACCCACCAGGAGTTGAAAACAAGTGCAGACACACAGACACACACAGACACACACACACACACACACAGACACACAGACACACAGACACACACAGACACACACACACACACACACAGACACACACCTTCTCTGACTCCCTCCAACACTTGAGGATAAAGATATTGGCGTAAATGTCCTCGACACAGATCCAGCTCGACAGAGACAGAGTGGTGTCGGTCCAGACCCAGTCCATCACCGCACGCAGCTCCGTCAGGAAGGGGACCATACGGAACCTAGCATGAAGCATGTTAGCATGAGGTATGTTAGCATGAGGTATGTTAGCATGAGGTATGTTAGCATGAAGCATGTTAGCATGAGGTATGTTAGCATGACCAAATGGTGGCAGTAATGAGCCACCGGAGGTTTTACAGCAGGAGAAGTAGCGAATAGCCAATAGCTGGCCTCCTTTTATGTCACATGCTTCGCGCACAGCTTCTCTTCAGCATACAGCAAGATGGCGGAGGCAAGCGGAGTAAGCTCGAGAAAAAAAAGGAAAAAAGCAGAAGACAAACCTAATCGAACGAAGTCATCCAAAGTGTGGGAGCACTTTACTTTGAACCTTCAAAAAAGAAGAGTAACCTGTAAACTCTGCGCTACTGACTTGGCCTGGCACGGGAGTACTACGTCTCTGCGTGAGCACCTTAAACCATCTCTCTGCAGTACTGACTGTTTGCAAAAGATGGCGCCACACTCACTGTTTTAGGCATAAAGTTGATCTTTCAAATAATTTGCACAAAGATGTAAAAAAAAAAAAACATTTATCAGTTTATCAACTTAAATAAGCCTTGTTCGGGATTTTAAACTACTTCAGAAGCCCTAAGGATTTTCATGGTGAAAACATTATTGGAAATCTCCTTGTGAAATTTGCTAGAGTATGTAACGGTCAGTGTTTTGTTTTGATGGTCAACATTGAGTTCACTAAAGGATTACAAAGACATAATAAACAGCTCCAGTTAAGTTTTTGATGTGGATATGAATATGTAAAATGGTTAAAATCTCTAAAAAGTCTATGTTGAATGATGAAGGCCCTTTGTTAACAATTTACTTGGAAAAAAATTGGCAAAACTAAAATATAAGTACATAAACCGATTAATCGATTAATCGTAAAAATAATCGCCTGATTAATCGATTATCTAAATAATCGTTAGTTGCAGCCCTAGTTGTGACTCTATGATGTCTGCTTGTTGTGACTCTATGACGTCTGCTTGTTGTGACTCTATGACGTCTGCTTGTTGTGACTCTATGATGTCTGCTTGTTGTGACTCTATGACGTCTGCTTGTTGTGACTCTATGATGTCTGCTTGTTGTGACTCTGTGATGTCTGCTTGTTGTGACTCTATGACGTCTGCTTGTTGTGACTCTATGTCTGCTTGTTGTGACTATGATGTCTGTTGTGACTATGATGTCTGTTGTGACTCTATGACGTCTGCTTGTTGTGACTCTGTGATGTCTGTTGTGACTCTATGACGTCTGCTTGTTGTAACTCTATGATGTCTGCTTGTTGTGACTCTATGACGTCTGATTGTTGTGACTCTATGATGTCTGTTGTGACTCTATGACGTCTGCTTGTTGTAACTCTATGATGTCTTCTTGTTGTGACTCTATGACGTCTGATTGTTGTGACTCTATGATGTCTGTTGTGACTCTATGACGTCTGCTTGTTGTAACTCTATGACGTCTGCTTGTTGTGACTCTATGACGTCTGCTTGTTGTGACTCTATGATGTCTGCTTGTTGTGACTCTATGATGTCTGCTTGTTGTGACTCTATGACGTCTGCTTGTTGTAACTCTATGGTGTCTGCTTGTTGTGACTCTATGACGTCTGCTTGTTGTAACTCTATGGTGTCTGCTTGTTGTGACTCTATGACGTCTGCTTGTTGTGACTCTATGATGTCTGCTTGTTGTGACTCTATGACGTCTGCTTGTTGTGACTCTATGATGTCTGTTGTGACTCTATGTCTGTTGTGACTCTATGATGTCTGTTGTGACTCTATGATGTCTGCTTGTTGTGACTCTATGACGTCTGCTTGTTGTGACTCTATGATGTCTGCTTGTTGTGACTCTATGATGTCTGTTGTGACTCTATGATGTCTGTTGTGACTCTATGATGTCTGTTGTGACTCTATGATGTCTGTTGTGACTCTATGATGTCTGTTGTGACTCTATGATGTCTGTTGTGACTCTATGATGTCACCTCCTTTGCCTCCTCGCAGCCGTGGTTCCAGGCGATAGACCAGTCCATGGTCCAGACTCTGGTCTTGTTCCAAAACTCGGCCATTACACACAACGTAGAAATCAGACAACAACGAAGAAGCCTGGACACAACACACAGGTCAGAGGTCATCAGCATCATGTGACTACAACACACAGGTCAGAGGTCATCAGGATCATGTGACTACAACACACAGGTCAGAGGTCATCAGGATCATGTGACTACAACACACAGGTCAGGTCATCACTGTAATAAAAGTACAATAGTAGTAGTAGCTAGTAACTTAGTAGTGTACATAGTATAGTAGCAGTGGTAGCTAGTAACGTAGCAGTAGTAATCTCTGCTCGCTCTGTTTGTAGCATTAGCATTAGCTCTCCGTTAGCTCCGCTGTTTTCTCTGGATCTCCGGCCCCGTTAACCCGCTCCCTCCGGCCCCGTTAGCCCGCTCCCTCCCGGGGTAAACCCACCACATCTCCGTCCCAGTGCTTCAGAATGTCCCCCGCCACAGAGCACCCATGGAGCGGCTTCAGTTTGAGTCCCAGCGCCTGAGAACAGACCCACGCCGACGCCATCTTGTCTGTGTCTGCGTGACGTCATCTCCTACTTCTTCTTGAGGATTTCCGGACTCCGCAATGCTGCCTTCAGTGGTCATGGTGATTATTGCACTTTCAAATCCCCTGATGAAGTCCATCCGGGCACCACAACCACAGCTCCTTTCCCCATTTTAAACAGAGACCGGTCTCTCTCTGGTCTCTCTCTCTGGTCTCTCTCTCTGGTCTCTCTCTGGTCTCTCTCTGGTCTCTCTCTCTGGTCTCTCTCTCTGGTCTCTTTCTCTGGTCTCTCTCTCTGGTCTCTCTCTCTGGTCTCTCTCTCTGGTCTCTCTCTCTGGTCTCTCTCTCTGGTCTCTCTCTGGTCTCTCTCTCTGGTCTCTCTCTCTGGTCTCTCTCTCTGGTCTCTCTCTGGTCTCTCTCTGGTCTCTCTCTGGTCTCTCTCTCTGGTCTCTCTCTCTGGTCTCTCTCTCTGATCTCTCTCTGGTCTCTCTCTCTGGTCTCTCTCTCTGGTCTCTCTCTCTGGTCTCTCTCTGGTCTCTCTCTGGTCTCTCTCTCTGGTCTCTCTCTCTGGTCTCTCTCTCTGGTCTCTCTCTCTGGTCTCTCTCTGGTCTCTCTGGTCTCTCTCTCTGGTCTCTCTCTGCTCTCTCTCTCTGGTCTCTCTCTGGTGGTCTCTCTCTCTGGTCTCTCTCTCTGGTCTCTCTCTCTGGTCTCTCTGGTCTCTCTCTCTGGTCTCTCTCTGGTCTCTCTCTCTGGTCTCTCTCTCTGGTCTCTCTCTCTGGTCTCTCTGGTCTCTCTCTCTGGTCTCTCTCTGGTCTCTCTCTCTGGTCTCTCTCTGGTCTCTCTCTGGTCTCTCTCTCTGGTCTCTCTCTGGTCTCTCTCTGGTCTCTCTCTGGTCTCTCTCTGGTCTCTCTCTGGTCTCTCTCTGGTCTCTCTCTCTGGTCTCTCTGGTCTCTCTCTCTGGTCTCTCTCTGGTCTCTCTCTCTGGTCTCTCTCTGGTCTCTCTCTGGTCTCTCTCTCTGGTCTCTCTCTGGTCTCTCTCTCTGGTCTCTCTCTGGTCTCTCTCTAGTCTCTCTCTGGTCTCTCTCTGGTCTCTCTGGTCTCTCTCTGGTCTCTCTGGTCTCTCTCTGGTCTCTCTCTGGTCTCTCTCTCTGGTCTCTCTCAGGGTTATGGTTGATCCATACAGTAAAAGCCTGCAGGTGGCGCTGTTGTTGCATTCATGAGCACCAGGAGAAGATGGCGTCTGCGTGTGCAGCGGTCAGACGGGTCCTCCTGCAGCGGGGGACGAGCGGAGCGAGCGCAGCTGAGAGGAGGCAGTGGCTTGGGTCTGAGTCTGGATCCGGGTCTGAGTCTGGATCCGGGTCTGAGTCTGGATCCGGGTCTGAGGCCAGGTCTGGGTCTGGGTTCGCCGCGTCACTGCAGCTCCAGGCCTCTCTCCGGGAGCAGGCTGAGCTCCAGGCCGGGCAGAGGCTCTCTCAGGGCGGATACACTTTCGCGTCGCTACTGCGGAGCTCTGCGCTGGTGCAGATGGGACCAGCGAAGGACAAGGTGAGGACTACAGGACCATGTGTGTGTACAGGACTATGTGTGTGTGTGTACAGGACCATGTGTGTGTGTACAGGACTATGTGTGTGTGTGTGTGTGTGTACAGGACCATGTGTGTGTGTGTGTGTGTGTGTACAGGACCATGTGTGTGTGTGTGTACAGGACCATGTGTGTGTGTGTGTGTGTGTGTACAGGACCATGTGTGTGTGTGTGTACAGGACCATGTGTGTGTGTGTACAGGACCATGTGTGTGTGTGTACAGGACCATGTGTGTGTGTGTACAAGACCATGTGTGTGTGTACAGGACCATGTGTGTGTGTGTACAAGACCATGTGTGTGTGTGTACAAGACCGTGTGTGTGTGTGTGTGTGTGTACAAGACCATGTGTGTGTGTGTACAAGACCATGTGTGTGTGTGTACAAGACCATGTGTGTGTGTGTGTACAAGACCATGTGTGTGTGTGTACAAGACCATGTGTGTGTGTACAAGACCATGTGTGTGTGTACAAGACCATGTGTGTGTGTGTACAAGACCATGTGTGTGTGTGTGTACAAGACCATGTGTGTGTGTGTGTACAGGACCATGTGTGTGTGTGTGTACAGGACTATGTGTGTGTGTGTGTACAGGACTATGTGTGTGTGTGTGTACAAGACCATGTGTGTGTGTGTGTACAGGACTGTGTGTGTGTGTACAGGACTATGTGTGTGTGTACAGGACCGTGTGTGTGTACAGGACCGTGTGTGTGTACAGGACTGTGTGTGTACAGGACCGTGTGTGTGTGTGTACAAGACCGTGTGTGTGTGTGTGTACAGGACTATGTGTGTGTGTACAGGACCGTGTGTGTGTGTGTACAGGACCGTGTGTGTGTGTGTACAGGACCATGTGTGTGTGTGTGTACAGGACCATGTGTGTGTGTGTGTACAGGACCATGTGTGTGTGTGTGTACAGGACCATGTGTGTGTGTGTGTACAGGACCATGTGTGTGTGTACAGGACCGTGTGTGTGTGTGTACAGGACCATGTGTGTACAGGACCATGTGTGTACAGGACCATGTGTGTGTGTACAGGACCATGTGTGTGTGTGTACAGGACCATGTGTGTGTGTGTACAGGACCATGTGTGTGTGTGTACAAGACCGTGTGTGTGTGTACAAGACCGTGTGTGTGTGTGTACAGGGCCGTGTGTGTGTGTGTGTGTACAGGGCCGTGTGTGTGTGTGTACAGGACCGTGTGTGTACGTGTGTACAGGACCGTGTGTGTACAGGACCGTGTGTGTGTGTGTACAGGACCATGTGTGTGTCAGGGACCCCTCTGATGGTCCCTGACTGTCCCTCTGATGGTCCCTCTGATGGTCCCTCCTCTGGTTCTGCAGGTGCTCTTGGCCCGTGTGCTGAAGGTCTCTGGGCAGGAACTCTTCGTGGACTTTGGAGGAAAGTTCTCTGCTGTGGTTCGCTCTCAGGACGTGGTTCCTCCCGGAGCCAGAGTCCGGGTCCGAGTCCAGGATCTGGAGCTGACGGCGCGCTTCGTGGGACACAACACCGACACCACGCTCCTGGAGGCCGAGGCCACACTGCTGGGACCAGAGGGGCCGAGACCAGGACTTAAGCAGGCCTAAAGCAGGCCTAAAGCAGGCCTAAAGCAGGACTAAAGCGGGACTAAACACTGCCCTCCTTCTGGGACCAGATGGACACCCCTCTCCTGGAATCTAAACCCAGGTCCAAAGTTGGTCTAAAGGACTAAACCAGGACTTGAAAAGTTCCAAACGTCTCCCACAGACTGCTGAAGGAGAAACTGGACTGGCTTTGGGCTCGAACTCAAATAAATGTGTGAAATGAAAACCATTGTGTCGTCCATGTTTGTAGTTCCTTATTGTGCCACCAGGGGACAGGTTTGGGAATTTGGTTTAAAATGGGACCAGAAAGAGATTAGAGGGAGACCTGATGAAAGCTGATCCAAACAGAGCTCTGGTCTCTCTCTCTGGTCTCTCTCTCTGGTCTCTCTCTCTGGTCTCTCTCGCTGGTCTCTCTCTCTGGTCTCTCTCTGGTCTCTCTCTGGTCTCTCTCTGGTCTCTCTCTGGTCTCTCTCTGGTGTCTCTCTCTGGTCTCTCTCTGGTCTCTCTCTGGTCTCTCTCTCTGGTCTCTCTCGCTGGTCTCTCTCGCTGGTCTCTCTCTCTGGTCTCTCTCTCTGGTCTCTCTCTCTCTGGTCTCTCTCTGGTCTTTCTTGATGTCGAAACCCCAAGGACCAGAGAACAGCACTGAACCACCAGGTGATGCCACTAGATGGCGCTGCTGAGCCATCAACAACGAGAGCAAATGATAGAAGAGGAAATAAAGAAACGGATGTAAAGTGAAAGAACTGAAACTTAGGACAAACAGCTACAGCCTCAGTCCTGGGTCTACAGCCTCAGTCCTGGGTCTACAGCCTCAGTCCTGGGTCTACAGCCTCAGTCCTGGGTCTACAGCCTCAGTCCTGGGTCTACAGCCTCAGCCCTGGGTCTACAGCCTCAGCCCTGGGTCTACACTCTCAGTCCTGGGTCTACAGCCTCAGTCCTGGGTCTACAGCCTCAGCCCTGGGTCTACAGCCTCAGTCCTGGGTCTACAGCCTCAGCCCTGGGTCTACAGCCTCAGTCCTGGGTCTACAGTCTCAGTCCTGGGTCTACAGCCTCGGTCCTGGGTCTACGGCCTCAGTCCTGGGTCTACAGCCTCAGTCCTGGGTCTACAGCTCAGTCCTGGGTCTACAGCCTCAGTCCTGGGTCTACGGCCTCAGTCCTGGGTCTACAGCCTCAGTCCTGGGTCTACAGCCTCAGTCCTGGGTCTACAGCCTCAGTCCTGGGTCTACAGCCTCAGTCCTGGGTCTACAGCCTCAGTCCTGGGTCTACAGCCTCAGTCCTGGGTCTACAGCCTCAGTCCTGGGTCTACAGCCTCAGTCCTGGGTCTACAGCCTCAGTCCTGGGTCGACAGCCTCAGTCCTGGGTCTACAGCCTCAGTCCTGGGTCTACAGCCTCAGTCCTGGGTCTACAGTCTCAGTGTTTTGACCTTTTGCTTTTCTTGAGTTTGAACTTGTTGATTTTCTGATCTGTTGTTGGAGAATCAAAGTCTGTCTCTGTGTGTGTCTCTGTGTGTCCCTGTGTGTGTCTGTGTGTGTCTGTGTGTCCCTGTGTGTCTGTGTGTGTCTCTGTGTGTCTGTGTGTCCCTGTGTGTCCCTGTGTGTCTCTATGTACCTGTGTGTCTGTGTGTCTCTGTGTGTCCCTGTGTGTCCCTGTGTGTCTGTGTGTGTCTGTGTGTGTCTGTGTGTCCCTGTGTGTGTCTGTGTGTGTCTCTGTGTGTCTGTGTGTCCCTGTGTGTCCCTGTGTGTCTCTGTGTACCTGTGTGTCTGTGTGTCTCTGTGTGTCCCTGTGTGTCCCTGTGTGTCTGTGTGTGTCTCTGTGTGTCTGTGTGTCCCTGTGTGTCCCTGTGTGTCCCTGTGTGTCCCTGTGTGTCCCTGTGTGTCCCTGTGTACCTGTGTGTCTGTGTGTGTCCCTGTGTGTCCCTGTGTGTCCCTGTGTACCTGTGTGTCCCTGTGTGTCCCTGTGTACCTGTGTGTCTGTGTGTGTCTGTGGGAGTTTGAGCACTCGGATGATCCTGGGAGCTATGCTGTCTGGGGCTTCATGCCCCTGGTAGGGCCTCCCATGGCAGACAGGTCTCAGGTGACGAGTCAGACGAAGAGCAGTCAGAAGCCAACATGGACAGCATTATAATGAAAACAGTGACGTCGCCCGGCATGGCGCAGCCGGGGCCCCACCCTGGAGCCAGGCCTGGGGTCGGGGCTCGAATGCGAGCGCCTGGTGGCCGGGCCTTAGCCCACGGGGCCCGGCCGGGCTCAGCCCGAAAGGACGACGTGGGCAGTCCCTCCTGTGGGCCCACCACCTGCAGAGGGGTCCGTGGCGGCTCGGTGCAGAGAGGACTGGGCGGCAGTCGAAGGCGGAGACCTCAGTGACCCAGTCCGCACACCCAACATCTGGCTCTTGGGACGTGGAACGTCACCTCACTGGGGGGGAAGGAGCCTGAGCTCGTGGGGGAGGTTGAGCGATACCGACTAGAGATAGTCGGCCTCACCTCCACACACAGCTTGGGCTCTGGAACCCAACTCCTTGAGAGGGGTTGGACGCTCCACTTTTCTGGTGTTTCCCGCGGGGAGAGGCGGCGAGCTGGGGTGGCCCTTTAATGATGACAGTTTAGGGCCCTTTGAGAGAGAGACCAGAGAGAGACCAGAGAGAGACCAGAGAGAGACCAGAGAGAGACCAGAGAGAGACCAGAGAGAGACCAGAGAGAGACCAGAGAGAGAGACCAGAGAGAGACCAGAGAGAGAGACCAGAGAGAGACCAGAGAGAGAGACCAGAGAGAGACCAGAGAGAGACCAGAGTGAGAGACCAGAGAGAGAGACCAGAGAGAGACCAGAGAGACCAGAGAGAGACCAGAGAGAGAGACCAGAGAGAGACCAGAGAGAGAGACCAGAGAGAGAGACCAGAGAGAGACCAGAGAGAGACCAGAGAGAGACCAGAGAGAGACCAGAGAGAGACCAGAGAGAGACCAGAGAGAGAGACCAGAGAGAGACCAGAGAGAGAGACCAGAGAGAGACCAGAGAGAGAGACCAGAGAGAGACCAGAGAGAGACCAGAGTGAGAGACCAGAGAGAGAGACCAGAGAGAGACCGGTCTCTGTTTAAAATGGGGAAAGGAGCTGTGGTTGTGGTGCCCGGATGGACTTCATCAGGGGATTTGAAAGTGCAATAATCACCATGACCACTGAAGGCAGCATTGCGGAGTCCGGAAATCCTCAAGAAGAAGTAGGAGATGACGTCACGCAGACACAGACAAGATGGCGTCGGCGTGGGTCTGTTCTCAGGCGCTGGGACTCAAACTGAAGCCGCTCCATGGGTGCTCTGTGGCGGGGGACATTCTGAAGCACTGGGACGGAGATGTGGTGGGTTTACCCCGGGAGGGAGCGGGCTAACGGGGCCGGAGGGAGCGGGTTAACGGGGCCGGAGATCCAGAGAAAACAGCGGAGCTAACGGAGAGCTAATGCTAATGCTACAAACAGAGCGAGCAGAGATTACTACTGCTACGTTACTAGCTACCACTGCTACTATACTATGTACACTACTAAGTTACTAGCTACTACTACTATTGTACTTTTATTACAGTGATGACCTGACCTGTGTGTTGTAGTCACATGATCCTGATGACCTCTGACCTGTGTGTTGTAGTCACATGATCCTGATGACCTCTGACCTGTGTGTTGTAGTCACATGATCCTGATGACCTCTGACCTGTGTGTTGTAGTCACATGATCCTGATGACCTCTGACCTGTGTGTTGTAGTCACATGATGCTGATGACCTCTGACCTGTGTGTTGTGTCCAGGCTTCTTCGTTGTTGTCTGATTTCTACGTTGTGTGTAATGGCCGAGTTTTGGAACAAGACCAGAGTCTGGACCATGGACTGGTCTATCGCCTGGAACCACGGCTGCGAGGAGGCAAAGGAGGTGACATCATAGAGTCACAACAGACATCATAGAGTCACAACAGACATCATAGAGTCACAACAGACATCATAGAGTCACAACAGACATCATAGAGTCACAACAAGCAGACATCATAGAGTCACAACAAGCAGACGTCATAGAGTCACAACAAGCAGACACCATAGAGTTACAACAAGCAGACGTCATAGAGTTACAACAAGCAGACGTCATAGAGTCACAACAAGCAGACACCATAGAGTTACAACAAGCAGACGTCATAGAGTCACAACAAGCAGACACCATAGAGTTACAACAAGCAGACGTCATAGAGTCACAACAAGCAGACATCATAGAGTCACAACAAGCAGACGTCATAGAGTCACAACAGACATCACAGAGTCACAACAAGCAGACGTCATAGAGTCACAACAGACATCATAGTCACAACAAGCAGACATCATAGAGTCACAACAAGCAGACATCATAGTCACAACAAGCAGACATCATAGAGTCACAACAAGCAGACGTCATAGAGTCACAACAAGCAGACATCATAGAGTCACAACAAGCAGACGTCATAGAGTCACAACAAGCAGACATCATAGAGTCACAACAAGCAGACGTCATAGAGTCACAACAAGCAGACGTCATAGAGTCACAACAAGCAGACGTCATAGAGTCACAACAAGCAGACATCATAGAGTCACAACAAGCAGACATCATAGAGTCACAACAAGCAGACATCATAGTCACAACAAGCAGACGTCATAGAGTCACAACAAGCAGACATCACAGAGTCACAACAAGCAGACATCATAGAGTCACAACAAGCAGACGTCATAGAGTCACAACAAGCAGACATCATAGAGTCACAACAAGCAGACGTCATAGAGTCACAACAAGCAGACGTCATAGAGTCACAACAAGCAGACGTCATAGAGTCACAACAAGCAGACATCATAGAGTCACAACAAGCAGACATCATAGAGTCACAACAAGCAGACATCACAGAGTCACAACAAGCAGACATCACAGAGTCACAACAAGCAGACGTCATAGAGTCACAACAAGCAGACATCAGAGTCACAACAAGCAGACATAGTCACAACAAGCAGACATCATAGAGTCACAACAAGCAGACATCATAGAGTCACAACAAGCAGACATCATAGAGTCACAACAAGCAGACATCATAGAGTCACAACAAGCAGACGTCATAGAGTCACAACAAGCAGACGTCACAGAGTCACAACAAGAAGACATCATAGAGTTACAACAAGCAGACGTCATAGAGTCACAACAGACATCATAGAGTCACAACAATCAGACGTCATAGAGTCACAACAAGCAGACATCACAGAGTCACAACAAGCAGACATCATAGAGTTACAACAAGCAGACGTCATAGAGTCACAACAGACATCACAGAGTCACAACAGACATCATAGAGTCACAACAAGCAGACATCATAGAGTCACAACAAGCAGACATCATAGAGTCACAACAAGCAGACATCATAGAGTCACAACAGACATCATAGAGTCACAACAAGCAGACATCATAGAGTCACAACAAGCAGACATCATAGAGTCACAACAAGCAGACATCATAGAGTCACAACAAGCAGACATCATAGAGTTACAACAAGCAGACGTCATAGAGTCACAACAAGCAGACATCATAGAGTCACAACAAGCAGACATCATAGAGTCACAACAGACATCATAGAGTCACAACAGACATCATAGAGTCACAACAGACATCATAGAGTCACAACAAGCAGACATCATAGAGTCACAACAAGCAGACATCATAGAGTCACAACAAGCAGACATCATAGAGTCACAACAAGCAGACATCATAGAGTTACAACAAGCAGACGTCATAGAGTCACAACAAGCAGACATCATAGAGTCACAACAAGCAGACATCATAGAGTCACAACAAGCAGACGTCATAGAGTCACAACAAGCAGACACCATAGAGTTACAACAAGCAGACGTCATAGAGTCACAACAAGCAGACACCATAGAGTTACAACAAGCAGACGTCATAGAGTCACAACAAGCAGACACCATAGAGTTACAACAAGCAGACGTCATAGAGTCACAACAAGCAGACATCATAGAGTCACAACAAGCAGACATCATAGAGTCACAACAAGCAGACGTCATAGAGTCACAACAAGCAGACGTCATAGAGTTACAACAAGCAGACGTCATAGAGTCACAACAGACATCATAGAGTCACAACAATCAGACGTCATAGAGTCACAACAAGAAGACATCATAGAGTTACAACAAGCAGACGTCATAGAGTCACAACAGACATCATAGAGTCACAACAATCAGACGTCATAGAGTCACAACAAGCAGACATCATAGAGTTACAACAAGCAGACGTCATAGAGTCACAACAGACATCACAGAGTCACAACAAGCAGACGTCATAGAGTCACAACAGACATCATAGTCACAACAAGCAGACATCATAGAGTCACAACAAGCAGACATCATAGTCACAACAAGCAGACGTCATAGAGTCACAACAAGCAGACATCACAGAGTCACAACAAGCAGACATCATAGAGTCACAACAAGCAGACGTCATAGAGTCACAACAAGCAGACACCATAGAGTCACAACAAGCAGACGTCATAGAGTCACAACAAGCAGACGTCATAGAGTCACAACAAGCAGACGTCATAGAGTCACAACAAGCAGACATCATAGAGTCACAACAAGCAGACATCATAGAGTCACAACAAGCAGACATCACAGAGTCACAACAAGCAGACATCACAGAGTCACAACAAGCAGACATCATAGAGTCACAACAAGCAGACATCACAGAGTCACAACAAGCAGACATCATAGAGTCACAACAAGCAGACATCATAGAGTCACAACAAGCAGACATCATAGAGTCACAACAAGCAGACATCATAGAGTCACAACAAGCAGACGTCATAGAGTCACAACAAGCAGACGTCATAGAGTCACAACAAGCAGACGTCATAGAGTCACAACAAGCAGACGTCACAGAGTCACAACAAGAAGACATCATAGAGTTACAACAAGCAGACATCATAGAGTCACAACAAGCAGACATCATAGAGTCACAACAATCAGACGTCATAGAGTCACAACAAGCAGACATCACAGAGTCACAACAAGCAGACATCATAGAGTTACAACAAGCAGACGTCATAGAGTCACAACAGACATCACAGAGTCACAACAAGCAGACGTCATAGAGTCACAACAGACATCATAGAGTCACAACAAGCAGACATCATAGAGTCACAACAAGCAGACGTCATAGAGTCACAACAGACATCATAGAGTCACAACAAGCAGACATCACAGAGTCACAACAAGCAGACATAGAGTCACAACAGACATCACAGAGTCACAACAAGCAGACATAGAGTCACAACAGACATCATAGAGTCACAACAAGCAGACGTCATAGAGTCACAACAAGCAGACATCATAGTCACAACAAGCAGACGTCATAGAGTCACAACAAGCAGACGTCATAGAGTCACAACAAGCAGACGTCATAGAGTCACAACAGACATCATAGAGTCACAACAAGCAGACATAGAGTCACAACAAGCAGACATCATAGAGTCACAACAAGCAGACGTCACAGAGTCACAACAAGCAGACATCATAGAGTCACAACAAGCAGACATCATAGAGTCACAACAAGCAGACGTCAGAGTCACAACAAGCAGACATCATAGAGTCACAACAAGCAGACGTCATAGTCACAACAAGCAGACGTCATAGTCACAACAAGCAGACGTCAGAGTCACAACAAGCAGACGTCATAGAGTCACAACAAGCAGACGTCATAGAGTCACAACAAGCAGACGTCAGAGTCACAACAAGCAGACATCATAGAGTCACAACAAGCAGACGTCATAGTCACAACAAGCAGACGTCATAGTCACAACAAGCAGACGTCAGAGTCACAACAAGCAGACATCATAGAGTCACAACAAGCAGACGTCACAGAGTCACAACAAGCAGACGTCATAGAGTCACAACAAGCAGACGTCATAGAGTCACAACAAGCAGACGTCACAGAGTCACAACAAGCAGACATCATAGAGTCACAACAAGCAGACGTCATAGAGTCACAACAAGCAGACGTCATAGAGTCACAACAAGCAGACGTCAGAGTCACAACAAGCAGACATCATAGAGTCACAACAAGCAGACGTCATAGAGTCACAACAAGCAGACATCACAGAGTCACAACAAGCAGACGTCATAGAGTCACAACAAGCAGACGTCACAACAAACAAACGTCATAGAGTCACAACAAGCAGACATCAGAGTCACAACAAGCAGACGTCATAGAGTCACAACAAGCAGACATCACAGAGTCACAACAAGCAGACATCATAGAGTCACAACAAGCAGACATCATAGAGTCACAACAAGCAGACATCATAGAGTCACAACAAGCAGACATCATAGAGTCACAACAAGCAGACGTCATAGAGTCACAACAAGCAGACGTCATAGAGTCACAACAAGCAGACGTCATAGAGTCACAACAAGCAGACATCATAGAGTCACAACAAGCAGACGTCATAGAGTCACAACAAGCAGACGTCATAGAGTCACAACAAGCAGACGTCATAGAGTCACAACAAGCAGACGTCATAGAGTCACAACAAGCAGACATCATAGAGTCACAACAAGCAGACGTCATAGAGTCACAACAAGCAGACGTCATAGAGTCACAACAAGCAGACGTCATAGAGTCACAACAAGCAGACGTCATAGAGTCACAACAAGCAGACGTCATAGAGTCACAACAAGCAGACGTCATAGAGTCACAACAAGCAGACGTCATAGAGTCACAACAGACATCATAGAGTCACAACAAGCAGACGTCATAGAGTCACAACAGACATCATAGAGTCACAACAAGCAGACGTCATAGAGTCACAACAGACATCATAGAGTCACAACAAGCAGACGTCATAGAGTCACAACAAGCAGACATCATAGTCACAACAAGCAGACGTCATAGAGTCACAACAAGCAGACGTCATAGAGTCACAACAAGCAGACGTCATAGAGTCACAACAAGCAGACATCATAGAGTCACAACAAGCAGACATCATAGAGTCACAACAAGCAGACATCATAGTCACAACAAGCAGACATCATAGAGTCACAACAAGCAGACGTCATAGAGTCACAACAAGCAGACGTCATAGTCACAACAAGCAGACGTCATAGAGTCACAACAAGCAGACATCATAGAGTCACAACAAGCAGACGTCATAGAGTCACAACAAGCAGACATCATAGAGTCACAACAAGCAGACATCATAGAGTCACAACAAGCAGACGTCATAGAGTCACAACAAGCAGACGTCATAGAGTCACAACAAGCAGACGTCATAGAGTCACAACAAGCAGACGTCATAGAGTCACAACAAGCAGACATCATAGAGTCACACCACAGCCTGACCACAGCCTGACCACAGCCGGTGTCTCTTATTCCATTAACCAAACCGAGCTGGTGTTGGGTGTTCAGGGTTCGGGTCGATGCTGCGAGCGCTGGGAGCTCAGATCGAGAAGACCACCAACAGAGAGGCGTGTCGCGACCTGAGCGGGAGGAGACTGCGGGACGTGAACCACGAGAAGGAGTGAGCGACCAGGACCCAGGGACCAGGACAGGACCAGGACCAGGACCAGGACCCAGACCAGGACCAGGACCCAGACCAGGACCAGGACCCAGACCAGGACCAGGACCAGGACCCAGACCCGGACCAGAACCCACTCACCCACCTTATACAGAACCAAGGCTGTAAGCACTATAGAGACCTGCAAAGTATGAGAAGGAGTGACCGAGGCAGAGGCGGAGACAGAGGCAGGGGCAGGGGCAGAGACAGAGGGGCAGAGACAGAGGCAGAGACAGAGACAGAGACAGAGGCAGAGGGAGAGACAGGGGCAGAGACAGGGGCAGAGAGACAGAGACAGAGGCAGAGAGACAGGGGCAGAGACAGGGGCAGAGAGACAGAGACAGAGGCAGAGAGACAGAGGCAGAGAGACAGGGGCAGAGACAGAGGCAGAGGCAGAGGCAGAGAGACAGAGGCAGAGAGACAGAGACAGAGAGACAGGGGCAGAGACAGGGGCAGAGAGACAGAGACAGAGGCAGAGAGACAGAGGCAGAGAGACAGGGGCAGAGACAGAGGCAGAGGCAGAGGGAGAGACAGGGGCAGAGACAGGGGCAGAGAGACAGAGACAGAGGCAGAGAGACAGGGGCAGAGACAGAGACAGAGACAGAGACAGAGACAGAGGCAGAGGCAGAGGCAGAGGCAGAGGCAGAGGCAGAGGCAGAGGCAGAGACAGAGACAGAGACAGAGACAGAGACAGAGACAGACAGAGACAGAGACAGAGACAGAGGCAGAGGCAGAGGCAGAGGCAGAGGCAGAGGCAGAGGCAGAGGCAGAGACAGAGACAGAGACAGAGGCAGAGGCAGAGACAGAGGCAGAGGCAGAGAGACAGGGACAGAGGCAGAGGCAGAGAGACAGGGACAGAGACAGAGACAGAGGCAGAGAGACAGAGGCAGAGAGACAGGGACAGAGACAGAGGCAGAGGCAGAGAGACAGGGACAGAGGCAGAGGCAGAGAGACAGGGACAGAGACAGAGGCAGAGAGACAGGGGCAGAGAGACAGAGACAGAGACAGAGACAGAGGCAGAGGCAGAGGCAGAGGCAGAGGCAGAGAGACAGGGACAGAGACAGAGGCAGAGAGACAGGGGCAGAGAGACAGAGACAGGGACAGAGACAGAGACAGAGGCCGGTGTGTGTGTTTTACCTGTGTTGTGTTGCAGACTGTGTGTGTGTTTACCTGTGTTGTGTTGCAGACTGTGTGTGTTTACCTGTGTTGTGTTGCAGACTGTGTGTGTTTACCTGTGTTGTGTTGCAGAATGTGTGTGTTTACCTGTGTTGTGTTGCAGACTGTGTGTGTTTAGTTGTGTTGTGTTGCAGAATGTGTGTGTAGAATGTGTGTGTTTACCTGTGTTGTGTTGCAGAATGGCCGAGTGGCTGAAGAAGCAGTCTGAGCGAGAGGCGGAGAAAGAGCAGCGACGACTCGAGAAAATCCAGAACAAACTGAAGGAACCGAAGCATCAGTTCAGCGACGCCAAGTTCACCCAGCAGTGCCACGAGCTGTCGGAGCGCCTGGAGGACTCTGTGATCAAAGGTACGAGCTGTCGGAGCGCCTGGAGGACTCTGTGATCAAAGGTACGAGCTGTCGGAGCGCCTGGAGGACTCTGTGATCAAAGGTACGAGCTGTCGGAGCGCCTGGAGGACTCTGTGATCAAAGGTACGAGCTGTCGGAGCGCCTGGAGGACTCTGTGATCAAAGGTACGAGCTGTCGGAGCGCCTGGAGGACTCTGTGATCAAAGGTACGAGCTGTCGGAGCGCCTGGAGGACTCTGTGATCAAAGGTACGAGCTGTCGGAGCGCCTGGAGGACTCTGTGATCAAAGGTACGAGCTGTCGGAGCGCCTGGAGGACTCTGTGATCAAAGGTACGAGCTGTCGGAGCGCCTGGAGGACTCTGTGATCAAAGGTACGAGCTGTCGGAGCGCCTGGAGGACTCTGTGATCAAAGGTACGAGCTGTCGGAGCGCCTGGAGGACTCTGTGATCAAAGGTACGAGCTGTCGGAGCGCCTGGAGGACTCTGTGATCAAAGGTACGAGCTGTCGGAGCGCCTGGAGGACTCTGTGATCAAAGGTACGAGCTGTCGGAGCGCCTGGAGGACTCTGTGATCAAAGGTACGAGCTGTCGGAGCGCCTGGAGGACTCTGTGATCAAAGGTACGAGCTGTCGGAGCGCCTGGAGGACTCTGTGATCAAAGGTACGAGCTGTCGGAGCGCCTGGAGGACTCTGTGATCAAAGGTACGAGCTGTCGGAGCGCCTGGAGGAGTCTGATCAAAGGTACGAGCTGTCGGAGCGCCTGGAGGACTCTGTGATCAAAGGTACGAGCTGTCGGAGCGCCTGGAGGACTCTGTGATCAAAGGTACGAGCTGTCGGAGCGCCTGGAGGACTCTGTGATCAAAGGTACGAGCTGTCGGAGCGCCTGGAGGACTCTGTGATCAAAGGTACGAGCTGTCGGAGCGCCTGGAGGACTCTGTGATCAAAGGTACGAGCTGTCGGAGCGCCTGGAGGACTCTGTGATCAAAGGTACGAGCTGTCGGAGCGCCTGGAGGACTCTGTGATCAAAGGTACGAGCTGTCGGAGCGCCTGGAGGACTCTGTGATCAAAGGTACGAGCTGTCGGAGCGCCTGGAGGAGTCTGATCAAAGGTACGAGCTGTCGGAGCGCCTGGAGGACTCTGTGATCAAAGGTACGAGCTGTCGGAGCGCCTGGAGGACTCTGTGATCAAAGGTACGAGCTGTCGGAGCGCCTGGAGGACTCTGTGATCAAAGGTACGAGCTGTCGGAGCGCCTGGAGGACTCTGTGATCAAAGGTACGAGCTGTCGGAGCGCCTGGAGGACTCTGTGATCAAAGGTACGAGCTGTCGGAGCGCCTGGAGGACTCTGTGATCAAAGGTACGAGCTGTCGGAGCGCCTGGAGGACTCTGTGATCAAAGGTACGAGCTGTCGGAGCGCCTGGAGGACTCTGTGATCAAAGGTACGAGCTGTCGGAGCGCCTGGAGGACTCTGTGATCAAAGGTACGAGCTGTCGGAGCGCCTGGAGGACTCTGTGATCAAAGGTACGAGCTGTCGGAGCGCCTGGAGGACTCTGTGATCAAAGGTACGAGCTGTCGGAGCGCCTGGAGGACTCTGTGATCAAAGGTACGAGCTGTCGGAGCGCCTGGAGGACTCTGTGATCAAAGGTACGAGCTGTCTGAGCGGCTGGAGGACTCTGTGATCAAAGGTACGAGCTGTCGGAGCGCCTGGAGGACTCTGTGATCAAAGGTACGAGCTGTCGGAGCGCCTGGAGGACTCTGTGATCAAAGGTACGAGCTGTCGGAGCGCCTGGAGGACTCTGTGATCAAAGGTACGAGCTGTCGGAGCGCCTGGAGGACTCTGTGATCAAAGGTACGAGCTGTCGGAGCGCCTGGAGGACTCTGTGATCAAAGGTACGAGCTGTCGGAGCGCCTGGAGGACTCTGTGATCAAAGGTACGAGCTGTCGGAGCGCCTGGAGGACTCTGATTGGTCGACTAAAGGGCCTGAAGGTTATGCATTTCTGAACCAGATTTCCACTGTGTAGAAAACAGACCCACAGGGACAGTCAGTAACTGACTCACAGGGACAGTAGTAGTTAGTTCATGTTAAGGACCAGTAAGTGGTAAATACCATGTGGGCTCATGAACCATAAAGTCTCTGCTGCCCCCTCAGGTCTCCAGGCGTCCTGCAGCTCTGGGGTCAGAGGTCAGACCTCCAAACGTCACAGAGACCAGAGCCAAGAGGAACCAGAGAAGAAGAAGAGCGCCCCCTATGGCTGGTGAGAGACACTGCACCTGTGTTTACTACAGCACCTGTGTTTACACCTGTGTTTACACCTGTGTTTACTACAGCAGCAGCTGGACTGGAACAAACTATACACACAGGTACATCTGAGGCTCTCAGGTACATCTGAGGCCCTCAGGTACATCTGAGGCCCTCAGGTACATCTGAGGCCCTCAGGTACATTTGAGGCTCTCAGGTACATCTGAGGCCCTCAGGTAAATCTGAGGCCCTCAGGTAAATCTGAGGCTCTCAGGTACATCTGAGGCTCTCAGGTACATCTGAGGCTCTCAGGTACATCTGAGGCTCTCAGGTACATCTGAGGCTCTCAGGTACATTTGAGGCTCTCAGGTACATTTGAGGCTCTCAGGTACATTTGAGGCTCTCAGGTACACAGGCTCTCGGGTACATCTGAGGCTCTCAGGTACAGAGGCTCTCGGGTACATCTGAGGCTCTCGGGTACATCTGAGGCTCTCGGGTACATCTGAGGCTCTCGGGTACATCTGAGGCTCTCGGGTACATCTGAGGCTCTCGGGTACAGAGGCTCTCAGGTAAATCTGAGGCTCTCGGGTACATCTGAGGCTCTCAGGTACAGAGGCTCTCGGGTACATCTGAGGCTCTCAGGTACAGAGGCTCTCGGGTACATCTGAGGCTCTCAGGTACATTTGAGGCTCTCAGGTACATTTGAGGCTCTCAGGTACACAGGCTCTCGGGTACATCTGAGGCTCTCGGGTACATCTGAGGCTCTCAGGTACATTTGAGGCTCTCAGGTACATTTGAGGCTCTCAGGTACACAGGCTCTCGGGTACATCTGAGGCTCTCAGGTACAGAGGCTCTCGGGTACATCTGAGGCTCTCGGGTACATCTGAGGCTCTCAGGTACATTTGAGGCTCTCAGGTACATTTGAGGCTCTCAGGTACACAGGCTCTCAGGTACACAGGCTCTCGGGTACATCTGAGGCTCTCAGGTACAGAGGCTCTCGGGTACATCTGAGGCTCTCGGGTACATCTGAGGCTCTCGGGTACATCTGAGGCTCTCGGGTACATCTGAGGCTCTCGGGTACATCTGAGGCTCTCGGGTACATCTGAGGCTCTCGGGTACATCTGAGGCTCTCGGGTACATCTGAGGCTCTCGGGTACAGAGGCTCTCAGGTAAATCTGAGGCTCTCGGGTACATCTGAGGCTCTCAGGTACAGAGGCTCTCGGGTACATCTGAGGCTCTCGGGTACAGAGGCTCTCGGGTACATCTGAGGCTCTCGGGTACATCTGAGGCTCTCGGGTACATCTGAGGCTCTCGGGTACATCTGAGGCTCTCGGGTACAGAGGCTCTCAGGTAAATCTGAGGCTCTCGGGTACATCTGAGGCTCTCAGGTACAGAGGCTCTCGGGTACATCTGAGGCTCTCGGGTACAGAGGCTCTCAGGTACAGAGGCTCTCAGGTACAGAGGCTCTCAGGTACAGGGTCCTCATGTGAGTAGCGGCGACACTTTAGCTTCTTGTGGTTTTATCGTTTGGTTTTCTGAATGTTTTGAACAGATCTGATGTGATTTAAAGTAAAGCACTTTGTCGCCTTGTGTTGTAAAGGACTGGACTGGACCTGAGCGATGAAGACTCTGATCCAGACCAGAGTTCGGACTCTGATGAAGACCGGCCCACAGCCTCCGGTTCAGGACCAGTCCTAGAGGCCAGACCTAAGGCCAGTCCAGGACCCGTCCCAGAGGCCAGTCCAGGACCCGTCCCAGAGGCCAGTCCAGGACCCGTCCCAGAGGCCAGTCCAGGACCCGTCCCAGAGGCCAGTCCAGGACCCGTCCCAGAGGCCAGACCTGAGGCCAGTCCAGGACCAGTCCCAGAGGCCAGTCCAGGACCAGTCCCAGAGGCCAGACTTGAGGCCAGTCCAGGACCAGTCCCAGAGGCCAGACCCGAGGCTAGTTCAGTCCCAGAGTCCAGACCTGATATGATCCAGAAGAAAGGAGAGTCCAGCACTGATCTCAAGGAAAACCAGGAGAAAGAGCAGAACCAAACCCAGACTCCAGAACAGGTGAGTCTCTGCCCACAGCCGGGACCGCACCCGGTCAGGTCCCGGTCGGGTCTGGCCGTGTCCTGGCACTTATGGAAGCAGTTGTATTGCTGCATTGTTTGATTGCAGCACATTAAACACTTTTCTGTCCCCACAGCGCCCCCTGCTGGACCTGGACTCGGTCTCCTGTGCTGAGGACCTGGAGGTTCTGGGTCTGAAGGTTCTGAAGGAGGAGCTGCAGAGACGAGGCCTCAAGTGTGGAGGAACACTGTCTCAGAGAGCCGCTCGCCTTTTCTCTGTGAAGACCCAGACCTGATCCCAGACCTGAACCCAAACCTGAACCCAGACCTGATCCCAGACCTGAACCCAAACCTGAACCCAGACCTGATCCCAGACCTGAACCCAGACCTGAACCCAGACCTGAACCCAGACCTGAACCCAGACCTGAACCCAGACCTGAACCCAGACCTGATCCCAGACCTGAACCCAGACCTGAACCCAGACCTGAACCCAGACCTGAACCCAGACCTGAACCCAGACCTGAACCCAGACCTGAACCCAAACCTGAACCCAGACCTGAACCCAGACCTAGACCTGGATGATTGTCTGATTTATTCTCATTTAACTTTGACAAAACTCTTTCTGTGGAACCAACGACTTTTATTAGACTAAAGTCACGTCCTGTTGTGTTCCTGACCGACATATTTTTTATCTCCATTTTGTACAAAAGTGAATTTCAAATAAAACTATGACTCCTTGTATGACGGCTGTAGATTCATGTTTTCACATCTTCAGACGTCTGCGAGTCCTGGGCCGAGTCCTGGGCCGAGTCCTGGGCCGAGTCCTGGGCCGAGTCCTGGGCCGAGTCCTGGGCCGAGTCCTGGGCCGAGTCCTGGGCCGAGTCCTGGGGCGAGTCCTGGGCCGAGTCCTGGGCCGAGTCCTGGGCCGAGTCCTGGGCCGAGTCCTGGGCCGAGTCCTGGGCCGAGTCCTGGGCCGAGTCCTGGGCCGAGTCCTGGGCCGAGTCCTGGGCCGAGTCCTGGGCCGAGTCCTGGGCCGAGTCCTGGGCCGAGTCCTGGGCCGAGTCCTGGGCCGAGTCCTGGGCCGAGTCCTGGGCCGAGTCCTGGGCCGAGTCCGTGGGTCTGAGGGAGTGAGGAGGTCGGAGTCTGTGAGTCTGAGGGAGTGAGGAGGTCTGGGTCTAAGGGAGTGAGGAGGTCTGAGTCTGTGCACAGCAGAAACTAGAGTGTTAAAAACACAGGGTGAAATATTTCAGAGTTGTTTTTAACATAAGTGTCACTTTAACTCTGTCAGTGTTCATGTTATCGTCAGTGTTGTCAGTGTTCATGTTATCGTCAGTGTTGTCAGTGTTTATGTTATCGTCAGTGTTGTCAGTGTTTATGTTATCGTCAGTGTTGGTCAGTGTTCATGTTATCGTCAGTGTTGTCAGTGTTCATGTTATCGTCAGTGTTGTCAGTGTTCATGTTATCGTCAGTGTTGTCAGTGTTCATGTTATCGTCAGTGTTGTCAGAGTTTATGTTATCGTCAGTGTTGTCAGAGTTCATGTTATCGTCAGTGTTGTCAGTGTTCATGTTATCGTCAGTGTTGTCAGTGTTCATGTTATCGTCAGTGTTGTCAGTGTTCATGTTATCGTCAGTGTTGTCAGTGTTCATGTTATCGTCAGTGTTGTCAGTGTTTATGTTATCGTCAGTGTTGGTCAGTGTTCATGTTATCGTCAGTGTTGTCAGTGTTCATGTTATCGTCAGTGTTGTCAGTGTTCATGTTATCGTCAGTGTTGTCAGTGTTCATGTTATCGTCAGTGTTGTCAGAGTTTATGTTATCGTCAGTGTTGTCAGAGTTCATGTTATCGTCAGTGTTGTCAGTGTTCATGTTATCGTCAGTGTTGTCAGTGTTCATGTTATCGTCAGTGTTGTCAGAGTTTATGTTATCGTCAGTGTTGTCAGAGTTCATGTTATCGTCAGTGTTGTCAGGTTCATGTTATCGTCAGTGTTGTCAGTGTTATGTTATCGTCAGTGTTGTCAGTGTTTATGTTATCGTCAGTGTTGTCAGAGTTTATGTTATCGTCAGTGTTGTCAGAGTTCATGTTATCGTCAGTGTTGGTCAGTGTTCATGTTATCGTCAGTGTTGTCAGAGGTCATTATGTCAGTGTTGTCAGGTTCATGTATCGTCAGTGTTGGTCAGTGTTCATGTTATCGTCAGTGTTGTCAGTGTTCATGTTATCGTCAGTGTTGTCAGAGTTTATGTTATCGTCAGTGTTGTCAGAGTTCATGTTATCGTCAGTGTTGTCAGTGTTCATGTTATCGTCAGTGTTGTCAGTGTTCATGTTATCGTCAGTGTTGTCAGTGTTCATGTTATCGTCAGTGTTGTCAGAGTTTATGTTATCGTCAGTGTTGTCAGAGTTCATGTTATCGTCAGTGTTGGTCAGTGTTCATGTTATCGTCAGTGTTGTCAGTGTTTATGTTATCGTCAGTGTTGTCAGAGTTTATGTTATCGTCAGTGTTGTCAGAGTTCATGTTATCGTCAGTGTTGGTCAGAGTTCATGTTATTGTCAGTGTTGTCAGAGTTCATGTTATCGTCAGTGTTGTCAGAGTTCATGTTATCGTCAGTGTTGGTCAGTGTTCATGTTATCGTCAGTGTTGTCAGTGTTCATGTTATCGTCAGTGTTGTCAGAGTTTATGTTATCGTCAGTGTTGTCAGAGTTCATGTTATCGTCAGTGTTGTCAGAGTTCATGTTATCGTCAGTGTTGTCAGTGTTCATGTTATCGTCAGTGTTGTCAGAGTTCATGTTATTGTCAGTGTTCATGTTATCGTCAGTGTTGTAGGAGTTCATGTTATCGTCAGTGTTGTCAGAGTTCATGTTATCGTCAGTGTTGGTCAGTGTTCATGTTATCGTCAGTGTTAGAGTTTATGTTATCGTCAGTGTTGTCAGAGTTCATGTTATCGTCAGTGTTGTCAGAGTTCATGTTATCGTCAGTGTTGTCAGTGTTCATGTTATCGTCAGTGTTGTCAGAGTTCATGTTATTGTCAGTGTTCATGTTATCGTCAGTGTTGTAGGAGTTCATGTTATCGTCAGTGTTGTCAGTGTTCATGTTATCGTCAGTGTTGTCAGAGTTCATGTTATCGTCAGTGTTGTCAGAGTTCATGTTATCGTCAGTGTTGTCAGTGTTGTCAGAGTTCATGTTATTGTCAGTGTTGTCAGAGTTCATGTTATCGTCAGTGTTTTCAGAATTCATGTTATTGTCAGTGTTGGTCAGAGTTCATGTTATTGTCAGTGTTGTCAGAGTTCATGTTATCGTCAGTGTTGTCAGAGTTCATGTTATCGTCAGTGTTGTCAGAGTTCATGTTATCGTCAGTGATGTAGGAGTTCATGTTATCGTCAGTGTTGGTCAGAGTTCATGTTATCGTCAGTGTTGTCAGAGTTCATGTTATCGTCAGTGTTGTCAGAGTTCATGTTATCGTCAGTGTTGTCAGAGTTCATGTTATTGTCAGTGTTGTCAGAGTTCATGTTATCGTCAGTGTTGTCAGAGTTCATGTTATCGTCAGTGTTGTCAGTGTTCATGTTATCGTCAGTGTTGTCAGTGTTCATGTTATCGTCAGTGTTGTCAGTGTTCATGTTATCGTCAGTGTTGTCAGAGTTCATGTTATCGTCAGTGTTGTCAGAGTTCATGTTATTGTCAGTGTTGTCAGAGTTCATGTTATCGTCAGTGTTGTCAGAGTTCATGTTATCGTCAGTGTTGTCAGAGTTCATGTTATCGTCAGTGTTGTCAGTGTTCATGTTATCGTCAGTGTTGTCAGAGTTCATGTTATCGTCAGTGTTGTCAGAGTTCATGTTATCGTCAGTGTTGTCAGAGTTCATGTTATCGTCAGTGTTGTCAGAGTTCATGTTATCGTCAGTGTTGGTCAGAGTTCATGTTATCGTCAGTGTTGTCAGAGTTCATGTTATCGTCAGTGTTGTCAGAGTTCATGTTATCGTCAGTGTTGTCAGTGTTCATGTTATCGTCAGTGTTGTCAGAGTTCATGTTATCGTCAGTGTTCATGTTATCGTCAGTGTTGTAGGAGTTCATCTTATCGTCAGTGTTGTCAGATTTCATGTTATCGTCAGTGTTGTCAGTGTTTATGTTATCGTCAGTGTTGTCAGAGTTCATGTTATCGTCAGTGTTGTCAGTGTTCATGTTATCGTCAGTGTTGTAGGAGTTCATGTTATCGTCAGTGTTGGTCAGAGTTCATGTTATCGTCAGTGTTGTCAGAGTTCATGTTATCGTCAGTGTTGGTCAGAGTTCATGTTATCGTCAGTGTTGTCAGAGTTCATGTTATCGTCAGTGTTGTCAGAGTTCATGTTATCGTCAGTGTTGTCAGAGTTCATGTTATCGTCAGTGTTGTCAGAGTTCATGTTATCGTCAGTGTTGTCAGAGTTCATGTTATCGTCAGTGTTGGTCAGAGTTCATGTTATCGTCAGTGTTGTCAGAGTTCATGTTATCGTCAGTGTTGTCAGAGTTCATGTTATCGTCAGTGTTGTCAGAGTTCATGTTATCGTCAGTGTTGTCAGTGTTCATGTTATCGTCAGTGTTGTAGGAGTTCATCTTATCGTCAGTGTTGTCAGATTTCATGTTATCGTCAGTGTTGTCAGAGTTCATGTTATCGTCAGTGTTGTCAGTGTTCATGTTATCGTCAGTGTTGTCAGGAGTTCATCTTATCGTCAGTGTTGTCAGATTTCATGTTATCGTCAGTGTTGTAGGAGTTCATGTTATCGTCAGTGTTGTCAGAGTTCATGTTATCGTCAGTGTTGTCAGAGTTTATGTTATCGTCAGTGTTGGTCAGAGTTCATGTTATTGTCAGTGTTGTCAGAGTTCATGTTATCGTCAGTGTTGTCAGAGTTCATGTTATCGTCAGTGTTGTCAGAGTTCATGTTATCGTCAGTGTTGTAGGAGTTCATGTTATCGTCAGTGTTGGTCAGAGTTCATGTTATCGTCAGAGTTCATGTTATCGTCAGTGTTGTCAGAGTTCATGTTATCGTCAGTGTTGTCAGAGTTCATGTTATCGTCAGTGTTGTCAGAGTTCATGTTATCGTCAGTGTTGTCAGAGTTCATGTTATCGTCAGTGTTGTCAGTGTTCATGTTATCGTCAGTGTTGTCAGTGTTCATGTTATCGTCAGTGTTGTCAGTGTTCATGTTATCGTCAGTGTTGTCAGAGTTCATGTTATCGTCAGTGTTGTCAGAGTTCCTGTTATCGTCAGTGTTGTCAGAGTTCATGTTATCGTCAGTGTTGTCAGTGTTCATGTTATCGTCAGTGTTGTCAGAGTTCATGTTATCGTCAGTGTTGGTCAGTGTTCATGTTATCGTCAGTGTTGGTCAGTGTTCATGTTATCGTCAGTGTTGTCAGAGTTCATGTTATCGTCAGTGTTGTCAGAGTTCATGTTATCGTCAGTGTTGTCAGAGTTCATGTTATCGTCAGTGTTGTCAGAGTTCATGTTATCGTCAGTGTTGTCAGTGTTCATGTTATCGTCAGTGTTGTCAGAGTTCATGTTATCGTCAGTGTTGTCAGAGTTCATGTTATCGTCAGTGTTGTCAGAGTTCATGTTATCGTCAGTGTTGTCAGTGTTCATGTTATCGTCAGTGTTGGTCAGAGTTCATGTTATCGTCAGTGTTGTCAGAGTTCATGTTATCGTCAGTGTTGTCAGAGTTCATGTTATCGTCAGTGTTGTCAGAGTTCATGTTATCGTCAGTGTTCATGTTATCGTCAGTGTTGTCAGAGTTCATGTTATCGTCAGTGTTGGTCAGAGTTCATGTTATCGTCAGTGTTGTCAGAGGTCATGTTATCGTCAGTGTTGTCAGAGTTCATGTTATCGTCAGTGTTGGTCAGTGTTCATGTTATCGTCAGTGTTGTCAGTGTTCATGTTATCGTCAGTGTTGTCAGAGTTCATGTTATCGTCAGTGTTGTCAGTGTTCATGTTATTGTCAGTGTTGTCAGTGTTCATGTTATCGTCAGTGTTGTCAGTGTTCATGTTATCGTCAGTGTTGTCAGAGTTCATGTTATCGTCAGTGTTGTCAGTGTTCATGTTATCGTCAGTGTTGTCAGTGTTCATGTTATCGTCAGTGTTGTCAGAGTTCATGTTATCGTCAGAGTTCATGTTATCGTCAGTGTTGTCAGAGTTCATGTTATCGTCAGTGTTGTCAGAGTTCATGTTATCGTCAGTGTTGTCAGAGTTCATGTTATCGTCAGTGTTGTCAGCGTTCATGTTATCGTCAGTGTTGTCAGAGTTCATGTTATCGTCAGTGTTGTCAGAGTTCATGTTATCGTCAGTGTTGTCAGAGTTCATGTTATCGTCAGTGTTGTCAGTGTTCATGTTATCGTCAGTGTTGTCAGAGTTCATGTTATCGTCAGTGTTTTCAGATTTCATGTTATCGTCAGTGTTGTCAGAGTTCATGTTATTGTCAGTGTTGGTCAGTGTTCATGTTATTGTCAGTGTTGTCAGTGTTCATGTTATCGTCAGTGTTGTCAGAGTTCATGTTATCGTCAGAGTTCATGTTATTGTCAGTGTTGGTCAGTGTTCATGTTATCGTCAGTGTTGTCAGTTCATGTTATCGTCAGTGTTGTCAGTGTTCATGTTATCGTCAGTGTTGTCAGAGTTCATGTTATCGTCAGTGTTGTCAGTGTTCATGTTATCGTCAGTGTTGTCAGAGTTCATGTTATCGTCAGTGTTGTCAGTGTTCATGTTATCGTCAGTGTTGTCAGAGTTCATGTTATCGTCAGTGTTGTCAGAGTTCATGTTATCGTCAGTGTTGTCAGTGTTCATGTTATCGTCAGTGTTGTCAGAGTTCATGTTATCGTCAGTGTTGTCAGAGTTCATGTTATCGTCAGTGTTGTCAGAGTTCATGTTATCGTCAGTGTTGTCAGTGTTCATGTTATCGTCAGAGTTCATGTTATCGTCAGTGTTTGTCAGAGTTCATGTTATCGTCAGTGTTGTCAGAGTTCATGTTATCGTCAGTGTTGTCAGAGTTCATGTTATCGTCAGTGTTGTCAGTGTTCATGTTATCGTCAGTGTTGTCAGAGTTCATGTTATCGTCAGTGTTGTCAGAGTTCATGTTATCGTCAGTGTTGTCAGAGTTCATGTTATCGTCAGTGTTGTTAGAGTTCATGTTATCGTCAGTGTTGTCAGTGTTCATGTTATCGTCAGTGTTGTCAGTGTTGATGTTATCGTCAGTGTTGGTCAGAGTTCATGTTATCGTCAGTGTTGTCAGAGTTCATGTTATCGTCAGTGTTGTTAGAGTTCATGTTATCGTCAGTGTTGTCAGAGTTCATGTTATCGTCAGTGTTGTCAGAGTTCATGTTATCGTCAGTGTTGTCAGTGTTCATGTTATCGTCAGTGTTGTTAGAGTTCATGTTATCGTCAGTGTTGTCAGTGTTCATGTTATCGTCAAAGTTCATGTTATCGTCAGTGTTGTCAGAGTTCATGTTATCGTCAGTGTTGTCAGAGTTCATGTTATTGTCAGTGTTGGTCAGAGTTCATGTTATCGTCAGTGTTGTCAGTGTTCATGTTATCGTCAGTGTTGTCAGAGTTCATGTTATTGTCAGTGTTGGTCAGAGTTCATGTTATCGTCAGTGTTGTCAGAGTTCATGTTATCGTCAGTGTTGTCAGAGTTCATGTTATTGTCAGTGTTGGTCAGTGTTCATGTTATCGTCAGTGTTTGTCAGAGTTCATGTTATCGTCAGTGTTGTCAGTGTTCATGTTATCGTCAGTGTTGTCAGAGTTCATGTTATCGTCAGTGTTGTCAGAGTTCATGTTATCGTCAGTGTTCATGTTATCGTCAGTGTTGTAGGAGTTCATGTTATCGTCAGTGTTGTCAGTGTTCATGTTATCGTCAGTGTTGTCAGAGTTCATGTTATCGTCAGTGTTGGTCAGAGTTCATGTTATCGTCAGTGTTGTCAGAGTTCATGTTATCGTCAGTGTTGTCAGAGTTCATGTTATTGTCAGTGTTGTCAGAGTTCATGTTATCGTCAGTGTTGTCAGTGTTCATGTTATCGTCAGTGTTGTCAGAGTTCATGTTATCGTCAGTGTTGTCAGAGTTCATGTTATCGTCAGTGTTGTCAGAGTTCATGTTATCGTCAGTGTTGTCAGAGTTCATGTTATCGTCAGTGTTGTCAGAGTTCATGTTATCGTCAGTGTTGGTCAGTGTTCATGTTATCATCAGTGTTGTCAGTGTTCATGTTATCGTCAGTGTTGTCAGAGTTCATGTTATTGTCAGTGTTGTCAGAGTTCATGTTATCGTCAGTGTTGTCAGTGTTCATGTTATCGTCAGTGTTGTCAGAGTTCATGTTATCGTCAGTGTTGTCAGAGTTCATGTTATCGTCAGTGTTGTCAGAGTTCATGTTATCGTCAGTGTTGTCAGAGTTCATGTTATCGTCAGTGTTGTCAGAGTTCATGTTATCGTCAGTGTTGGTCAGAGTTCATGTTATCGTCAGTGTTGTCAGAGGTCATGTTATCGTCAGTGTTGTCAGAGTTCATGTTATCGTCAGTGTTGGTCAGTGTTCATGTTATCGTCAGTGTTGTCAGTGTTCATGTTATCGTCAGTGTTGTCAGAGTTCATGTTATCGTCAGTGTTGTCAGAGTTCATGTTATCGTCAGTGTTGGTCAGAGTTCATGTTATTGTCAGTGTTGTCAGAGTTCATGTTATTGTCAGTGTTGTCAGTGTTCATGTTATCGTCAGTGTTGTCAGAGTTCATGTTATCGTCAGTGTTGTCAGAGTTCATGTTATCGTCAGTGTTGGTCAGAGTTCATGTTATCGTCAGTGTTGTCAGAGTTCATGTTATCGTCAGTGTTGTCAGAGTTCATGTTATCGTCAGTGTTGTCAGAGTTCATGTTATCGTCAGTGTTGTCAGAGTTCATGTTATCGTCAGTGTTGTCAGAGTTCATGTTATCGTCAGTGTTGTCAGTGTTCATGTTATCGTCAGTGTTGTCAGTGTTCATGTTATCGTCAGTGTTGTCAGTGTTCATGTTATCGTCAGTGTTGTCAGAGTTCATGTTATCGTCAGTGTTGGTCAGAGTTCATGTTATTGTCAGTGTTGGTCAGAGTTCATGTTATCGTCAGTGTTGTCAGAGTTCATGTTATCGTCAGTGTTGTTAGAGTTCATGTTATCGTCAGTGTTGTCAGAGTTCATGTTATCGTCAGTGTTGTCAGAGTTCATGTTATCGTCAGTGTTGTCAGTGTTCATGTTATCGTCAGTGTTGTTAGAGTTCATGTTATCGTCAGTGTTGTCAGTGTTCATGTTATCGTCAAAGTTCATGTTATCGTCAGTGTTGTCAGAGTTCATGTTATCGTCAGTGTTGTCAGAGTTCATGTTATTGTCAGTGTTGGTCAGAGTTCATGTTATCGTCAGTGTTGTCAGTGTTCATGTTATCGTCAGTGTTGTCAGAGTTCATGTTATTGTCAGTGTTGGTCAGAGTTCATGTTATCGTCAGTGTTGTCAGAGTTCATGTTATCGTCAGTGTTGTCAGAGTTCATGTTATTGTCAGTGTTGGTCAGTGTTCATGTTATCGTCAGTGTTTGTCAGAGTTCATGTTATCGTCAGTGTTGTCAGTGTTCATGTTATCGTCAGTGTTGTCAGAGTTCATGTTATCGTCAGTGTTGTCAGAGTTCATGTTATCGTCAGTGTTCATGTTATCGTCAGTGTTGTAGGAGTTCATGTTATCGTCAGTGTTGTCAGTGTTCATGTTATCGTCAGTGTTGTCAGAGTTCATGTTATCGTCAGTGTTGGTCAGAGTTCATGTTATCGTCAGTGTTGTCAGAGTTCATGTTATCGTCAGTGTTGTCAGAGTTCATGTTATTGTCAGTGTTGTCAGAGTTCATGTTATCGTCAGTGTTGTCAGTGTTCATGTTATCGTCAGTGTTGTCAGAGTTCATGTTATCGTCAGTGTTGTCAGAGTTCATGTTATCGTCAGTGTTGTCAGAGTTCATGTTATCGTCAGTGTTGTCAGAGTTCATGTTATCGTCAGTGTTGTCAGAGTTCATGTTATCGTCAGTGTTGGTCAGTGTTCATGTTATCATCAGTGTTGTCAGTGTTCATGTTATCGTCAGTGTTGTCAGAGTTCATGTTATTGTCAGTGTTGTCAGAGTTCATGTTATCGTCAGTGTTGTCAGTGTTCATGTTATCGTCAGTGTTGTCAGAGTTCATGTTATCGTCAGTGTTGTCAGAGTTCATGTTATCGTCAGTGTTGTCAGAGTTCATGTTATCGTCAGTGTTGTCAGAGTTCATGTTATCGTCAGTGTTGTCAGAGTTCATGTTATCGTCAGTGTTGGTCAGAGTTCATGTTATCGTCAGTGTTGTCAGAGGTCATGTTATCGTCAGTGTTGTCAGAGTTCATGTTATCGTCAGTGTTGGTCAGTGTTCATGTTATCGTCAGTGTTGTCAGTGTTCATGTTATCGTCAGTGTTGTCAGAGTTCATGTTATCGTCAGTGTTGTCAGAGTTCATGTTATCGTCAGTGTTGGTCAGAGTTCATGTTATTGTCAGTGTTGTCAGAGTTCATGTTATTGTCAGTGTTGTCAGTGTTCATGTTATCGTCAGTGTTGTCAGAGTTCATGTTATCGTCAGTGTTGTCAGAGTTCATGTTATCGTCAGTGTTGGTCAGAGTTCATGTTATCGTCAGTGTTGTCAGAGTTCATGTTATCGTCAGTGTTGTCAGAGTTCATGTTATCGTCAGTGTTGTCAGAGTTCATGTTATCGTCAGTGTTGTCAGAGTTCATGTTATCGTCAGTGTTGTCAGAGTTCATGTTATCGTCAGTGTTGTCAGTGTTCATGTTATCGTCAGTGTTGTCAGTGTTCATGTTATCGTCAGTGTTGTCAGTGTTCATGTTATCGTCAGTGTTGTCAGAGTTCATGTTATCGTCAGTGTTGGTCAGAGTTCATGTTATTGTCAGTGTTGGTCAGAGTTCATGTTATCGTCAGTGTTGTCAGTGTTCATGTTATCGTCAGTGTTGTCAGTGTTCATGTTATCGTCAGTGTTGTCAGAGTTCATGTTATCGTCAGTGTTGTCAGAGTCCATGTTATCGTCAGTGTTGTCAGAGTTCATGTTATCGTCAGTGTTGTCAGTGTTCATGTTATCGTCAGTGTTGTCAGAGTTCATGTTATTGTCAGTGTTGGTCAGAGTTCATGTTATCGTCAGTGTTGTCAGTGTTCATGTTATCGTCAGTGTTGTCAGTTGTAGTCAGTGTTGTCAGTGTTCATGTTATCGTCAGTGTTGTCAGAGTTCATGTTATCGTCAGTGTTGTCAGAGTTCATGTTATCGTCAGTGTTGTCAGTGTTCATGTTATCGTCAGTGTTGTCAGAGTTCATGTTATCGTCAGTGTTGTCAGAGTTCATGTTATCGTCAGTGTTGTCAGAGTTCATGTTATCGTCAGTGTTGTCAGTGTTCATGTTATCGTCAGTGTTGGTCAGAGTTCATGTTATCGTCAGTGTTGTCAGAGTTCATGTTATCGTCAGTGTTGTCAGAGTTCATGTTATCGTCAGTGTTGGTCAGAGTTCATGTTATTGTCAGTGTTGTCAGAGTTCATGTTATCGTCAGTGTTGTCAGAGTTCATGTTATTGTCAGTGTTGGTCAGAGTTCATGTTATCGTCAGTGTTGTCAGTGTTCATGTTATCGTCAGTGTTGTCAGTGTTCATGTTATCGTCAGTGTTGTCAGAGTTCATGTTATCGTCAGTGTTGTCAGATTCATGTTATCGTCAGTGTTGTCAGTGTTCATGTTATCGTCAGTGTTGTCAGAGTTCATGTTATCGTCAGTGTTGTCAGGTTCTGTTATCGTCAGTGTTGTCAGAGTTCATGTTATCGTCAGTGTTGTCAGGTTCATGTTATCGTCAGTGTTGTCAGTTTCATGTTATCGTCAGTGTTGTCAGTTCATGTTATCGTCAGTGTTGTCAGAGTTCATGTTATCGTCAGTGTTGTCAGTTCATGTTATCGTCAGGTTTTATCGTCAGTGTTGTCAGAGTTCATGTTATCGTCAGTGTTGTCAGAGTTCATGTTATCGTCAGTGTTGTCAGAGTTCATGTTATCGTCAGTGTTGTCAGTGTTCATGTTATCGTCAGTGTTGTCAGTGTTCATGTTATCGTCAGTGTTGTCAGTGTTTATGTTATCGTCAGTGTTGTCAGAGTTCATGTTATCGTCAGTGTTGGTCAGAGTTCATGTTATTGTCAGTGTTGGTCAGAGTTCATGTTATCGTCAGTGTTGTCAGAGTTCATGTTATCCTAATTTAATGCAAAGGAAGGTTTCTCACCCATCATCTGTAGCAAGTTAATGCGCGGCCTGAGAATTCATTCCCTGGAGAAGTCCGCTGGTTTGAGGACGAAACGTCGGGAAAACTTGCTAAGTACAGATGATGTGTGAGAAACCTTCCTTTGCTTTGACTAATCCCTGTACGACTGAGGGCTTACACAAACTTATCCTAATTTAACATTGTATAGTGTATAGTAGCTACTAAAAAAATGTGACATTAACATTAAAAATAGTACAAATAAAACCCGTCCAGGTGTGATGTGAGGACCTGACATAGTGTTACTATAACCCTTGATTTCAGTGTTAAAAACAAACTCTTGTTCAGTGTTTCTGATTTAACTAAACAAGGAATGTTAAATTAACTCTAATGAGGTGGACTCAAATAAACTCTGGAAAAATGTTAAAATTGACTCTGTGAGAGTCAATATAACACTCTACGTTTTGCTGTGTGGGTCTAAGGAGGTCTGAGTCTGTGAGTCTGAGGGAGTGAGGAGGTCTGAGTCTGTGGGTCTGAGGGAGTGAGGAGGAGGGAGTGAGGAGGTCTGAGTCTGGGTCTGAGTCTGTGGGTCTGAGGGAGTGAGGAGGTCTGAGGGAGTGAGGAGGTCTGAGTCTGTGGGTCTGAGGAGTCTGAGTCTGAGGAGGTCTGAGTCTGGGTCTGAGGAGGTCTGAGTCTGGGTCTGAGGAGGTCTGAGTCTGGGTCTGAGGAGGTCTGAGTCTGTGGTCTGAGGAGGTCTGAGTCTGTGGGTCTGAGGAGGTCTGAGTCTGGGTCTGAGGAGGTCTGAGTCTGGGTCTGAGGAGGTCTGAGTCTGGGGTCTGAGGAGGTCTGAGTCTGTGGTCTGAGGAGGTCTGAGTCTGGGTCTGAGGAGGTCTGAGTCTGGGTCTGAGGAGGTCTGAGTCTGGGTCTGAGGAGGTCTGAGTCTGTGGGTCTGAGGAGGTCTGAGTCTGTGGGTCTGAGGAGGTCTGAGTCTGGGTCTGAGGAGGTCTGAGTCTGTGGGTCTGAGGAGGTCTGAGTCTGTGGGTCTGAGGAGGTCTGAGTCTGTGGGTCTGAGGAGGTCTGAGTCTGGGTCTGAGGAGGTCTGAGTCTGGGTCTGAGGAGGTCTGAGTCTGTGGGTCTGAGGAGGTCTGAGTCTGTGGGTCTGAGGAGGTCTGAGTCTGTGGGTCTGAGGAGGTCTGAGTCTGTGGTCTGAGGAGGTCTGAGTCTGGGTCTGAGGAGGTCTGAGTCTGGGGTCTGAGGAGGTCTGAGTCTGTGGGTCTGAGGAGGTCTGAGTCTGGGGTCTGAGGAGGTCTGAGTCTGTGGGTCTGAGGAGGTCTGAGTCTGTGGGTCTGAGGAGGTCTGAGTCTGTGGGTCTGAGGAGGTCTGAGTCTGTGGGTCTGAGGAGGTCTGAGTCTGGGTCTGAGGAGGTCTGAGTCTGGGTCTGAGGAGGTCTGAGTCTGGGGTCTGAGGAGGTCTGAGTCTGTGGTCTGAGGAGGTCTGAGTCTGTGGGTCTGAGGAGGTCTGAGTCTGGGTCTGAGGAGGTCTGAGTCTGTGGTCTGAGGAGGTCTGAGTCTGGGTCTGAGGAGGTCTGAGTCTGTGGGTCTGAGGAGGTCTGAGTCTGTGGTCTGAGGAGGTCTGAGTCTGTGGGTCTGAGGAGGTCTGAGTCTGTGGGTCTGAGGAGGTCTGAGTCTGGGGTCTGAGGAGGTCTGAGTCTGTGGGTCTGAGGAGGTCTGAGTCTGGGTCTGAGGAGGTCTGAGTCTGGGTCTGAGGAGGTCTGAGTCTGGGTCTGAGGAGGTCTGAGTCTGGGTCTGAGGAGGTCTGAGTCTGTGGGTCTGAGGAGGTCTGAGTCTGTGGGTCTGAGGAGGTCTGAGTCTGGGTCTGAGGAGGTCTGAGTCTGGGGTCTGAGGAGGTCTGAGTCTGGGTCTGAGGAGGTCTGAGTCTGTGGGTCTGAGGAGGTCTGAGTCTGTGGGTCTGAGGAGGTCTGAGTCTGGGTCTGAGGAGGTCTGAGTCTGTGGGTCTGAGGAGGTCTGAGTCTGGGTCTGAGGAGGTCTGAGTCTGGGTCTGAGGAGGTCTGAGTCTGTGGGTCTGAGGAGGTCTGAGTCTGTGGGTCTGAGGAGGTCTGAGTCTGGGTCTGAGGAGGTCTGAGTCTGTGGGTCTGAGGAGGTCTGAGTCTGGGGTCTGAGGAGGTCTGAGTCTGTGGGTCTGAGGAGGTCTGAGTCTGGGGTCTGAGGAGGTCTGAGTCTGTGGGTCTGAGGAGGTCTGAGTCTGTGGGTCTGAGGAGGTCTGAGTCTGGGGTCTGAGGAGGTCTGAGTCTGTGGGTCTGAGGAGGTCTGAGTCTGGGTCTGAGGAGGTCTGAGTCTGTGGGTCTGAGGAGGTCTGAGTCTGTGGGTCTGAGGAGGTCTGAGTCTGTGGGTCTGAGGAGGTCTGAGTCTGTGGGTCTGAGGAGGTCTGAGTCTGTGGGTCTGAGGAGGTCTGAGTCTGGGTCTGAGGAGGTCTGAGTCTGTGGTCTGAGGAGGTCTGAGTCTGTGGGTCTGAGGAGGTCTGAGTCTGTGGGTCTGAGGAGGTCTGAGTCTGTGGGTCTGAGGAGGTCTGAGTCTGTGGGTCTGAGGAGGTCTGAGTCTGTGGGTCTGAGGAGGTCTGAGTCTGGGTCTGAGGAGGTCTGAGTCTGTGGGTCTGAGGAGGTCTGAGTCTGTGGGTCTGAGGAGGTCTGAGTCTGGGGTCTGAGGAGGTCTGAGTCTGGGGTCTGAGGAGGTCTGAGTCTGGGGTCTGAGGAGGTCTGAGTCTGTGGGTCTGAGGAGGTCTGAGTCTGGGTCTGAGGAGGTCTGAGTCTGAGGAGGTCTGAGTCTGGGTCTGAGGAGGTCTGAGTCTGGGTCTGAGGAGGTCTGAGTCTGGGTCTGAGGAGGTCTGAGTCTGGGTCTGAGGAGGTCTGAGTCTGGGTCTGAGGAGGTCTGAGTCTGTGGGTCTGAGGAGGTCTGAGTCTGGGTCTGAGGAGGTCTGAGTCTGTGGGTCTGAGGAGGTCTGAGTCTGGGTCTGAGGAGGTCTGAGTCTGGGTCTGAGGAGGTCTGAGTCTGGGTCTGAGGAGGTCTGAGTCTGGGTCTGAGGAGGTCTGAGTCTGGGTCTGAGGAGGTCTGAGTCTGGGTCTGAGGAGGTCTGAGTCTGGGGTCTGAGGAGGTCTGAGTCTGGGGTCTGAGGAGGTCTGAGTCTGTGGGTCTGAGGAGGATCTGAGTCTGGGGTCTGAGGAGGTCTGAGTCTGTGGGTCTGAGGAGGTCTGAGTCTGTGGGTCTGAGGAGGTCTGAGTCTGTGGGTCTGAGGAGGTCTGAGTCTGGGTCTGAGGAGGTCTGAGTCTGTGGGTCTGAGGAGGTCTGAGTCTGGGGTCTGAGGAGGTCTGAGTCTGTGGGTCTGAGGAGGTCTGAGTCTGGGTCTGAGGAGGTCTGAGTCTGTGGGTCTGAGGAGGTCTGAGTCTGTGGTCTGAGGAGGTCTGAGTCTGGGTCTGAGGAGGTCTGAGTCTGGGTCTGAGGAGGTCTGAGTCTGTGGGTCTGAGGAGGTCTGAGTCTGGGTCTGAGGAGGTCTGAGTCTGGGTCTGAGGAGGTCTGAGTCTGTGGGTCTGAGGAGGTCTGAGTCTGGGTCTGAGGAGGTCTGAGTCTGGGTCTGAGGAGGTCTGAGTCTGGGGTCTGAGGAGGTCTGAGTCTGGGTCTGAGGAGGTCTGAGTCTGGGGTCTGAGGAGGTCTGAGTCTGGGTCTGAGGAGGTCTGAGTCTGGGGTCTGAGGAGGTCTGAGTCTGGGTCTGAGGAGGTCTGAGTCTGTGGGTCTGAGGAGGTCTGAGTCTGGGGTCTGAGGAGGTCTGAGTCTGGGTCTGAGGAGGTCTGAGTCTGGGTCTGAGGAGGTCTGAGTCTGGGGTCTGAGGAGGTCTGAGTCTGTGGGTCTGAGGAGGTCTGAGTCTGGGTCTGAGGAGGTCTGAGTCTGGGTCTGAGGAGGTCTGAGTCTGTGGGTCTGAGGAGGTCTGAGTCTGGGTCTGAGGAGGTCTGAGTCTGGGTCTGAGGAGGTCTGAGTCTGTGGGTCTGAGGAGGTCTGAGTCTGTGGGTCTGAGGAGGTCTGAGTCTGTGGGTCTGAGGAGGTCTGAGTCTGGGTCTGAGGAGGTCTGAGTCTGTGGGTCTGAGGAGGTCTGAGTCTGTGGGTCTGAGGAGGTCTGAGTCTGTGGGTCTGAGGAGGTCTGAGTCTGTGGTCTGAGGAGGTCTGAGTCTGTGGGTCTGAGGAGGTCTGAGTCTGGGTCTGAGGAGGTCTGAGTCTGTGGGTCTGAGGAGGTCTGAGTCTGGGTCTGAGGAGGTCTGAGTCTGTGGGTCTGAGGAGGTCTGAGTCTGGGTCTGAGGAGGTCTGAGTCTGGGTCTGAGGAGGTCTGAGTCTGGGTCTGAGGAGGTCTGAGTCTGGGTCTGAGGAGGTCTGAGTCTGGGTCTGAGGAGGTCTGAGTCTGTGGGTCTGAGGAGGTCTGAGTCTGGGTCTGAGGAGGTCTGAGTCTGTGGTCTGAGGAGGTCTGAGTCTGGGTCTGAGGAGGTCTGAGTCTGTGGTCTGAGGAGGTCTGAGTCTGGGTCTGAGGAGGTCTGAGTCTGTGGGTCTGAGGAGGTCTGAGTCTGGGTCTGAGGAGGTCTGAGTCTGGGGTCTGAGGAGGTCTGAGTCTGGGTCTGAGGAGGTCTGAGTCTGGGTCTGAGGAGGTCTGAGTCTGGGTCTGAGGAGGTCTGGAGTCTGGGTCTGAGGAGGTCTGAGTCTGGGTCTGAGGAGGTCTGAGTCTGGGGTCTGAGGAGGTCTGAGTCTGGGTCTGAGGAGGTCTGAGTCTGGGTCTGAGGAGGTCTGAGTCTGGGTCTGAGGAGGTCTGAGTCTGTGGGTCTGAGGAGGTCTGAGTCTGGGTCTGAGGAGGTCTGAGTCTGGGTCTGAGGAGGTCTGAGTCTGGGTCTGAGGAGGTCTGAGTCTGTGGGTCTGAGGAGGTCTGAGTCTGGGTCTGAGGAGGTCTGAGTCTGGGTCTGAGGAGGTCTGAGTCTGGGTCTGAGGAGGTCTGAGTCTGGGGTCTGAGGAGGTCTGAGTCTGGGTCTGAGGAGGTCTGAGTCTGTGGGTCTGAGGAGGTCTGAGTCTGGGTCTGAGGAGGTCTGAGTCTGTGGGTCTGAGGAGGTCTGAGTCTGGGTCTGAGGAGGTCTGAGTCTGGGTCTGAGGAGGTCTGAGTCTGGGTCTGAGGAGGTCTGAGTCTGGGTCTGAGGAGGTCTGAGTCTGTGGGTCTGAGGAGGTCTGAGTCTGTGGGTCTGAGGAGGTCTGAGTCTGGGGTCTGAGGAGGTCTGAGTCTGGGTCTGAGGAGGTCTGAGTCTGTGGGTCTGAGGAGGTCTGAGTCTGTGGTCTGAGGAGGTCTGAGTCTGTGGTCTGAGGAGGTCTGAGTCTGGGGTCTGAGGAGGTCTGAGTCTGGGTCTGAGGAGGTCTGAGTCTGTGGGTCTGAGGAGAGGAGGTCTGAGTCTGTGGGTCTGAGGAGGTCTGAGTCTGTGGGTCTGAGGAGGTCTGAGTCTGTGGGTCTGAGGAGGTCTGAGTCTGTGGGTCTGAGGAGGTCTGAGTCTGGGTCTGAGGAGGTCTGAGTCTGGGTCTGAGGAGGTCTGAGTCTGGGTCTGAGGAGGTCTGAGTCTGGGGTCTGAGGAGGTCTGAGTCTGGGTCTGAGGAGGTCTGAGTCGTGGGTCTGAGGAGGTCTGAGTCTGTGGGTCTGAGGAGGTCTGAGTCTGTGGGTCTGAGGAGGTCTGAGTCTGTGGGTCTGAGGAGGTCTGAGTCTGGGTCTGAGGAGGTCTGAGTCTGTGGGTCTGAGGAGGTCTGAGTCTGTGGGTCTGAGGAGGTCTGAGTCTGTGGGTCTGAGGAGGTCTGAGTCTGGGTCTGAGGAGGTCTGAGTCTGTGGGTCTGAGGAGGTCTGAGTCTGGGTCTGAGGAGGTCTGAGTCTGTGGGTCTGAGGAGGTCTGAGTCTGGGTCTGAGGAGGTCTGAGTCTGGGTCTGAGGAGGTCTGAGTCTGTGGGTCTGAGGAGGTCTGAGTCTGGGTCTGAGGAGGTCTGAGTCTGGGTCTGAGGAGGTCTGAGTCTGTGGGTCTGAGGAGGTCTGAGTCTGTGGGTCTGAGGAGGTCTGAGTCTGGGGTCTGAGGAGGTCTGAGTCTGTGGGTCTGAGGAGGTCTGAGTCTGGGTCTGAGGAGGTCTGAGTCTGGGGTCTGAGGAGGTCTGAGTCTGTGGGTCTGAGGAGGTCTGAGTCTGGGTCTGAGGAGGTCTGAGTCTGGGTCTGAGGAGGTCTGAGTCTGGGTCTGAGGAGGTCTGAGTCTGTGGGTCTGAGGAGGTCTGAGTCTGTGGGTCTGAGGAGGTCTGAGTCTGTGGGTCTGAGGAGGTCTGAGTCTGGGTCTGAGGAGGTCTGAGTGAGGTCTGAGAGTCTGAGGGTCTGAGGAGGTCTGAGTCTGTGGGTCTGAGGAGGTCTGAGTCTGTGGGTCTGAGGAGGTCTGAGTCTGTGGGTCTGAGGAGGTCTGAGTCTGGGGTCTGAGGAGGTCTGAGTCTGTGGGTCTGAGGAGGTCTGAGTCTGGGTCTGAGGAGGTCTGAGTCTGTGGGTCTGAGGAGGTCTGAGTCTGGGTCTGAGGAGGTCTGAGTCTGTGGGTCTGAGGAGGTCTGAGTCTGGGTCTGAGGAGGTCTGAGTCTGGGGTCTGAGGAGGTCTGAGTCTGTGGGTCTGAGGAGGTCTGAGTCTGTGGTCTGAGGAGGTCTGAGTCTGGGTCTGAGGAGGTCTGAGTCTGTGGTCTGAGGAGGTCTGAGTCTGTGGGTCTGAGGAGGTCTGAGTCTGGGGTCTGAGGAGGTCTGAGTCTGTGGGTCTGAGGAGGTCTGAGTCTGTGGTCTGAGGAGGTCTGAGTCTGTGGGTCTGAGGAGGTCTGAGTCTGGGTCTGAGGAGGTCTGAGTCTGGGTCTGAGGAGGTCTGAGAGTCTGTGGTCTGAGGAGGTCTGAGTCTGGGTCTGAGGAGGTCTGAGTCTGTGGGTCTGAGGAGGTCTGAGTCTGGGTCTGAGGAGGTCTGAGTCTGGGGTCTGAGGAGGTCTGAGTCTGGGGTCTGAGGAGGTCTGAGTCTGGGTCTGAGGAGGTCTGAGTCTGTGGGTCTGAGGAGGTCTGAGTCTGGGTCTGAGGAGGTCTGAGTCTGGGGTCTGAGGAGGTCTGAGTCTGGGTCTGAGGAGGTCTGAGTCTGGGGTCTGAGGAGGTCTGAGTCTGTGGTCTGAGGAGGTCTGAGTCTGTGGGTCTGAGGAGGTCTGAGTCTGTGGGTCTGAGGAGGTCTGAGTCTGGGTCTGAGGAGGTCTGAGTCTGGGGTCTGAGGAGGTCTGAGTCTGGGTCTGAGGAGGTCTGAGTCTGTGGGTCTGAGGAGGTCTGAGTCTGGGTCTGAGGAGGTCTGAGTCTGGGGTCTGAGGAGGTCTGAGTCTGGGTCTGAGGAGGTCTGAGTCTGTGGGTCTGAGGAGGTCTGAGTCTGGGTCTGAGGAGGTCTGAGTCTGTGGGTCTGAGGAGGTCTGAGTCTGGGTCTGAGGAGGTCTGAGTCTGTGGGTCTGAGGAGGTCTGAGTCTGGGTCTGAGGAGGTCTGAGTCTGTGGGTCTGAGGAGGTCTGAGTCTGGGTCTGAGGAGGTCTGAGTCTGTGGGTCTGAGGAGGTCTGAGTCTGGGTCTGAGGAGGTCTGAGTCTGTGGGTCTGAGGAGGTCTGAGTCTGGGTCTGAGGAGGTCTGAGTCTGTGGGTCTGAGGAGGTCTGAGTCTGGGTCTGAGGAGGTCTGAGTCTGTGGGTCTGAGGAGGTCTGAGTCTGTGGGTCTGAGGAGGTCTGAGTCTGTGGGTCTGAGGAGGTCTGAGTCTGGGTCTGAGGAGGTCTGAGTCTGTGGGTCTGAGGAGGTCTGAGTCTGGGTCTGAGGAGGTCTGAGTCTGTGGTCTGAGGAGGTCTGAGTCTGGGTCTGAGGAGGTCTGAGTCTGTGGGTCTGAGGAGGTCTGAGTCTGGGTCTGAGGAGGTCTGAGTCTGTGGGTCTGAGGAGGTCTGAGTCTGTGGGTCTGAGGAGGTCTGAGTCTGTGGGTCTGAGGAGGTCTGAGTCTGGGTCTGAGGAGGTCTGAGTCTGGGGTCTGAGGAGGTCTGAGTCTGGGGGTCTGAGGAGGTCTGAGTCTGTGGGTCTGAGGAGGTCTGAGTCTGTGGGTCTGAGGAGGTCTGAGTCTGTGGGTCTGAGGAGGTCTGAGTCTGGGTCTGAGGAGGTCTGAGTCTGTGGGTCTGAGGAGGTCTGAGTCTGGGTCTGAGGAGGTCTGAGTCTGTGGGTCTGAGGAGGTCTGAGTCTGGGTCTGAGGAGGTCTGAGTCTGTGGGTCTGAGGAGGTCTGAGTCTGGGTCTGAGGAGGTCTGAGTCTGGGGTCTGAGGAGGTCTGAGTCTGGGTCTGAGGAGGTCTGAGTCTGTGGGTCTGAGGAGGTCTGAGTCTGGGTCTGAGGAGGTCTGAGTCTGTGGGTCTGAGGAGGTCTGAGTCTGGGTCTGAGGAGGTCTGAGTCTGTGGGTCTGAGGAGGTCTGAGTCTGTGGGTCTGAGGAGGTCTGAGTCTGTGGGTCTGAGGAGGTCTGAGTCTGGGTCTGAGGAGGTCTGAGTCTGTGGGTCTGAGGAGGTCTGAGTCTGTGGTCTGAGGAGGTCTGAGTCTGTGGGTCTGAGGAGGTCTGAGTCTGTGGTCTGAGGAGGTCTGAGTCTGTGGGTCTGAGGAGGTCTGAGTCTGTGGGTCTGAGGAGGTCTGAGTCTGTGGGTCTGAGGAGGTCTGAGTCTGGGTCTGAGGAGGTCTGAGTCTGTGGGTTGAGGGGTCTGAGAGTCTGGTCTGTGGGTCTGAGGAGGTCTGAGTCTGTGGGTCTGAGGAGGTCTGAGTCTGTGGGTCTGAGGAGGTCTGAGTCTGGGTCTGAGGAGGTCTGAGTCTGTGGGTCTGAGGAGGTCTGAGTCTGTGGTCTGAGGAGGTCTGAGTCTGTGGGTCTGAGGAGGTCTGAGTCTGGGTCTGAGGAGGTCTGAGTCTGTGGGTCTGAGGAGGTCTGAGTCTGGGTCTGAGGAGGTCTGAGTCTGTGGGTCTGAGGAGGTCTGAGTCTGGGGGTCTGAGGAGGTCTGAGTCTGTGGGTCTGAGGAGGTCTGAGTCTGTGGGTCTGAGGAGGTCTGAGTCTGTGGGTCTGAGGAGGTCTGAGTCTGTGGTCTGAGGAGGTCTGAGTCTGGGTCTGAGGAGGTCTGAGTCTGGGTCTGAGGAGGTCTGAGTCTGTGGTCTGAGGAGGTCTGAGTCTGGGTCTGAGGAGGTCTGAGTCTGTGGGTCTGAGGAGGTCTGAGTCTGGGGTCTGAGGAGGTCTGAGTCTGTGGGTCTGAGGAGGTCTGAGTCTGGGTCTGAGGAGGTCTGAGTCTGTGGGTCTGAGGAGGTCTGAGTCTGGGGTCTGAGGAGGTCTGAGTCTGTGGGTCTGAGGAGGTCTGAGTCTGGGGTCTGAGGAGGTCTGAGTCTGTGGGTCTGAGGAGGTCTGAGTCTGGGGGTCTGAGGAGGTCTGAGTCTGTGGGTCTGAGGAGGTCTGAGTCTGGGTCTGAGGAGGTCTGAGTCTGTGGGTCTGAGGAGGTCTGAGTCTGGGTCTGAGGAGGTCTGAGTCTGTGGGTCTGAGGAGGTCTGAGTCTGGGTCTGAGGAGGTCTGAGTCAGTGGGTCTGAGGAGGTCTGAGTCTGTGGTCAGGTCTGAGTCTGTGGGTCTGAGGAGGTCTGAGTCTGTGGGTCTGAGGAGGTCTGAGTCTGTGGTCTGAGGAGGTCTGAGTCTGTGGGTCTGAGGAGGTCTGAGTCTGGGTCTGAGGAGGTCTGAGTCTGTGGGTCTGAGGAGGTCTGAGTCTGTGAGGAGGTCTGAGTCTGGGTCTGAGGAGGTCTGAGTCTGTGGGTCTGAGGAGGTCTGAGTCTGGGTCTGAGGAGGTCTGAGTCTGTGGGTCTGAGGAGGTCTGTGGGTCTGAGGAGGTCTGAGTCTGTGGGTCTGAGGAGGTCTGAGTCTGGGGTCTGAGGAGGTCTGAGTCTGTGGGTCTGAGGAGGTCTGAGTCTGTGGTCTGAGGAGGTCTGAGTCTGTGGGTCTGAGGAGGTCTGAGTCTGTGGGTCTGAGGAGGTCTGAGTCTGTGGGTCTGAGGAGGTCTGAGTCTGTGGTCTGAGGAGGTCTGAGTCTGGGGTCTGAGGAGGTCTGAGTCTGGGTCTGAGGAGGTCTGAGTCTGTGGGTCTGAGGAGGTCTGAGTCTGTGGTCTGAGGAGGTCTGAGTCTGTGGGTCTGAGGAGGTCTGAGTCTGTGGGTCTGAGGAGGTCTGAGTCTGTGGGTCTGAGAGGAGGTCTTGTCTGTGTGTCTCTGTGTGTCTCTGTGTGACTGTGTGTCTGTGTGTCTCTGTGTGACTCTGTGTGACTCTGTGTGTCTCTGTGTGTCTCTGTGTGTCTCTGTGTGACTGTGTCTCTGTGTGACTCTGTGTGTCTCTGTGTGACTCTGTGTGTCTCTGTGTGTCTCTGTGTGACTCTGTGTGACTCTGTGTGTCTCTGTGTGACTCTGTGTGTCTCTGTGTGTCTCTGTGTGACTCTGTGTGACTCTGTGTTACACTGTGACCCAGGCCCCAACCCTCTCCCCGCCCCTTCTGTCTAATGCTCTTTAAATCAAACTCATCACATTCTCACGCACCCTGGAGGTCGGAGCACCAGCGTGTCATTCCCTCTCTGACCACCAGAGGGCGCTGTCCTTCAGTTCACCATCATGTAAGTAGACAGTGTAACTCCCTCTCTGACCACCAGAGGGCGCTGTCCTTCAGTTCACCATCATGTAAGTAGACAGTGTAACTCCCTCTCTGACCACCAGAGGGCGCTGTCCTTCAGTTCACCATCATGTAAGTAGACAGTGTGACTCCCTCTCTGACCACCAGAGGGCGCTGTCCTTCACTTCACCATCATGTAAGTAGACAGTGTGACTCCCTCTCTGACCACCAGAGGGGGCTGTCCTTCACTTCACCATCATGTAAGTAGACAGTGTGACTCCCTCTCTGACCACCAGAGGGTGCTGTCCTTCACTTCACCATCATGTAAGTAGACAGTGTGACTCCCTCTCTGACCACCAGAGGGCGCTGTCCTTCAGTTCACCATCATGTAAGTGGACAGTGTGACTCCCTCTCTGACCACCAGAGGGCGCTGTCCTTCAGTTCACCATCATGTAAGTGGACAGTGTGACTCCCTCTCTGACCACCAGAGGGCGCTGTCCTTCAGTTCACCATCATGTAAGTGGACAGTGTGACTCCCTCTCTGACCACCAGAGGGCGCTGTCCTTCAGTTCACCATCATGTAAGTGGACAGTGTGACTCCCTCTCTGACCACCAGAGGGCGCTGTCACTGTGACCGTTCAGAGGAAACACAATGAGGCTGAATAATAGTGTTTTATTGTATTTAAAGACAGGATTCTGTCGTTGGACGAGACGAGAGGTTTTATGTGATGATTGTAAAGAGGAACACAGACCCCAGTCCTTGGACCAGACCCCAGTCCTTGGACCAGACCAGAGTCCTTGGACCAGACCCGAGTCCTTGGACCAGACCAGAGTCCTTGGACCAGACCCGAGTCCTTGGACCAGACCAGAGTCCTTGGACCAGACCCGAGTCCTTGGACCAGACCAGAGTCCTTGGACCAGACCAGAGTCCTTGGACCAGAACTCTTCTCTTTGTAAACGGTTCCAAGATCTTCATCTCCACAGTTTGTGCGTCTTCCTCTGATGCATGTGACAGGTTTTCAAGGTGTTGTGCTTTCGTTTGTGTAAGTAAGTGGTTTAGAGAGACTTCAGGGGTCTACAGTCTCAGTCCTGGGTCTACAGTCTCAGTCCTGGGTCTACAGCCTCAGTCCTGGGTCTACAGCCTCAGTCCTGGGTCTACAGCCTCAGTCCTGGGTCTACAGGCTCAGTCCTGGGTCTACAGCCTCAGTCCTGGGTCTACAGCCTCAGTCCTGGGTCTACAGCCTCAGTCCTGGGTCTACTGCCTCAGTCCTGGGTCTACAGTCTCAGTCCTGAATCTACAGCCTCAGTCCTGGGTCTACAGTCTCAGTCCTGGGTCTACAGCCTCAGTCCTGGGTCTACAGTCTCAGTCCTGGGTCTACAGCCTCAGTCCTGGGTCTACGGCCTCAGTCCTGGGTCTACGGCCTCAGTCCTGGGTCTACAGCCTCAGTCCTGGGTCTACAGTCTCAGTCCTGGGTCTACAGCCTCAGTCCTGGGTCTACGGCCTCAGTCCTGGGTCTACGGCCTCAGTCCTGGGTCTACGGCCTCAGTCCTGGGTCTTTAACGTTGTGGATGAAGCGTCACATGCATCAGAGTCAGAAACATTTAATTTTCAGACGTAAAACTCACATTTGATAAAAACAGAAGCAGCTTATTCACTGTCCACGTTATTGCACATTTACAGGAACCAACCAGGAACTGACCAGGAACTGACCAGGAACTGACCAGGAACTGACCAGGAACTGACCAGGAACTGACCAGGAACCTGTCAGTTCCCGTCACAGAAATCTCTTCTTTCGTCACAGTTTCAGTCGTGATCATTTCTACATTATTTTCTTTATTGTTTTAGTCAAAAAAATATGGACGCGGACACGAACAGCAGAGGGCGCCACAGGCTGGAGGGCGGCGTACGCGGACCGTCTCTTGAACGCAGTCTGTGTGTGCGTGGCCCTCTGGTTGAGAACCTGTCCGTATGTGGCCCTCTGGTTGAGATCCCGTCCGTTCGCGGCCCTCTGGTTGAGATCCCGTCCGTTCGCGGCCCTCTGGTTGAGGACCCGTCCGTACACGGCCCTCTGGTTGAGAACCCGTCAGTTGAGGACCTCGTCTGTGCTCTTGAACATGAGGATGGCGTTGGAGATCTTCAGCGCTGGACCCAGTTTGATGCTCATGATCTTCACGATGTCGCTCTGAGTCAGAAGCAGGAACGCCTCGCCATCGATCATCTGAGGAGCACGGTATTTATACAGCCTCAGTCCTGGGTCTACAGTCTCAGTCCTGGGTCTACAGCCTCAGTCCTGGGTCTACAGCCTCAGTCCTGGGTCTACGGCCTCAGTCCTGGGTCTACAGCTTCAGTCCTGGGTCTACAGCCTCAGTCCTGGGTCTACGGCCTCAGTCCTGGATCTACAGCCCATGGTCTAGGACAATTCCGTATGGACCTGCTATTTTATATTTGTTGTAAACTCACCTCGTCTTTGAAGAGCCGCGCCTGCTCCTCACAGCCAATCAGACTCTGGACAAACTCAGAGACCTGCAGCAGGAGCACAGGTCAGAGGTCACAGACACAGGTCAGAGGTCACAGACACAGGTCAGAGGTCACAGACACAGGTCAGAGGTCAGAGACACAGGTCACAGGTATGACTGGGGGAGGCACACATGTCCAAACTGAGGCCTGTGGGCTAATTGTGGCCCTCTGTGTCCTGGCTCTAAAACAGAGGGATTCTGTCACCAGTTTTCACATCCTGTGTTTCTGCCTCTGTCAGATCAGATTTTTCAGGGAGAAAAGTGAAAAAAGAGGACCCCGCTCATTCTGCCTATCAGCTCTCAGCCCAGAGAGTCAGATAGTGACTCACAAGGACCTCTCTTACACAGAAGATATGTGGTCTGATCAGTTCCCAACATTTTAAGACTCTTTCTGTTGGACATTAGGGACCCCAGCTTTAATCTGTGTTTAAAGATGTCTGACCTGGTCCACGCTCCAGGCCGCAACCTGACTGCCCTCGATGCCCTGGACCCCGGGCAGCAGTTTACAGTGCTGCTCCCAGCACAGGGACAGGGAGCGGTCAGACTGTCCACTCAGAGCAGACATGAAGAGAGAGGGGTACACGTCCTCCGCAGACAGCCCTGCACACAAACACGTTTATCTGTATAGCACACTCACACAGGGAAACTCAAAGTGCGCATGGTGCGACAGAACAAGAGCTGTCACCTTGATAGTCTCTTTGTTGGCTCTTCCTGTACTTCGGAGGCCGACCGATCCTGAGGAGAACACACATTTTTTCTATTGTAACACAACCACTACGTCCTCATAGTGTAGTGTGTGACATCCTCATAGTGTTGTGTGTGTGAAGTCCTCATAGTGTTGTGTGTGTGACATCCTCATAGTGTTGTGTGTGTGACGTCCTCATAGTGTTGTGTGTGTGACATCCTCATAGCGTTGAGTGTGTGACATCCTCATAGTGTTGTGTGTGTGACATCCTCATAGTGTTGTGTGTGTGACGTCCTCATAGTGTAGTGTGTCACGTCCTCATAGTGTTGGGTATGTCACGTCCTCAGTGTTGTGTGTGTGACGTCCTCAGTGTTGTGTGTGACGTCCTCATAGTGTAGTGTGTGAAGTCCTCATAATATTGTGTGTGTGAGGTCCCCATAGTGTTGTGTGTGTGTGTGTATGTGTGTGAGACGTCCTCATAGCGTTGTTTGTGACGTTCTCATAGTGTTGTGAGTGTGACATCCTCAGTGTTGTGTGACGTTCTCATAGTGTGGTGAGTGTGTGACGTTGTTAGTGTTTTGTGTGACGTCCTCAGTGTTGTGTGTGTGACATCCTCAGCGTAGTGTGTGAGGTCCTCATAATGTTGTGTGTGTGACATCCTCGTAGTGTGTGAAGTCCTCATAGTGTTGTGTGTGTGACGTCCTCATAGTGTGTGTGTGATATCCTCATAGTGTGTGTGTGACGTCCTCAGTGTTGTGTGTGTGACATCCTCAGTGTTATGTGTGACGTCCTCAAAGTGTAGAGTGGGACGTCCTCAGTGTTGTGTGTGACGTTCTCAAAGTGTTGTGAGTGTGTGACGTCCTCAGTGTTGTGTGTGTGACGTCCTCAGTGTTGTGTGTGTGACATCCTCAGTGTTATGTGTGTGACGTCCTCATAGTGTTGGGTGTGTGTGTGACGTCCTCAGTGTTGTGTGTGACGTTCTCATAGTGTTGTGAGTGTGTGTGACATCCTCATAGTGTTGGTGTTGTGGGGTCTTTTTCCAAAAACACAATGGCTCAGTCAAAAAAACACTTTTCACAGTGATTTATTATTTCCCATTATAATCCCAGTGCAATACAGTGCAATATTTACAAGTTGTAGGCGCATGTTTCATCTCAGGTTCTCAGGTGTTGCCTTCTTTGCAACCAAGCATCAACTAAAACTCGAGCAGGCCAGCCCGGTCCTGCTCTTAAAGCACAAGCCCCTCCCCTGGGCGTTTGACAAACACAAAATACATTCACTGACTTTAAAGTCCATTTACCCCCAAAACAATACTATAGAAATAGTCCCCACTACACAGTAAAGAATAGAATAATCTCCACACTGAATAATCCCCCTTTACAGTCATAAGAAACAAAAACACAAAATAAGGATCACATGACGCTCCTCAACACTAATGTGTGTGTGCGTCTCTGCCTCTGTTTGGCGCGCAGTCCCAAGGAGCGCACGTACGTGCGCGCACACGCGAACAGTGAGTAGCACGACGGTGAGACCTAGTGTGCACCCGAGATCTCACCAAACGCACTCACACTCCCCACAGACGGAGAACTAGCCGTGGGTAATATGTAAACGCTGCTGTATTACGTGCATAACACGGACGCTCCAGAGAAAAAGAGCGCGCATTGCAGTGCGGTGCTCTCAGTACTAGGACAAGCTGTGTGGCCCCGTCACAGATGGGTGTGTGTGTGTGACGTCCTCAGTGTTGTGTGTGACGTCCTCAGTGTTGTGTGTGACGTCCTCAGTGTTGTGTGTGTGACATCCTCAGTGTTGTGTGTGTGACGTCCTCATAGTGTTGGGTGTGTGTGTGACGTCCTCAGTGTTGTGTGTGACGTCCTCACAGTGTTGTGAGTGTGTGACGTCCTCAGTGTTGTGTGTGTGATGTCCTCATAGTGTTGGGTGTGTGTGTGACGTCCTGATAGTGTTGCGTGTGACGTCCTCATAGTGCTGTGTGTGTGACGTTCTCATAGTGTTGTGAGTGTGTGACGTCCTCAGTGTTGTGTGTGTGACGTCCTGATAGTGTTGTGTGTGACGTCCTCATAGTGTTGCGTGTGACGTCCTCATAGTGCTGTGTGTGGGACGTTCTCTTATGCCGCTTTTCCACAGTATCAGTACGGTACAGTACAGTACGCTTCAGCACGGTTATTTTGCGTTTCCACTAGTGGATGGTATGGGAGATTTGAGTACTTTTCCGTACTGCCTCAGCCTTGGTTCCATCCCCATAGTACCCGTGCCATGACGTGACGTCGGCCCACTGCCTTACACTGATTGGTCAACGAGTGTCGTCACTGGAAGTGACCTCTGACCCTTTGGAAAAACAACTCAACCGCCATCTTTAAAACTGGCTGCTCTGCTCGGCTCTGCTTCGGCTACATTACGTCCTCCTCACTCCAGAGAAATGAAATCGCACGGACAGCCCCAAAAGTCCTGGTCCTGGTCGGTGGACGAGGTCCACACGTTCCTCTCTTCAAGCCAAAGAAAGAATTCAAAGGCAGCTCGAGGCTCAACACAGTTTTCAGGAGATCACCAGCTCTGGATTTGTGACTAGTCTGTGGTAGCGTTTCGTTCGGGCCTGAAAAATGAAGCCCGACCCGGCCCGAGCCCGCTAATGTTTAGCCCGAGCCCGTATAAGCCCGACCAATGAACGCTGTATAACAGGCCCGAGCCCGACAGAACCCGACACATCAGAACCCGACACATCTGATTTCCGTGTTGTACGCACTCACCTTCCAATTGCAAATTTAATCTCCACTTTTGAATTTGTTTTGTCTCCACTTGATCCATTTCTACTATTGTTCCTGTTCGCTGTTGACCACAGCAGCAGGAGACACGGGGATGATGCGTTCACGGCTCGCTGCTGCTGTAGGACACGCTGGTTACGGTGTCATTAATATATTCACTTTTTTTAATAACTTTTTGTCAATCAACGGACATTGTTATTAAAAAATGTGTCCACTCACCTTTGCGCTGTAACCTCTTCTAGCTTTGGGGTCACTGCCCCGAGTGCACCGATCACCACGGGCACTACTGTGACCTTTACCCTCCAGGCCCTCTCCAGCTCCTCTCTGAGACCTTGGTATTTCTCAAGCTTTGTTACCATCGCTTGGAATTGCCACGTCCACCACCACGGCTGTCCTCTGCCCTTTGTCCACCACCACGGCTGTCCTCTGCCCTTTGTCCACCACCACGGCTGTCCTCTGCCCTTTGTCCACCACCATGGCTGTCCTCTGCCCTTTGTCCACCACCACGGCTGTCCTCTGCCCTTTGTCCACCACCAGTGCTGTCCTCTGCCCTTTGTCTACCACCACGGCTGTCCTCTGCCCTTTGTCCACCACCACGGCTGTCCTCTGCCCTTTGTCTACCACCACGGCTGTCCTCTGCCCTTTGTCCACCACCACGGCTGTCCTCTGCCCTTTGTCCACCACCACGGCTGTCCTCTGCCCTTTGTCCACCACCACGACTGTCCTCTGCCCTTTGTCCACCACCACTGCTGTCCTCTGCCCTTTGTCTACCACCACGGCTGTCCTCTGCCCTTTGTCCACCACCACGGCTGTCCTCTGCCCTTTGTCCACCACCACGGCTGTCCTCTGCCCTTCGTCCACCACCACGGCTGTCCTCTGCCCTTTGTCCACCACCACGGCTGTCCTCTGCCCTTTGCACCACCACGGCTGTCCTCTGCCCTTTGTCCACCACCACTGCTGTCCTCTGCCCTTTGTCCACCACCACGGCTGTCCTCTGCCCTTTTGTCCACCACCACGGCTGTCCTCTGCCCTTTGTCCACCACCACTGCTGTCCTCTGCCCTTTGTCCACCACCACGGCTGTCCTCTGCCCTTTGTCCACCACCACGGCTGTCCTCTGCCCTTCGTCCACCACCACGGCTGTCCTCTGCCCTTTGTCCACCACCACGGCTGTCCTCTGCCCTTTGTCCACCACCACGGCTGTCCTCTGCCCTTTGTCCACCACCACTGCTGTCCTCTGCCCTTCGTCCACCACCACGACTGTCCTCTGCCCTTTGTCCACCACCACGGCTGTCCTCTGCCCTTCGTCCACCACCACGGCTGTCCTCTGCCCTTTGTCCACCACCACGATGTCAGGTTGGTTCATTACCATTCGGTCGGTCTGTATCTGGAAGTCCCACAGGATCTTCGCACGCTCATTCTCCACCACCTTTGGAGGAGTTTCCCACTTAGACCTTGGGGTTTCCAGCCCATACTCTGCACAGATGTTTCTGTACACTATGCAGCCACTTGGTTATGGCGTTCCATGTAGGCACCAATGTCAGCACCATTGACTTCACAGTTTCTGAGTCATTCTTTTAAGAAAAAAGCATTTTAAAAACTACTCGTGCTGAACTTTCTATTAAACACTTGCTCTGATATTATAATAAATCCATGCACCGCAGCAGCACTAGTTACACGTCACACGTAAATGACGTGGTCTGACAACACTGAGGACAAACTGGGGGAACTATTTATGATGGAAAAGCACGAGAACTGGGCCATGGCGCGCCGTGTAGAGTCAAAACGTACCGTACTAGGACTGTGGAAAAGCGGCAATAGTGTTGTGAGTGTGTGACGTCCTCATAGTGTTGTGTGTGTGACGTCCTCATAGTGTTGTGTGTGTGACGTCCTCATAGTGTAGTGTGTGTGACGTCCTCAAAGTGTAGTATGTAGTGTGTGTATGTGTGTGATATGTTGTTGTGTGTTCCCTGCCATGATAGTGCGATGTCATAATGTTGTGAGTGTGTGTATGTGTGATTTGTTGTTGTGCATTACCTGCCGCGATAGTGTGTTTTCTTCCTCTGACCAAAGAACAGGTTTCGTTTTCCTTCTGAGTCCGACAGATCGGCCTTCAGTCGCCCCTGGTTACGCTCAGCCAATGGGCAGCCAGAGATACAGTGATGAGCGGTAAACCGGCCAGTCACATGACCCGAGCCGTCACAGCCCGGCGTCGGACACTTCCTGTGGCCATATATGGGACAGTGGTTATGGTGTGTTTATATCTATGACCCTGTATCTCTATGACCCTTTATCCCACTGACCCTGTATCCCACTGACCCTGTATCCCACTGACCCTGTATCCCACTGACCCTTGTATCCTACTGACCCTTGTATCCCACTGACCCTGTACCCACTGACCCTGTATCCCACTGACCCTCTATCCCACTGACCCTGTATTCCACTGACCCTGTATCCACTGACCCTTGTATCCACTGACCCTGTATCCCACTGACCCTTGTATCCCACTGACCCTGTATCCCACTGACCCTGTATCCTACTGACCCTTGTATCCCACTGACCCTGTACCCTCTGACCCTGTATCCCACTGACCCTGTATCCCACTGACCCTTGTATCCACTGACCCTGTACCCACTGACCCTGTATCCACTGACCCTGTATCCACTGACCCTGTATCCACTGACCCTTGTATCCACTGACCCTGTATCCCACTGACCCTGTATCCCACTGACCCTGTATCCACTGACCCTGTATCCACTGACCCTATCCACTGACCCTGTATCCACTGACCCTGTATCCACTGACCCTGTATCCACTGACCCTGTATCCACTGACCCTGTATCCACTGACCCTGTATCCACTGACCGGTTGTGGAAGCTGTACTTGCTGGCCCGGGCGTGTCCCAGGGGTTTGCAGGGGGCGGGGCCTGAGGCGGGGAACGAGGCGGGTCCCGTGGGCTCCCGCAGGACTCCTCGGGGCGACAACAGCACACTGAGATCCACGCCTGGGTTTAGCAAACTCTAGTATTGTGTGTAGTTACCATGAGCTGGGGCAGGCTGGTCCCGGGGGGGCACTTTGAGGGGGTGGGCCGTGGCCTCGCACCATCCGGCCGGGTGCAGGTCCGGGTGGTCCGAGTCCATCCACTCATCGTACACGTGGCTCCAGCCGTCGTAGTGGATCTGCCACAAATATAATCATCAGTAGTAAGCAAACATACAGACAATCACTAGACCTGGTCTGACCACACCATGGTACTCATTTCATTTGTACTATGGTCTGGGTTTGGTGGGAGGGGCTAACTCCTTTTGCAGATTGAAACCATTGGATCGGAGTTCACCGTGACGTACAGTATGTAATGCGCCCGAGTGAGTGAGGCATTTAGCATTTAGCCTAGCTTTAGCAGGTAGCCTAGCTTTAGCATGTAGCCTAGCTTTAGCCACCTCCTTTGCCGCTAACGGAGCCCGTGGGGAGTAGAGCCACAACATCTTTGCTTCAATGACATTTACTAAACACTCCTCTTGCTCCGCCTTCAGTTTCTTGATGGATGAGTTTCAGACGGACTGATTGTACTGGAGCACCAAATCCAAGCTGAAGGACCATGTGCTCGCGGGATTCTCACTGCAGACTAAACCAGACTCAACCAGACTAAACCAGACCAAATTCATGTTACCCAGAAACAAAGAAGCTGATGTGACCGTTGGTTGGCCCTGTGGATGGGAAGTTTATTTCTTTTTTTTTTATAATTAAAATGTGTATTGACTCGATCAGCAGTTCTTACATTAACAATCTACAAAATGTTACATACATGGTACATTAGAATGTGTACCTTTATTAACACTTTTTTTTTTACATAATAGAACAAAAACAAAAGAACAATTGAGTAGCAAAGGGATATCACACGTGTCCTTAAGTGTTGGTATAATGTGTCCAACATTTCCAATAGTCCTCAAATCTGTGGTGATCCAGTCTTAGTGCAGAAGTCTCTCCATGAAACATGTCTTTAACAAGTGATATCCAGTCTTAGTGCAGAAGTCTCTCCATGAAACATGTCTTTAACGAGTGATATCCAGTCTTAGTGCAGAAGTCTCTCCATGAAACATGTCTTTAACAGTGATATCCAGTCTTAGTGCAGAAGTCTCTCCATGAAACATGTCTTTAACAAGTGATATCCAGTCTTAGTGCAGAAGTCTCTCCATGAAACATGTCTTTAACAAGTGATATCCAGTCTTAGTGCAGAAGTCTCTCCATGAAACATGTCTTTAACAAGTGATATCCAGTCTTAGTGCAGAAGTCTCTCCATGAAACATGTCTTTAACAAGTGATATCCAGTCTTAGTGCAGAAGTCTCTCCATGAAACATGTCTTTAACGAGTGATATCCAGTCTTAGTGCAGAAGTCTCTCCATGAAACATGTCTTTAACGAGTGATATCCAGTCTTAGTGCAGAAGTCTCTCCATGAAACATGTCTTTAACAAGTGATATCCAGTCTTAGTGCAGAAGTCTCTCCATGAAACATGTCTTTAACGAGTGATATCCAGTCTTAGTGCAGAAGTCTCTCCATAAACATGTCTTTAACAAGTGATATCCAGTCTTAGTGCAGAAGTCTCTCCATGAAACATGTCTTTAACAAGTGATATCCAGTCTTAGTGCAGAAGTCTCTCCATGAAACATGTCTTTAACAAGTGATATCCAGTCTTAGTGCAGAAGTCTCTCCATGAAACATGTCTTTAACAAGTGATATCCAGTCTTAGTGCAGAAGTCTCTCCATGAAACATGTCTTTAACAAGTGATATCCAGTCTTAGTGCAGAAGTCTCTCCATGAAACATGTCTTTAACGAGTGATATCCAGTCTTAGTGCAGAAGTCTCTCCATGAAACATGTCTTTAACGAGTGATATCCAGCCCCAACACAGGTGTTCTGTCTGTCATCCATTTCTTTGTGATCGTGCTCGTTGTCAGTAAAACATTCCACATATATTTTTTACTCGCCCCTTTTCTACAGTCTGGTTGTATCCCCAAAAACATAGTTTCAAAATTCAAAGGAACATTAATGCCAAAAACCGTGTCAATGCCCTGTTTAATAGCCATCCAGTAATTGGTTATTTTTGAACAACTCCAGAATATGTGGTGATGCCGTTTCCACATAACCTCCAACAGGAAGTGTCAGCACTTGAGCCTCTCTGGAGTTTTAAAAAAACGTACCATACATTTCCATGAAAACTCTCTCCATACAGGGGATGATGTGCTTTTCCATACATTAACAGGGATTTTAACCCAATTTTCCATTTGTATGGAGAGATTACCCTCTTTCTCCCATTTTTCTTTAATATACAGTGTATTTTCATTCTGCAAGTTTTGCAGCTCATCATATAGTTTAGAAATCAACTTATTGTTTGCTCCTTGCTGAAATGCTTTTATAAATATTGTTATTAATCCCGACAGCTGCTTTGTATGGTCTCTATAATTTTGGTTCAAGTAGTGGCGGACCTGAAGGTATCGGAGAAAGTCTCTGTTGTCAAGATTGTAGGTCCTTTTCAAATCTTGATAGCTCCTCATTTGATCTTTATGATAAAACTGATTTTAAGTCATTAAACCTTTTGTCAGACCAATTTTTAAATGTTTTATCTCCTACATTTGGGGTAAAGTCCTTGTCATACGCAATCCAATTGATCATAAGGGTGCATTTTGGATTGTCCTTTATTATTTTTGACCAGATCAAGTGCTGCCTTGGTCCATGGGTTAAGATCCCTCACATTACTCATTAAATTAGTGTTGCCAATCATTGCCGGTACAGGGATTACTTCAGATCTGTATTCTATGTCTTTCCATTTTGCTGTATATGATGAGCTGCAAATATCAAACAATGGGCTTAGTTGGGCCGCTCTGTAATAATTCTTCAGATTTGGAAGAGAGAGTCCACCCTTGTTACTTATTCTAGGTTTTTTCCCTTCCCAGATAAACCTTGAAAATAATTTATCCAGTTCCTGGAACATTGTTGTTGAAGAGTCAACAGGTATTGTTTGAAATAGATTTAATAGTTTAGGCAAGATTACCATCTTAATTGCTTCTACTCTGTGTAAAAGTCCTAGATGGGGATCAGGCTCCATCTATCCAAATCAGTTTTAATTTTAGCAATAAGTGGATCGTAGTTTATTGACTTTAAAGTTTGTATGTCCTTTGGAATATGTGCTCCCAAGTATGTTATTGAGTCCATGCACCAATTGATTTTAAATATTTTCTTTATGGGATCTTCTGGGTTGTAGTTGAATGTCAATACTTGTGATTTATGAGAGTTTAATCTATAGCCTGATATGTTTATCCAAGTAAACTAGGACATCAATCTTCTGTTCCTTCTCATTTACTTTAATGCCTTTTATCTTTCTATTTTGTCTGATATATTGTGCCAGGGGCTCAATAAAAATGCCAAATAAAATGGGAGATAAATGCCCCGTCTACAACCTTGTTCAATAGTTAGAGGATTTGATAGACCTCCATTTATTCTAATTTTCCCTATAGGTTTGTTATATAATCCGTGTATTACTTTTATAAACTTTTCGGTAAAGTTAAATTTGGAAAGTACTTTATAAAGAAAAGCCCAATCTACAGTGTCAAATGCTTTTTGTGTGTCCAGGCCCAAAACAGCAGCTGGTTTTTTATCTTTCTGTATTTGATGAATCACATGTAGTGTCTTATATTATCTCTTTTCCTCTCCTTGATAAAGTCTGTCTGGTCCAAATTTATTATGTCCGGGAGAATATGTTCCAGTCTTTTGGCCAAGATGGAGGTGAAGATCTTATAATCCTGATTCAGTAAACTAATGGGTCTGAAATTTTGAGCAATCTAATTTGTCCGTACCATCCTTTGGGATAACTGTGATAATGGTCTCTTTCCAAGTGGGTGGGATTTGATCTTGTACCAGTCAGCATTGTAGCCGTCGGAACCTGGAGATTTATTCAATTTGAGCATTTTAACTGCTTTTGCCAGTTCCTGAGCAGTTATATTCCTTGTTAAAGTTGTATTTTGAGCAAAGGCAATTCCAATTGGTTTAACATTGGTGAGGTCATATCTTCCTTATCTGGCTCCTTTAAACTATAAAGTTTCCGATAATATCCAGCAAAAATGTCTCTAACTTCTAACTCTTTGTGACTTCATTAGTAGAGGGATCTCTTATTTTGTAACAGACCTTTCTGCTTGTTGTTTTTGAAGTCTGTAGGCCAGGACCTTTGTAGGTTTACTTCCTGCTTCATAATAGCTCTGTTTTAGATAAAGTAGTTCAGTCTTTATTTTATTCTGTAATTCTTGATTGATTTCGCGTTTAATTTCTTTTATTTTTTGCAGGGTATCATCGTCTCCACTATTTTTGTGTTTTTCTTCCAAGTTGATAAGTTTTTGCTCCATTCTCTGTTCTCGTCTTTTTTTAAGAAGAGTGCTCTTTGCAGTCAGTTTACCCTCAGGACCGCTTTACAGGCATCCCATAATATTTCAGGAGAAACTTATATTATCATTGTCTTTGATGTCATTTTTAATTTCTTCTCTGATTTCTCCTTTAAGAATGCTCGAGTTAAGTCTCCATAAAAAAGGTGTTTTAATCTTGTCTATGTCTAGCTTCATGTGCACAGGACACTGATCAGAGAGGTCCCAGAGAGGTCCACTGATCAGAGAGGTCCACTGATCAGAGAGGTCCACTGATCAGAGAGGTCCACTGATCAGAGAGGTCCACTGATCAGAGAGGTCCACTGATCAGAGAGGTCCACTGATCAGAGAGGTCCACTGATCAGAGAGGTCCACTGATCAGAGAGGTCCACTGATCAGAGAGGTCCACTGATCAGAGAGGTCCGGTCTTGAATAGGAACGAAGTGTTGCAGAGTAAAATGTATAATCCCTCTGGTGGAGGTGTGACCCTCTGGTGGGGGTGTGACCCTCTGGTGGAGGTGTGACCCTCTGGTGGGGGTGTGACCCTGTGGTGGGGGTGTGACCCTGTGGTGGGGGTGTGACCCTGTGGTGGGGGTGTGACCCTGTGGTGGAGGTGTGACCCTGTGGTGGGGGTGTGACCCTGTGGTGGGGGTGTGACCCTGTGGTGGGGGTGTGACCCTGTGGTGGGGGTGTGACCCTCTGGTGGGGGTGTGACCCTCTGGTGGGGGTGTGACCCTGTGGTGGGGGTGTGACCCTGTGGTGGGGGTGTGACCCTGTGGTGGGGGTGTGACCCTCTGGTGGGGGTGTGACCCTCTGGTGGAGGTGTGACCCTCTGGTGGGGGTGTGACCCTGTGGTGGGGGTGTGACCCTCTGGTGGGGGTGTGACCCTGTGGTGGAGGTGTGACCCTGTGGTGGGGGTGTGACCCTGTGGTGGGGGTGTGACCCTCTGGTGGGGGTGTGACCCTGTGGTGGAGGTGTGACCCTGTGGTGGGGGTGTGACCCTCTGGTGGGGGTGTGACCCTCTGGTGGAGGTGTGACCCTCTGGTGGGGGTGTGACCCTCTGGTGGGGGTGTGACCCTCTGGTGGGGGTGTGACCCTGTGGTGGGGGTGTGACCCTCTGGTGGAGGTGTGACCCTGTGGTGTAGGTGTGACCCTGTGGTGGGGGTGTGACCCTGTGGTGGAGGTGTGACCCTGTGGTGGGGGTGTGACCCTGTGGTGGGGGTGTGACCCTGTGGTGGGGGTGTGACCCTGTGGTGGGGGTGTGACCCTGTGGTGGGGGTGTGACCCTGTGGTGGAGGTGTGACCCTGTGGTGGGGGTGTGACCCTGTGGTGGGGGTGTGACCCTGTGGTGGGGGTGTGACCCTCTGGTGGAGGTGTGACCCTGTGGTGGGGGTGTGACCCTGTGGTGGAGGTGTGACCCTGTGGTGGGGGTGTGACCCTGTGGTGGAGGTGTGACCCTGTGGTGGGGGTGTGACCCTGTGGTGGGGGTGTGACCCTGTGGTGGGGGTGTGACCCTGTGGTGGAGGTGTGACCCTGTGGTGGGGTGTGACCCTGTGGTGGGGGTGTGACCCTGTGGTGGGGGTGTGACCCTGTGGTGGGGGTGTGAACCTCTGGTGGAGGTGTGACCCTCTGGTGGGGGTGTGACCCTGTGGTGGGGGTGTGACCCTGTGGTGGAGGTGTGACCCTCTGGTGGGGGTGTGACCCTGTGGTGGAGGTGTGACCCTGTGGTGGGGGTGTGACCCTGTGGTGGGGGTGTGACCCTGTGGTGGAGGTGTGACCCTGTGGTGGAGGTGTGACCCTGTGGTGGGGGTGTGACCCTGTGGTGGGGGTGTGACCCTCTGGTGGGGGTGTGACCCTCTGGTGGAGGTGTGACCCTCTGGTGGGGGTGTGACCCTGTGGTGGAGGTGTGACCCTGTGGTGGGGGTGTGACCCTGTGGTGGAGGTGTGACCCTGTGGTGGAGGTGTGACCCTGTGGTGGGGGTGTGACCCTGTGGTGGGGGTGTGACCCTGTGGTGGGGGTGTGACCCTGTGGTGGAGGTGTGACCCTGTGGTGGGGGTGTGACCCTGTGGTGGGGGTGTGACCCTCTGGTGGGGGTGTGACCCTCTGGTGGGGGTGTGACCCTCTGGTGGGGGTGTGACCCTCTGGTGGAGGTGTGACCCTGTGGTGGGGGTGTGACCCTCTGGTGGGGGTGTGACCCTGTGGTGGAGGTGTGACCCTGTGGTGGGGGTGTGACCCTGTGGTGGGGGTGTGACCCTGTGGTGGGGGTGTGACCCTGTGGTGGGGGTGTGACCCTCTGGTGGAGGTGTGACCCTGTGGTGTAGGTGTGACCCTGTGGTGGGGGTGTGACCCTGTGGTGGAGGTGTGACCCTCTGGTGGGGGTGTGACCCTGTGGTGGGGGTGTGACCCTCTGGTGGAGGTGTGACCCTGTGGTGTGGGTGTGACCCTGTGGTGGGGGTGTGACCCTGTGGTGGAGGTGTGACCCTGTGGTGGGGGTGTGACCCTGTGGTGGAGGTGTGACCCTGTGGTGGAGGTGTGACCCTGTGGTGGAGGTGTGACCCTGTGGTGGAGGTGTGACCCTCTGGTGGGGTGTGACCCTGTGGTGGGGGTGTGACCCTGTGGTGGGGGTGTGACCCTGTGGTGGGGGTGTGACCCTGTGGTGGAGGTGTGACCCTGTGGTGGGGGTGTGACCCTGTGGTGGAGGTGTGACCCTGTGGTGGGGGTGTGACCCTGTGGTGGGGGTGTGACCCTGTGGTGGAGGTGTGACCCTGTGGTGGGGGTGTGACCCTGTGGTGGGGGTGTGACCCTGTGGTGGGGGTGTGAACCTCTGGTGGAGGTGTGACCCTCTGGTGGGGGTGTGACCCTGTGGTGGGGGTGTGACCCTGTGGTGGGGGTGTGACCCTGTGGTGGGGGTGTGACCCTGTGGTGGGGGTGTGACCCTGTGGTGGAGGTGTGACCCTGTGGTGGGGGTGTGACCCTGTGGTGGGGGTGTGACCCTGTGGTGGGGGTGTGACCCTCTGGTGGGGGTGTGACCCTGTGGTGGGGGTGTGACCCTCTGGTGGGGGTGTGACCCTCTGGTGGGGGTGTGACCCTCTGGTGGAGGTGTGACCCTGTGGTGGGGGTGTGACCCTGTGGTGGGGGTGTGACCCTGTGGTGGGGGTGTGACCCTCTGGTGGGGGTGTGACCCTGTGGTGGGGGTGTGACCCTGTGGTGGGGGTGTGACCCTCTGGTGGAGGTGTGACCCTGTGGTGGGGGTGTGACCCTGTGGTGGAGGTGTGACCCTCTGGTGGGGGTGTGACCCTCTGGTGGGGGTGTGACCCTGTGGTGGGGGTGTGACCCTGTGGTGGGGGTGTGACCCTCTGGTGGAGGTGTGACCCTCTGGTGGGGGTGTGACCCTCTGGTGGGGGTGTGACCCTGTGGTGGGGGTGTGACCCTGTGGTGGGGGTGTGACCCTGTGGTGGGGGTGTGACCCTGTGGTGGGGGTGTGACCCTCTGGTGGGGGTGTGACCCTCTGGTGGGGGTGTGACCCTGTGGTGGGGGTGTGACCCTGTGGTGGGGGTGTGACCCTGTGGTGGGGGTGTGACCCTCTGGTGGGGGTGTGACCCCTCTGGGTGACCCTCTGGTGGAGGTGTGACCCTGTGGTGGGGGTGTGACCCTGTGGTGGGGGTGTGACCCTCTGGTGGAGGTGTGACCCTGTGGTGGGGGTGTGACCCTGTGGTGGGGGTGTGACCCTCTGGTGGGGGTGTGACCCTGTGGTGGGGGTGTGACCCTCTGGTGAGGGTGTGACCCTGTGGTGGGGGTGTGACCCTGTGGTGGGGGTGTAATTCACGCCACACATCTCCAATTCCCAATTCTTTCATTAACTTTTCCATTTTTTCCCAGTATTATTGTGTGAGGTCTGTGCAGAAGAGTCCTCTAAAGGGTTCAGTCTTACATTAAAATCCCCACCACAAATAACAATACCTTGTGCCTTTGTGGCCATCATATCGATTACACATTTGTAAAGAGACCATGATGACCCAGGGGGGGGGGGCGTAAACATTAATAAAGGTACTCTCTAAACCATGATGACCCAGGGGGGGGGGGGCGTAAACATTAATAAAGGTACTCTCTAAACCATGATGACCCGGGGGGGGGGGGGGCGTAAACATTAATAAAGGTACTCTCTAAACCATGATGACCCAGGGGGGGGGGGGGGGCGTAAACATTAATAAAGGTACTCTCTAAACCATGATGACCCAGGGGGGGGGGGGGGGCGTAAACATTAATAAAGGTACTCTCTAAACCATGATGACCCGGGGGGGGGGGGGGCGTAAACATTAATAAAGGTACTCTCTAAACCATGATGACCCGGGGGGGGGGGGGGGGGCGTAAACATTAATAAAGGTACTCTCTAAACCATGATGACCCAGGGGGGGGGCGTAAACATTAATAAAGGTACTCTCTAAACCATGATGACCCAGGGGGGGGGCGTAAACATTAATAAAGGTACTCTCTAAACCATGATGACCCAGGGGGGGGGGCGTAAACATTAATAAAGGTACTCTCTAAACCATGATGACCCAGGGGGGGGGGGGGGGGGCGTAAACATTAATAAAGGTACTCTCTAAACCATGATGACCCAGGGGGGGGGGGCGTAAACATTAATAAAGGTACTCTCTAAACCATGATGACCCAGAAGGGGGGGGGGGGGCGTAAACATTAATAAAGGTACTCTCTAAACCATGATGACCCAGGGGGGGGGGCGTAAACATTAATAAAGGTAATCTCTAAACCTTCAAGTCGACCTATGACCATATTATATCGACCCTCCTTGTGTCTTAATGTTCGGCTATTTTTTCAAACGAACCTTTGCGGACTTCCAGAATTCCACTTTGTCACTTTCTAGCACAATCGGTCTCGATTCCAGCGGCTGAAAGAATCAGTAAATATTATTAGCCACATCAAATCCTTTTTCCCATCTAAACATTGCCTGGATCAAAAACATAGTGTCTAAAGCAGACCTGGAGATTCTTATCCATGCATTTGTCTCCAGTAGGTTAGACTACTTTAACAACAGCTGCAGTACATTCAAAATGCAGCAGCTCAAGTCCTAACCAGAACCAGGAAGTACGATGGCAAGGCAAGTTTATTTGTCTAGCACAATTCATACACAAGGCAACTCGAAGTGCTGAGCAAAATAAGAAAGCATTAAAATAAATAATCACAGTACATTAAAAAAGATAAATATAAAATCACTCAGTTGTAGCACAGCTAAACAGAACTGTTTTTAACCTGGTTTTAAACCTTGTCAGAGAAGAGGCCTGTCTCACTTTAGCTGTGCTACAACTGAGGGATTTTATATTTATCTTTGTTAATGTACTGGGATTATTTAATGCTTTCTTTTGCTCAGCACTTTGAGTTTCCTTGTGTATGAATTGTGCTACACAAATAAACCTCCCTTGCCTTACTGTGCGATGCAGTTTAGTCTTACCCTCTTTCTTCTCGCTCGACTCTGAGCTGAACTATTCGCCACATCCGCCCTCAATGAGTTTTCTGGCTTGGCATTTTGATGGGCTCCTGCGAACCGTCTCATAATAAGTCTTACAGGCCGCTAGAAAACAATCAAAAGAGTGATATGAATAAAAATCAAACGCAAGTCACAGTAACGTCACACAAGGAAGAAACAGTAAAACACTTACACACAATGTCATCTTTATCAACATGGTGGAAATGTGGACTTATTGTTCACATTGTATTGCAGATATTGTGTTAAGCAAATAGGAAGTCACCGTCTCATTACGAGGCTTGATTAGCCTGAAAACAAAGTGTACAGTTATGATTGGTATCTATACATATCCATTACCGACACAAAACGTGTGTAGATAAACCAAATTCAATTTCCATGGATACATTAACAATACTTACATAATCTTTTTGAGAAAATGGATCCTTCAATGAAGAAAAAAGTGTGATACTTCTAAGAGCATAGCTTTCTTTTTGTTTTCGGGAAGGCATTTGTCTAAGGAAAGAAAAACAGTCATGGTCAAGGGACTTCATGGTTACATTAAAAGGCTAAATTATTAGTATCTACAAGTACATATTTTCACGGGGACCTAACCAAGAGATAATCTACAGGAGAACATCTACCTAGGTCATTTATAAAAGAGATAAGTACTATTTATCTTACAATGGGGAATCAATAACAGTGGTGAGAGAAACTGAATTGTTATGTGATTATTGTGAAAGGTCTTTCAAGTGATTTTCATTTTATTTTGAGTAAATATCCTTCCACTTGTAAGAAGGAACTTTTGAGTATTAACTGAGGGATACAACATACCCATGTGTTTCACTCATGTTACTGACGAGAAGGTCGACAAGTTGTCTTCGAGAGCGGTGACTTAGTGATCTCACAGAATTATAATCTTTAAGGATCTCTCGGTCACCAGGGTTTTCCTGCAGTTCCACCATCTACAAACACATGGAAAATGTAAAATGACAATCTACAATTGTACCAAAAATCTTATGATACAAAATGCAGCAGTACCTCTTTTGCTGTGTCCTTCTCACACATGTCCTGATTGGATCTCCTTGTAACTGCCACAGAGGATTCTCCTTCAGAATTACCTGTATATTTTACATAATACAACTGTATTTAAACAGGTTTTTTCTGTATATTTACCAAAACCACCCCGTTATTAAAACTAGTTTTTACAGTAAAAAGTACATGTTTACTACGCTTTTTATACATAATCACCTAATTATTAAAACGATCTTTTTCAGCTAAATGTACAGGTTTACTATGCTTTTTATAAGTTACCACCTTGTTATTAAACAATCTTTTTCAGTACAGTTTACAAGTTTAATGTTTTGTATGTACTTTGACATTTCCCTGAAAAATATTGCACTTTCAACATTGCTTAACTAAAAGCTGCATTAAATGAGTCATTTCACAAAATAAATGAAAATGAAACTTTACTGTATATTCAGTGACAACACTACAGTGCCAAAAGTCAATAATAAGACCGTTTTAAACAAATGTCAAAATATTTCACTGTAAAACACTAATGTCAAATAAAATATTCTCAAATATGCTTATCTCCATCCAAAAATAATTAAAACAAAAGACTTTTTTGGCTTGTATGATGCAATCTGATCCAAGCCATTACGCAAGCCATTTAGAATTTAAACTAAGTTGATTTTTTATGCAGATAAAAAGGAGGACCCATGTTGTGTGGCCGAATAATATAAGGGGCACTTGTATCGCGTACAACTCCTAAAGACTTCTCTCCCGCCCACTTCAGTCAATAGAAACTATAGAAATAAAAAAACAGCGTGACTAGCTCAGACTGGGGTCAAGCAGTTATTAATTTCCATTTTTTCCTTTTATTGATTGAAGTGAGCATGAGAGAAGTCTTTGAAGCGTTGTGTGTGGAAGTACTCCTCGTATTATTCCGCCTCACAACATAAGTTATTTTTATTCCGCTTAGAAAATCAATATGTTTAAATTCTGTGTAACTACACTTCACGTCACTGAATTTAAAAATAGAATAAACATGGCAGAGCTCGCTAGCTTCAAATGTCTCAGATGTGACATTACACAAAGAGCAAAAGGTACACATCAGCTGGGCTAACCTAAGGTAAGAACATTTCAGTAAGGAAACACTTAACTATTCCTTTAACAGAAAATACATGTGGGTTTAAGCTTAATTTAAGAGCTGAAGAACAAATTTGAAACATTGAACGTCACAACAATATAAAACTCCATCGCAGCCCACAAACCTTACTTATTTCAGTCCATATTCAGACATTACACCACTCATGATCTGAAAGTTCTTGAATCAAGGTAAGGACTCTGGGGTTCACATTAAGACGTTTGGTTTTGCTTTTCTCCACTTTGGTCCCCTTCTCTGGGTTGATGGAGAAAAAAACACCTGAAATATATTTAAATAAAAATTACATTTAAAATACAAATGTGCTGCAATACAAACTGCTTAGCTCTGCATCACAGTGGTGCAGACAGAGCTAAGCAGTCAAACACAGGTCATGGGTTAAAGGAATAGGCCACCGTGTTTACATACTGACATATGTTCTTACCTTAGACTAGTTGATATGTACCTGTCTGGTCTGTGTCCATGTGCTCTGTCATGCAAACAGAGCACAAACGCAGCCTCTTCCACAGAGTGTATAGTAACAAATCAGCTCCCGTTAGAAGCTCCCAAACTCTTCCACGTGTTCCCTATTTAAATACAGTTACGTGACGTGTTACACTACCAAGTACAGTAACACAGAAATGTAACATGTCGATTTTCTCAGTGGATAAAAAGGGGCACTATATTGTGAGGCGTAATAATACGAGGAGCACAATGAGCGCTACGTCCACGCACTAACTCCCAAGACTTCTCTCCCGCTCACGCTGCTATTGACGGAAGTGAGCGGGAGAGAAGTCTTGGGAGTTAGTGCATGGACGTTGTGCTCCTCGTATTATTACTATACTTGGTAGTGTAACACGTCACGTAACTGTATTTAAATAGGGAACACGTGGAGGAGTTTGGGAGCTTCTAACGGGAGCTGATTTGGAACTATACAGTGGAAGAGGCTGTGTTTGTGCTCAGTTTGCATGACAGAGCATATGTCAGTGTGTAAAAACGGTGGCCTATTCCTTAAAGTCCTAGCTGCTTACATGTTTCCTCCCACATTACAAAATGAACACATGTAGGATTCACTGAATACTTATGGAGGTCCTCTAACTACAGCCCATGTGTCTGAATCAAGTGTTGATCTTGTGGATCAACACTTGTGCTGCATTTTCTCCAGTTTGATTTTACCCAAATGTAATACCTTCTGGGGAAAAAAGAACAGCAACAAAAACTGAAAAAAGATACATGTTTCTATTATGTTGAGCTTTTGTGGATTTCTTTGTTGTGCTTTTATCCAATTTTAGATTTGGGTAAAACCAAACTGGAGAAAATGTAGTTTGATCAGGTGGGGGTTAAGAGGTTAATATACAAAAAGGCATATACCTCTGCAGAAACTCCAGAGTTGAGGCCAGTTGTATTGGATAATGGATGTTTAAGCAATAATAACTCCCAAACATCATGGAAATGGCCGACACAAAGGAGCCAACGTTGTCCTGGACAATCATACGATCCACACTCAGCATAAACCGGTTTGCAGATTAACAGGATTGTCCTTCAAGGAGAAACAAAACGAGTTAAATACAAGTAAAATGACATTTCACCAGGCAGAACATTAACTCCTTAGCATCAATATAGAAATGGGTTCAAAGAATGGACAAATTAAAGCAAAAGAATAAAAGAAGTTCTCACCACACACACAATGATGGTAGGAGTCATGGTTGCTCCATTGGCACTTCTCCTGCAGGCATGACTCTCTCCTCCAAGTAGGACAGCAGAAGCACCCTGTCTTTTGTGTCCTCTCAAGACTTTATACTTTGTCAGATCCTCAAGGAACCTTTTACATTTGTATTTGCACACGGTGTTCATGTAGCGCAGGAGCCTTTTCCCTTTCTGATCAATACAAAACCGACAAGTAATCATCTTGGCAAACACATTCCCTTCAAACAATGCCTGTTTAGTGCAGATCTTAAACTAATCAAATGAATATCTTACCTGTATTCCAAACAGCCACAGAGCCTCTCCTCAGCCCGCACGTGCTCAAGTTGCGCTCTTCTGGTTAGCACGTTTGGCTAAACACGTGCCAAACGTATGGTTCTGAAAATAACCGGATATCAGCTTAATTGTTTTATGAGATGTTTATGCCAGAATGACAAGATTTTGTCTACGTGTGAAATGCAACACCGTAAATGCAGTCCAGTTTCATGTCACCAGCATCACACAATGGAAATGCTCGATGCTAACTAGCGTTAGCTCTTCTAGCTAGCCACGGCTAAGCAGCACGATACTGAAACTAGCTGCCGGACAACGGACACATTTCAGAAAAACTAAATGTCCTTCTTCTGTTCTGTATCAAGATAAATTATCTTACCCGTGTTATCGGCTTCTCGAACGAATGCTTCTGTTCTTCACCAACGCACACTCACGCTCTCTGTCCAGTGTTGTGTGAAAGTTGCACACGGCACTGATCCAGGGACGGACGTACACAGCGTTGACTCCGCATGTGTCTAAACTCTCACGATAGCTGATTATCGGAAAATAAAACGTCTTCTACAAATCAAGGAGTCCAGTCTGAAAATAATATACAGATTTATATTTTGCATGGAAAATTATTGTTGTTGCACGCGTAAATACACTATTAATTAATTATTCCCCTTCCCAAAGTTACAAAAGCTTTATTTGGTTAAAAGATTAAACAGATTATTTAAATGTATTTATTGTAGTCATTTAAACTCAGAAAAGAAACACAAGAAGCACTCTACACACATGGAGAAATTTATAAAAAAAACCAAACGTTGTTCTTGTTGGTGTAAATGTAGTGATTAATAATAATGAACATTTTAATTGCAGTTTCAGTCTTCTTCTTCTTCTTCTTCTTCTTCACTATATCACACATTTACTCATACATTGAGTTTGTACCAATTTTTCGTGGAATGGGTTATGATTAATGACAAACAGGAGTAATGGTTAACTAATAAGTTAATTACTTGTAAACATTAGTTTCAAGTATTTTAATTTCTTTAGTAATAGACTCTTGATGTACATTTGACTGTATTTGCTTGTTTTTTGTTTTGCAGTTTTTCTGTGTTGAAACTACAAAGCAATGTTATAATTTTAACATACATTTTCTCTAAAAGTAACTATCTTGGATAGTAAAACTTCCAACTGAACATTACTGTTAATTAAACTGAGTTTGAGGGTTTTTCAACTTACAGTTTTTTTCAGTCACCATTTTATGGACATTTTGTGTAAAGAGAGCATGGATCTAGAGAGTGATGATAACACCAACAGCCGTTTGTGTGTATGTATATGTTTATATATATATATATATATATATGGTGCTACTTTGAACCGAGAATATAACACATATTTTCAGTTGATTACCTTTTCTTTTAGGTATGTACATAATTCAGTTTTGATGCCTTCAGTGTGAATCTACAATGTTCATAGTCATGAAAAAAAATAAAAAATCCAAACTTTTGGTCTGTACTGTACATACATATATCCTTTGATGAGCACTTACACTTTCACTGGAAAGTTGTGCTCCCCCTCAACCCTGATTAGCATTTGTATAGCTCACAGCATTTTCATTTGCATCTTAAAGCCTCCTGTGGAGGAGGGAGGAGGGGACAACAAACTACCGTCAACAGCCGAATCCCAGAAGTTTCACAGTAATATACAGGGCCGAAAAGAGACGAAAATCACACTTTTCATGCAGTGTGACTTCTGTAGTTTACATACCAACGTTTCCTTTTTGTGAGATCTGACCACATAACCCTCAGGCTGTTCCATATATAGCTCACAGTCTATTGGTGCATTCAGATAGGCAGTCTTTACATCCATCTGGTGCAAAATCAAATTTTCCTGAGCTTCTTTTTGCATTATTACTCGGATACTTGTGAGGTTGGCTGTGGGGGAAAATGTCTCCTCATAGTCAACACCCATTTTTTGATTGTACCCCTTTGCAACGAATCGGGCTTTATACATTTCAGACCCGTCAATATTATTTTTGATTGCATACACCCATCTACCCCCCACTGCTCTCTTACCCTCGGGCAAGCTGGTTAGGGTGAATGTCTCGTTCTCTCTAAGTGACTGCATTTCCTCATCCATTGCTTGGATCCACTCTTTGGATCTTTCTGAGGCTACTGCTTCTGTAAATGAGACAAGTATGTTGCAAATAACTCGATAACAGTAATCAATGTTACTCTGGACTTGATCGGTCTCTTCAGACACATAATTAGATACTTTGCAGTCTGTGTATCTGTCTGGCATTCTTTTCTCTCTCACAGGATAACGTCTGGGCTCAGGCTCAGGCTCACTCTCGCCCTCTACTGGCTGTATTTCATGTGGGCTAAATTCTGATTGGTCACTGATCTCCTCAGATTTTAGTCCACCTGGAACACTGTAACCTGGACTTCTCGACTCGTATTGCACAAAATCAGAAGGTGTAAAGTTAGTCTGTGTCTGCTGCTCTACACCAGTTTTAGTCACAAATTGTATCAGCCTGTGCTTCTGCACTTTCTTAGTGTCAGGAAAATAGACAACATATGCCGGGCTGTTTTTGTCAAATCCGATAAATACACACTTTTCACATTTTGGATCCAGTTTCCTTTTGTCTTGTTTATACACAAAACACTGTGACCCAAACTTCTGCATTTTAGATAGATTAGGCCTCCGACCTGTAAGTCCTTCAAATGGAGTCTGCTTTGTGCGTTTATTATAACATCTGTTTCTCATAATAGCGGCGGTCTGTACCGCATGAGTCCACAGTTCTTTTGGAAGACCACTGTCAATCAACATGCATCGTGCCATATCAAAAAGCGTACGCCAATTTCGCTCGGCAGTGCCATTCTGGTGGGGAGAGTAAGGGGCAGACCTTTCATGTTTGATCTTATGTCTAATTAGTAGGGCCTGGAATTCTTTCCCCATGTACTCTGTACCGTTATCTGACCTGAAGCACTTGACTTTGCCATATGGAGCCGTATCAGCCAGAAACTTTTCAGTAGCAAGTACAGTGTCACTTTTATTCTTTAAGAAATATACGAAAACCGCACTGGAAAAGTCGTCAGTGAAGGAAAGCTGTGACTGTCTCTAGACTCCGGGTGAATTGGCCCTGCTAAATCAGTGTGCACTAGCTCCAGAGGCCTTTTAGCTCTTATATCTGGTTGTCTGTTTCTAGTCTGGAAAAACTTCCCCTGCATACACACTTCACACTGTGGATGTTGGTTTGGCGACCCTTTGATTTTCATACCATCAACAACACTTTGTAACCTCTGGATATCATCATAGTTACAATGTCCTAAAATCTCGTGCCATGTTTGCATGTCAAAACACCCCTTGCATTGGTCATCACATTCATCGTTATTTGCAGTGTGTAAATAATACAGTCTGGAATGTTCGTGAATGTGGAATTTCGTACCGTCTTTGTGAATCAGGCAGTCCTTCCCGTTCTTGAACGTCACAGTGGCCCCGTTCAAGGTGGCTGCTTTCACCGAAAATATGTCTTGTGGATAGGAAGGGATGTACAGTGCTCGTCTCAGCGTGGTGCTCAGATGCCTGCCACAGCTGTCAATCAAACTGACCTCAGCATCTCCGCGGCGCACTGCTACCCCCTGGCACCTTGTCCCATCAGCCAACTCCACGCAGTGTGTCTCTGCCTGGAATGCTTGGTCGAACCTCTGGAACTTTGCGAGATCCATAATTATATGCGAGGTTGCCCCGCAGTCGACCATCAGGCCCTTCATGTCGACACCTGCAGACCCCTCGCTCGCTCTGAAAGCGTACTCCTGGTCTCCTGCAGACTCCTCGGAGGCTTTGTGAGCGTCGTCCCGGTCTTTGCGCTGTTTCCTCCTGCAGGTGGTGTCCCGGTGCGTAGTGCTCCTGCAGTGACTGCACCACAGTCACTGACAGGCTCTGGCCAAGTGTCCCTTCAATCCACATTTGAAGCACGTTAAATCCATCGCTGTCCTGTCCGCTCCTCGGTCCGCACCTCGGTCCGCTCCTCGGTCCGCTCCTCGGTCCGCTCCTCGGTCCGCTCCTCGGTCGCTCCTCGGTCCGCTCCTCGGTCCGCTCCTCGGTCCGCTCCTCGGTCCGCTCCTCGGTCCGCTCCGTCCTCGGTCCGCTCCTCGGTCCGCTCCTCGGTCCGCTCCTCGGTCCGCTCCTCGGTCCGCTCCTCGGTCCGCTCCTCGGTCCGCTCCTCGGTCCGCTCCGCTCCTCGGTCCGCTCCTCGGTCCGCTCCGCTCCTCGGTCCGCTCCTCTGTCCGCTCCTCGGTCCGCTCCTCTGTCCGCTCCTCGGTCCGCTCCTCGGTCCGCTCCTCGGTCCGCTCCTCGGTCCGCTCCTCGGTCCGCTCCTCGGTCCGCTCCTCGGTCCGCTCCTCGGTCCGCTCCTCGGTCACCCGTAACAGCAGGTCTCCATCTCTGCTGCACACGCGCTTTCATCACGTTATCTTCCGCTGCACAAACCCGCATCCTCTCAGTGTCCTCGTAGCTGCGTAACTTTGTTTTGAACTCAGCAAAAGATATGGACTCATCGAGCTGTGTGACATGGATCACAAACGGTTTGAAGAGTTCGGGAAGCCCTTTGAGGACCATCGCGACCAATAGTCCGTCACTCAGAGCCTCACCGGCATTCCTCAGCGCTGTGATGGCTGTCTCTGCGCGAATCACATATTCAGTCACACTTTCATTCTCACTCTTATGAAGTGACGTCAGCTCGGTATAAAGGCTGATTATACGTGGCTTTCCTTTGCCTTGATAATAGTCTCTCAAAATCCCCAGGGCTTTTTGTCCGTCATCGGCTGCTTCCCGCATTACCAATGACAAGCTTTTATCATCCAGGAATTGAATGAGTTCTGCATAAGCCTCTGCATTTTTGGCGTCCTGTTCAAGTTGCTCCTCTGCGTCTCCCGCATCGGGTACATTGAGAATGATGTCTTTCAGGCCTTGCAAACGGAGGTGGCCCAAGAACTTTGTCTCCCACAGTTCATAATTTTTCTCATCTCCATCAAACAACAGGCGAGACCAGCGGCTTGGATCTCCGACCCGTTTACTCATGGTTACTCTGAGTCACTCTGGGTTACTCTGGGTTACTCTGGGTTACTCTGGGCCCATAATCTGTTGGCAAAGGTAATCCAGCAGCAGATTCGGGTTGTGAACCCAGATAAAGAGACAAGAGACAGATATATGGAGGAAATAGAACTCGGGACACACTGCATTCCATTCATTCCATTACGCGCAACCGGCATCAGCTGCGGCGCTGGACTATTTATTAACCACGCCCATTGGTAAACAGGAAAAGAAAACAGAGTTATCCAAATGTAAATAAAACAGTCTTCTCAACATAAATACAGGCGTAAACATTCATAATAATAATAATAATAATTATAGTGAGAGCACCAACTCAACAATAACTCTGTCCCACACATGGATCTATAATAATAACTCTGTCCCACACATGGATCTATGATAATAACTCTGTCCCACACATGGATCTATAATAATAACTCTGTCCCACACATGGATCTATAATAATAACTCTGTCCCACACATGGATCTATAATAATAACTCTGTCCCACACATGGATCTATGATAATAACTCTGTCCCACACATGGATCTATGATAATAACTCTGTCCCACACATGGATCTATGATAATAACTCTGTCCCACACATGGATCTATGATAATAACTCTGTCCCACACATGGATCTATGATAATAACCTGTCCCACACATGGATCTATGATAATAACTCTGTCCCACACATGGATCTATGATAATAACTCTGTCCCACACATGGATCTATGATAATAACTCTGTCCCACACATGGATCTATAATAATAACTCTGTCCCACACATGGATCTATAATAATAACTCTGTCCCACACATGGATCTATGATAATAACTCTGTCCCACACATGGATCTATGATAATAACTCTGTCCCACACATGGATCTATGATAATAACCCTGTCCCACACACATGGATCTATGATAATAACTCTGTCCCACACATGGATCTATGATAATAACTCTGTCCCACACATGGATCTATGATAATAACTCTGTCCCACACATGGATCTATAATAATAACTCTGTCCCACACATGGATCTATAATAATAACTCTGTCCCACACATGGATCTATGATAATAACTCTGTCCCACACATGGATCTATGATAATAACTCTGTCCCACACATGGATCTATAATAATAACTCTGTCCCACACATGGATCTATAATAATAACTCTGTCCCACACATGGATCTATGATAATAACCCTGTCCCACACATGGATCTATAATAATAACTCTGTCCCACACATGGATCTATAATAATAACTCTGTCCCACACATGGATCTATGATAATAACTCTGTCCCACACATGGATCTATAATAATAACTCTGTCCCACACATGGATCTATGATAATAACTCTGTCCCACACATGGATCTATGATAATAACTCTGTCCCACGCTTCAGACCGCAAAGTGGTCACGAGACATTAGTGTCTGAGCGAGCAGAATGAAAATACTCGTAAACAGCCAAAACAGGAGCTAAACCAGGACTTAACCAGGACTTAACCTGGACTAAACCAGGACTAAACCAGTGTTGACAATGGGGGACATAGTGCTTGTGAATATATGTGTTGTCATGCTCCTGTGACTTTATGCAACTGCTTTGAGTGTGTTCACCAATGTGGAAATACTATTTAATAATAAAATGAACTTGCGCACCTCCGTGAACACATACTGCTGTTATATAAAGTCACCTCCGTGAACACATACTGCTGTTATATAAAGTCACCTCCGTGAACACATACTGCTGTTATATAAAGTCACCTCCGTGAACACATACTGCTGTTATATAAAGTCACCTCCGTGAACACATACTGCTGTTATATAAAGTCACCTCCGTGAACACATACTGCTGTTATATAAAGTCACCTCCGTGAACACATACTGCTGTTATATAAAGTCACCGTGAACACATACTGCTGTTATATAAAGTCACCTCCGTGAACACATACTACTGTTATATAAAGTCACCTCCGTGAACACATACTGCTGTTATATAAAGTCACCTCCGTGAACACATACTACTGTTATATAAAGTCGCCTCCGTGAACACATACTGCTGTTATATAAAGTCACCTCCGTGAACACATACTGCTGTTATATAAAGTGACCTCCGTGAACACATACTGTTGTTATATAAAGTCACCTCCGTGAACACATACTGCTGTTATATAAAGTCACCTCCGTGAACACATACTGCTGTTATATAAAGTCACCTCCGTGAACACATACTGCTGTTATATAAAGTCACCTCCGTGAACACATACTGCTGTTATATAAAGTCACCTCCGTGAACACATACTGCTGTTATATAAAGTCACCTCCGTGAACACATACTGCTGTTATATAAAGTCACCTCCGTGAACACATACTGCTGTTATATAAAGTCACCTCCGTGAACACATACTACTGTTATATAAAGTCACCTCCGTGAACACATACTGCTGTTATATAAAGTCACCTCCGTGAACACATACTGCTGTTATATAAAGTCACCTCCGTGAACACATACTGCTGTTATATAAAGTCACCTCCGTGAACACATACTACTGTTATATAAAGTCACCTCCGTGAACACATACTGCTGTTATATAAAGTCACCTCCGTGAACACATACTGCTGTTATATAAAGTCACCTCCGTGAACACATACTACTGTTATATAAAGTCACCTCCGTGAACACATACTGCTGTTATATAAAGTCACCTCCGTGAACACATACTGCTGATATAAAGTCACCTCCGTGAACACATACTGCTGTTATATAAAGTCACCTCCGTGAACACATACTGCTGTTATATAAAGTCACCTCCGTGAACACATACTGCTGTTATATAAAGTCACCTCCGTGAACACATACTGCTGTTATATAAAGTCACCTCCGTGAACACATACTGCTGTTATATAAAGTCACCTCCGTGAACACATACTGCTGTTATATAAAGTCACCTCCGTGAACACATACTGCTGTTATATAAAGTCACCTCCGTGAACACATACTGCTGTTATATAAAGTCACCTCCGTGAACACATACTACTGTTATATAAAGTCACCTCCGTGAACACATACTGCTGTTATATAAAGTCACCTCCGTGAACACATACTGCTGTTATATAAAGTCACCTCCGTGACAGGACTTCTGGTCTGAAGACCCCTGCGTCTGAAAACTAGAGAATGTGCGTTTTAGCACATCCCTAAGTATTGGGACACTCTCCACCCCTGCGGGTATGCGCAAAATTTAGGGCAAGGGTGTTTAATTAAGGGATAGAGTGAGAATAGGGACGGGGCTTTAGTCTGCAGTACCACAGCGCCCCCTGTGGCCATTGTAATACTCTATCCAGATATTATTATAGATCCATGAGTAGCAGTAGTAGTAGCAATGCAAGATGACATTTTTGAAATGACCAAATTAGATTTAATTTAGGACAGTAATTCATTTCCAGCTCAGCAAGAGGAATAAAACAGTTTTTGAATTATGAAAACCGAGTAAGTGGTTGTGATTTTAGAAACATATTGATATGTGCTTTTAGCCTCTTACAGTGAAAGTAATTTGGCTCAAAACAAAGGGATCGTGTGGAACCAATTCAGTCCAAGCCTTTGTTCATCTTCTAAGTGCTGCAACTTCCCTCGTTTTCTCACTATCAACATGAAAACTCACAGTAAAGAAGGAAACAATCCAGAAATGTTGAATTCAATATTTCTTTTACAATATGCATCGATAACAATATGGCCGCCGGGTTATTCAAGATGGCTGCCAACAGGAAATCCAGACAATATGTTTTTCAATTATATACATGTATAATTCTGACAATGTTTAAAATCAGGTTAAAACAGTTCTGTTTAGCTGTGCTACAACTGAGGAATCTGGAATTTTTATCTTTCTTTTTAATGTTCTGTGATTATTTATTGATATTATTATTATTATTATTATTATATTATATTATTATCTGTCTTGTCTTGTTCAGCACTTTGAGTTGCCCTGTGTATGAATTGTGCTATACAAATAAGCAGACTAAATATTATTAGTCTTATTCAAAATACTTATTTTCCACCAGCAGGGCGACGTCATTGAGCAGTGAACACTCCAATAATCGATGGATCAACTTTAGAAAGAACCATCAGCGGTAAGTCTGACTGTAACTCATGTGTGTCTGAGGCTAAGCAGGTCAGGGCCTGGTCAGTGATGGGTCAGCACTAGATCATATACGGAATCTGGACGGAAGCGGAAGTAAATATGGGCGGCACGGTGGCTGAGTGGATAGCACTCTCGCTTCTCAGCAAGAAGGTCCTGGGTTCGAATCCCGGTCGGACCAGGGCCTTTCTGAGTGGAGTTTGCATGTTCTCCCCGTGTCTGCGTAGGTTTCCTCCGGGTACTCCGGTTTCCCCTACCACTAAAAATATGTCCAATAGTTCTGGCATGCGCCTCCTGTACTGGCCCCGCTCCCATCTCTGTGTGGAGTGAGAGACAAATGCCCAAAATTAACAATTGTAAACCGCTTTGAGACTCAGATCTGCAGTGAAAAGGTGGTATATAAATAAAGATTACTTACTACTTACTTACTTACTAAATATAACAAACTACCTATTCATGCCTAAACTTAACCAGCCATTTCCATAAAATAACCCCAACCCAGCATTAACCCTAACCTTAACCATCTTACTCAGACCACCTTAACCCTAACCTTAACCATCTTACTCAGACCACCTTAACCCTAACCTTAACCATCTTACTCAGACCACCTTAACCCTAACCTTAACCGTCTTACTCAGACCACCTTAACCCTAACCTTAACCATCTTACTCAGACCACCTTAACCCTAACCTTAACCATCTTACTCAGACCACCTTAACCCTAACCTTAACCATCTTACTCAGACCACCTTAACCCTAACCTTAACCATCTTACTCAGACCACCTTAACCCTAACCTTAACCATCTTACTCAGACCACCTTAACCCTAACCTTAACCATCTTACTCAGACCCACCTTAACCCTAACCTTAAACATCTTACTCAGACCACCTTAACCCTAACCTTAACCATCTTACTCAGATCACCTTAACCCTAACCTTAACCATCTTACTCAGACCACCTTAACCCTAACCTTAACCATCTTACTCAGACCACCTTAACCCTAACCTTAACCATCTTACTCAGACCACCTTAACCCTAACCTTAACCGTCTTACTCAGACCACCTTAACCCTAACCTTAACCATCTTACTCAGACCACCTTAACCCTAACCTTAACCATCTTACTCAGACCCACCTTAACCCTAACCTTAACCATCTTACTCAGACCACCTTAACCCTAACCTTAACCATCTTACTCAGACCACCTTAACCCTAACCTTAACCATCTTACTCAGACCACCTTAACCCTAACCTTAACCATCTTACTCAGACCACCTTAACCCTAACCTTAACCATCTTACTCAGACCACCTTAACCCTAACCTTAACCATCTTACTCAGACCACCTTAACCCTAACCTTAACCATCTTACTCAGACCACCTTAACCCTAACCTTAACCATCTTACTCAGACCACCTTAACCCTAACCTTAACCATCTTACTCAGACCACCTTAACCCTAACCTTAACCATCTTACTCAAACCACCTTAACCCTAACCTTAACCATCTTACTCAGACCACCTTAACCCTAACCTTAACCATCTTACTCAGACCACCTTAACCCTAACCTTTACCATCTTACTCAGACCACCTTAACCCTAACCTTAACCATCTTACTCAGACCACCTTAACCCTAACCTTAACCGTCTTACTCAGACCACCTTAACCCTAACCTTAACCATCTTACTCAGACCACCTTAACCCTAACCTTAACCCTCTTACTCAGTCCACCTTAACCCTCTTACTCAGACCACCTTAACCCTAAACTTAACCATCTTACTCAGACCACCTTAACCCTAACCTTAACCATCTTACTCAGACCACCTTAACCCTAACCTTAACCATCTTACTCAGACCACCTTAACCCTAACCTTAACCATCTTACTCAGACCACCTTAACCCTAACCTTAACCATCTTACTCAGACCACCTTAACCCTAACCTTAACCGTCTTACTCAGACCACCTTAACCCTAACCTTAACCATCTCACTCAGACCACCTTAACCCTAACCTTAACCATCTGACTCAGACCACCTTAACCCTAACCTTAACCATCTTACTCAGACCACCTTAACCCTAACCTTAACCATCTGACTCAGACCACCTTAACCCTAACCTTAACCATCTTACTCAGACCCACCTTAACCCTAACCTTAACCATCTTACTCAGACCACCTTAACCCTAACCTTAACCATCTTACTCAGACCACCTTAACCCGAACCTTAACCATCTTACTCAGACCACCTTAACCCTAACCTTAACCATCTTACTCAGACCACCTTAACCCTAACCTTAACCATCTTACTCAGACCACCTTAACCCTAACCTTAACCATCTTACTCAGACCACCTTAACCCTAACCTTAACCATCTTACTCAGACCACCTTAACCCTAACCTTAACCATCTTACTCAGACCCACCTTAACCCTAACCTTAACCATCTTACTCAGACCACCTTAACCCTAACCTTAACCATCTTACTCAGACCACCTTAACCCTAACCTTAACCATCTTACTCAGACCACCTTAACCCTAACCTTAACCATCTTACTCAGACCACCTTAACCCTAACCTTAACCATCTTACTCAGACCACCTTAACCCTAACCTTAACCATCTTACTCAGACCACCTTAACCCTAACCTTAACCATCTTACTCAGACCACCTTAACCCTAACCTTAACCATCTTACTCAGACCACCTTAACCCTAACCTTAACCATCTTACTCAGACCACCTTAACCCTAACCTTAACCATCTTACTCAGACCACCTTAACCCTAACCTTAACCATCTTACTCAGACCACCTTAACCCTAACCTTAACCATCTTACTCAAACCACCTTAACCCTAACCTTAACCATCTTACTCAGACCACCTTAACCCTAACCTTAACCATCTTACTCAGACCACCTTAACCCTAACCTTTACCATCTTACTCAGACCACCTTAACCCTAACCTTAACCATCTTACTCAGACCACCTTAACCCTAACCTTAACCGTCTTACTCAGACCACCTTAACCCTAACCTTAACCATCTTACTCAGACCACCTTAACCCTAACCTTAACCCTCTTACTCAGTCCACCTTAACCCTCTTACTCAGACCACCTTAACCCTAAACTTAACCATCTTACTCAGACCACCTTAACCCTAACCTTAACCATCTTACTCAGACCACCTTAACCCTAACCTTAACCATCTTACTCAGACCACCTTAACCCTAACCTTAACCATCTTACTCAGACCACCTTAACCCTAACCTTAACCATCTTACTCAGACCACCTTAACCCTAACCTTAACCGTCTTACTCAGACCACCTTAACCCTAACCTTAACCATCTCACTCAGACCACCTTAACCCTAACCTTAACCATCTGACTCAGACCACCTTAACCCTAACCTTAACCATCTTACTCAGACCACCTTAACCCTAACCTTAACCATCTGACTCAGACCACCTTAACCCTAACCTTAACCATCTTACTCAGACCCACCTTAACCCTAACCTTAACCATCTTACTCAGACCACCTTAACCCTAACCTTAACCATCTTACTCAGACCACCTTAACCCGAACCTTAACCATCTTACTCAGACCACCTTAACCCTAACCTTAACCATCTTACTCAGACCACCTTAACCCTAACCTTAACCATCTTACTCAGACCACCTTAACCCTAACCTTAACCATCTTACTCAGACCACCTTAACCCTAACCTTAACCATCTTACTCAGACCACCTTAACCCTAACCTTAACCATCTTACTCAGACCCACCTTAACCCTAACCTTAACCATCTTACTCAGACCACCTTAACCCTAACCTTAACCATCTTACTCAGACCACCTTAACCCTAACCTTAACCATCTTACTCAGACCACCTTAACCCTAACCTTAACCATCTTACTCAGACCACCTTAACCCTAACCTTAACCATCTTACTCAGACCACCTTAACCCTAACCTTAACCATCTTACTCAGACCACCTTAACCCTAACCTTAACCATCTTACTCAGACCACCTTAACCCTAACCTTAACCATCTTACTCAGACCACCTTAACCCTAACCTTAACCATCTTACTCAGACCACCTTAACCCTAACCTTAACCATCTTACTCAGACCACCTTAACCCTAACCTTAACCATCTTACTCAGACCACCTTAACCCTAACCTTAACCATCTTACTCAGACCACCTTAACCCTAACCTTAACCATCTGACTCAGACCACCTTAACCCTAACCTTAACCATCTTACTCAGACCCACCTTAACCCTAACCTTAACCATCTTACTCAGACCACCTTAACCCTAACCTTAACCATCTTACTCAGACCACCTTAACCCGAACCTTAACCATCTTACTCAGACCACCTTAACCCTAACCTTAACCATCTTACTCAGACCACCTTAACCCTAACCTTAACCATCTTACTCAGACCACCTTAACCCTAGAAGAAGGCACTTTATGAGGATATTTACCCTCACACATTAAACCACCTGATTCTCCCGAGGAGGAGGGAGGAGGAGGAGGAGGAGGAGGAGGAGGAGGAGGAGGAGGAGAGGAGGGGAGGGGAGGAGGAGGCGGAGGAGGAGGAGGAGGAGGAGGGGGAGGAGGAGGAGGAGGAGGAGGAGGAGGAGGAGAGGAGGGGAGGAGGAGGCGGAGGAGGAGGAGGAGGCGGAGGAGGAGAGGAGGAGGAGGAGGAGGAGGAGGGGGAGGAGAGGAGGAGGAGGAGAGGAGGCAGAGGAGGAGGAGGAGGAGGGGGGGGAGGAGAGGAGGAGGCGGAGGAGGAGGAGGAGGAGGAGGAGGAGGAGGAGGAGGAGGGGGAGGAGAGAGGAGGAGGAGGAGGAGGAGGGGGAGGAGAGGAGGAGGAGGAGAGGAGGCGGAGGAGGAGAGGAGGCGGAGGAGGAGAGGAGGCGGAGGAGGAGGAGGAGGAGGAGGAGGAGAGAGGGAGGGGAGGAGGAGGCGGAGGAGGAGGAGGAGGAGGAGGAGAGGAGGGGAGGGAAGGAGGAGGCGGAGGAGGAGGAGGAGGAGGGGGAGGAGGAGGAGGAGGAGAGGAGGGGAGGGGAGGAGGAGGCGGAGGAGGAGAGGAGGAGGAGGAGGAGGCGGAGGAGGAGAGGAGGAGGAGGAGGGGGAGGAGAGGAGGAGGGGGAGGAGAGGAGGAGGAGGAGGAGGAGGGGGAGGAGAGGAGGAGGCGGAGGAGGAGGAGAGGAGGAGGAGAGGAGGAGGAGGAGGAGGAGGAGGAGGAGGAGGAGGAGGAGGAGGAGGAGGAGGAGGAGGAGGAGGAGGAGGAGGAGGAGGAGGAGGAGGAGGAGGAGGAGGAGGAGGAGGAGGAGGAGGAGGAGAGGAGGCGGAGGAGGAGGAGGAGGAGGAGGAGGAGGAGGCGGAGGAGGAGGAGGAGGGGAGGAGGAGGAGGGAGGGGAGAGGAGGCGGAGGAGGAGGAGGGAGGAGGAGGAGGAGAGGAGGAGGGAGGAGGAGGAGGCGCTCCATTCTGGAGCCTCATTCACTGAGTCATTATCAGTTGTGACTGAGATATTAGTACTGGACCTTTGTCTTCCTCCACTGCTGTGTAAGTACCTGTGCTGTGTCAGTACCTGTGCTGTGTGTCAGTACCTGTGCTGTGTGTCAGTACCTGTGCTGTGTGTCAGTACTGTGCTGTGTCCCTGTGCTGTGTGTCATACCTGTGCTGTTGTCACCTGTGCTGTGTTGTACCTGTGCTGTGTCAGTACCTGTGCTGGTGTCAGTACCTGGGCTTTGTCTGTACCTGTGCTGTTGTCATTATCAGTTGTGACTGAGATATTAGTACTGGACCTTTGTCTTCCTCCACTGCTGTGTCAGTACCTGTGCTGTGTCAGTACCTGTGCTGTGTGTCAGTACCTGTGCTGTGTCAGTACCTGTGCTGTGTCAGTACCTGTGCTGTGTGTCAGTACCTGTGCTGTGTGTCAGTACCTGTGCTGTGTCTGTACCTGTGCTGTGTGTCAGTACCTGTGCTGTGTGTCAGTACCTGTGCTGTGTGTCAGTACCTGTGCTGTGTCAGTACCTGTGCTGTGTAAGTACCTGTGCTGTGTGTCAGTACCTGTGCTGTGTCAGTACCTGTGCTGTGTGTCAGTACCTGTGCTGTGTGTCAGTACCTGTGATGTGTGTCAGTACCTGTGCTGTGTGTCAGTACCTGCGCTGTGTGTCAGTACCTGTGCTGTGTGTCAGTACCTGTGCTATGTGTCAGTACCTGTGCTGTGTCAGTACCTGTGCTGTGTGTCAGTACCTGTGCTCTGTGTCAGTACCTGTGCTGTGTCAGTACCTGTGCTGTGTGTCAGTACCTGTGCTGTGTGTCAGTACCTGTGCTGTGTGTCAGTACCTGTGCTGTGTCAGTACCTGCGCTGTGTCAGTACCTGTGCTGTGTCAGTACCTGTGCTGTGTGTCAGTACCTGTGCTGTGTCAGTACCTGTGCTGTGTGTCAGTACCTGTGCTGTGTCAGTACCTGTGCTGTGTGTCAGTACCTGTGCTGTGTCAGTACCTGTGCTGTGTGTCAGTACCTGTGCTGTGTCAGTACCTGTGCTGTGTGTCAGTACCTGTGCTGTGTCAGTACCTGTGCTGTGTCAGTACCTGTGCTGTGTGTCAGTACCTGTGCTGTGTCAGTACCTGTGCTGTGTCAGTACCTGTGCTGTGTGTCAGTACCTGTGATGTGTGTCAGTACCTGTGCTGTGTGTCAGTACCTGTGCCTGTGTGTCAGTACCTGTGCTGTGTGTCAGTACCTGTGCTGTGTGTCAGTACCTGTGCTGTGTCAGTACCTGTGCTGTGTGTCAGTACCTGTGCTCTGTGTCAGTACCTGTGCTGTGTCAGTACCTGTGCTGTGTGTCAGTACCTGTGCTGTGTGTCAGTACCTGTGCTGTGTGTCAGTACCTGTGCTGTGTGTCAGTACCTGTGCTGTGTCAGTACCTGTGCTGTGTGTCAGTACCTGTGCTGTGTGTCAGTACCTGTGCTGTGTGTCAGTACCTGTGCTGTGTGTGTCAGTACCTGTGCTGTGTCAGTACCTGTGCTGTGTGTCAGTACCTGTGCTGTGTGTCAGTACCTGTGCTGTGTGTCAGTACCTGTGCTGTGTGTCAGTACCTGTGCTGTGTCAGTACCTGTGCTGTGTCAGTACCTGTGCTGTGTGTCAGTACCTGTGCTGTGTGTCAGTACCTGTGCTGTGTGTCAGTACCTGTGCTGTGTGTCAGTACCTGTGCTGTGTCAGTACCTGTGCTGTGTGTCAGTACCTGTGCTGTGTGTCAGTACCTGTGCTGTGTGTCAGTACCTGTGCTGTGTGTCAGTACCTGTGCTGTGTGTCAGTACCTGTGCTGTGTGTCAGTACCTGTGCTGTGTGTCAGTACCTGTGCTGTGTGTCAGTACCTGTGCTGTGTGTCAGTACCTGTGCTGTGTGTCAGTACCTGTGCTGTGTCAGTACCTGTGCTGTGTAAGTACCTGTGCTGTGTGTCAGTACCTGTGCTGTGTCAGTACCTGTGCTGTGTGTCAGTACCTGTGCTGTGTGTCAGTACCTGTGCTGTGTGTCAGTACCTGTGCTGTGTGTCAGTACCTGTGCTGTGTGTCAGTACCTGTGATATGTGTCAGTACCTGTGCTGTGTCAGTACCTGTGCTGTGTGTCAGTACCTGTGCTCTGTGTCAGTACCTGTGCTGTGTGTCAGTACCTGTGCTGTGTGTCAGTACCTGTGCTGTGTGTCAGTACCTGTGCTGTGTGTCAGTACCTGTGCTGTGTCAGTACCTGCGCTGTGTCAGTACCTGTGCTGTGTGTCAGTACCTGTGCTGTGTCAGTACCTGTGCTGTGTGTCAGTACCTGTGCTGTGTCAGTACCTGTGCTGTGTCAGTACCTGTGCTGTGTGTCAGTACCTGTGCTGTGTCAGTACCTGTGCTGTGTGTCAGTACCTGCGCTGTGTCAGTACCTGTGCTGTGTGTCAGTACCTGTGCTGTGTCAGTACCTGTGCTGTGTAAGTACCTGTGCTGTGTGTCAGTACCTGTGCTGTGTCAGTACCTGTGCTGTGTAAGTACCTGTGCTGTGTGTCAGTACCTGTGCTGTGTGTCAGTACCTGTGCTGTGTCAGTACCTGTGCTGTGTGTCAGTACCTGTGCTGTGTCAGTACCTGTGCTGTGTGTCAGTACCTGCGCTGTGTGTCAGTACCTGTGCTGTGTGTCAGTACCTGTGCTGTGTGTCAGTACCTGTGCTCTGTGTCAGTACCTGTGCTGTGTCAGTACCTGTGCTGTGTGTCAGTACCTGTGCTGTGTGTCAGTACCTGTGCTGTGTGTCAGTACCTGTGCTGTGTCAGTACCTGCGCTGTGTCAGTACCTGTGCTGTGTCAGTACCTGTGCTGTGTGTCAGTACCTGTGCTGTGTCAGTACCTGTGCTGTGTGTCAGTACCTGTGCTGTGTCAGTACCTGTGCTGTGTGTCAGTACCTGTGCTGTGTGTCAGTACCTGTGCTGTGTCAGTACCTGTGCTGTGTGTCAGTACCTGTGCTGTGTCAGTACCTGTGCTGTGTGTCAGTACCTGTGCTGTGTGTCAGTACCTGTGCTGTGTCAGTACCTGTGCTGTGTGTCAGTACCTGTGCTGTGTGTCAGTACCTGTGCTGTGTGTCAGTACCTGTGCTGTGTGTCAGTACCTGTGTTGTGTCAGTACCTGTGCTGTGTGTCAGTACCTGTGCTGTGTGTCAGTACCTGTGCTGTGTGTCAGTACCTGTGCTGTGTCAGTACCTGTGCTGTGTCAGTACCTGTGCTGTGTCAGTACCTGTGCTGTGTGTCAGTACCTGTGCTGTGTGTCAGTACCTGTGCTGTGTGTCAGTACCTGTGTTGTGTCAGTACCTGTGCTGTGTGTCAGTACCTGTGCTGTGTCAGTACCTGTGCTGTGTGTCAGTACCTGTGCTGTGTGTCAGTACCTGTGCTGTGTGTCAGTACCTGTGCTGTGTCAGTACCTGTGCTGTGTGTCAGTACCTGTGCTGTGTGACTGTCGTAGAGGGGGCGTGTCTGCAGCACCAGACTCTTCATCTCCCAGTCTGCGGTGATGAAGTGAGCGGTTCTGCTCATGGATCTATTATAGGTTCTGTTCATGGATCTATTATAGGTTCTGTTCTGTTCATGGATCTATTATAGGTTCTGTTCTGCTCATGGATCTATTATAGGTTCTGTTCATGGATCTATTATAGGTTCTGTTCCGCTCATGGATCTATTATAGGTTCTGTTCTGCTCATGGATCTATTATAGGTTCTGTTCATGGATCTATTATAGGTTCTGTTCCGCTCATGGATCTATTATAGGTTCTGTTCCGCTCATGGATCTATAATAGGTTCTGTTCTGCTCATGGATCTATTATAGGTTCTGTTCCGCTCATGGATCTATTATAGGTTCTGTTCTGCTCATGGATCTATTATAGGTTCTGTTCCGCTCATGGATCTATTATAGGTTCTGTTCTGTTCATGGATCTATTATAGGTTCTGTTCATGGATCTATTATAGGTTCTGTTCTGTTCATGGATCTATTATAGGTTCTGTTCCGCTCATGGATCTATTATAGGTTCTGTTCCGCTCATGGATCTATTATAGGTTCTGTTCTGCTCATGGATCTATTATAGGTTCTGTTCCGCTCATGGATCTATTATAGGTTCTGTTCTGTTCATGGATCTATTATAGGTTCTGTTCTGCTCATGGATCTATTATAGGTTCTGTTCATGGATCTATTATAGGTTCTGTTCCGCTCATGGATCTATTATAGGTTCTGTTCATGGATCTATTATAGGTTCTGTTCCGCTCATGGATCTATTATAGGTTCTGATCTGTTCATGGATTTATTATAGGTTCTGTTCTGCTCATGGATCTATTATAGGTTCTGTTCTGTTCATGGATCTATTATAGGTTCTGTTCTGCTCATGGATCTATTATAGGTTCTGTTCTGTTCATGGATCTATTATAGGTTCTGCTCATGGATCTATTATAGGTTCTGCTCATGGATCTATTATAGGTTCTGCTCATGGATCTATTATAGGTTCTGTTCATGGATCTATTATAGGTTCTGCTCATGGATCTATTATAGGTTCTGTTCATGGATATATAATAGGTTCTGTTCCGCTCATGGATCTATTATAGGTTCTGTTCCGCTCATGGATCTATTATAGGTTCTGTTCCGCTCATGGATCTATTATAGGTTCTGTTCCGCTCATGGATCTATTATAGGTTCTGTTCTGTTCATGGATCTATTATAGGTTCTGTTCCGCTCATGGATCTATTATAGGTTCTGTTCCGCTCATGGATCTATTATAGGTTCTGTTCTGCTCATGGATCTATTATAGGTTCTGTTCCGCTCATGGATCTATTATAGGTTCTGTTCCGCTCATGGATCTATTATAGGTTCTGTTCCGCTCATGGATCTATTATAGGTTCTGTTCCGCTCATGGATCTATTATAGGTTCTGTTCCGCTCATGGATCTATTATAGGTTCTGTTCATGGATCTATTATAGGTTCTGTTCTGCTCATGGATCTATTATAGGTTCTGTTCATGGATCTATTATAGGTTCTGTTCATGGATCTATTATAGGTTCTGTTCCGCTCATGGATCTATTATAGGTTCTGCGGGACGTCCAAGCGTCAGTCGTGAGGAGAGTTGACTTTAGCCCTGGGTCTGACTGTGGTAAAGGACGTGACAATAAGCGGTCGTTGAGACGCTTTGTTTCACTCATGTCTTTCTTGGTCCAGTGTTTACACTGTGACAGTTTTGTTGAATATTAATGATCAGTGTAGTTACAGTGAAGCCAAAATGCTCTCATACTGGGATTTAAATGACACAGGGCTTTAAGTATCTCCTCTGCTCGCCGTGACCGCGCTGTGTGTGAACTGAACAACGTACGCACAACTTTTCATAAATCAAACCGCGGATCACGTCTGCACCGAACCGAAGACGTTGAACCGAACGGATCAGTGATAAACCGTTGCACCTCTACTTAACCCTAACCTTAACCATCTTACTCAGACCACCTTAACCCTAACCTTAACCATCTTACTCAGACCACCTTAACCCTAACCTTAACCATCTTACTCAGACCACCTTAACCCTAACCTTAACCATCTTACTCAGACCACCTTAACCCTAACCTTAACCATCTTACTCAGACCACCTTAACCCTAACCTTAACCATCTTACTCAGACCACCTTAACCCTAACCTTAACCATCTTACTCAGACCACCTTAACCCTAACCTTAACCATCTTACTCAGACCACCTTAACCCTAACCCTCTTACTCAGACCACCTTAACCCTAACCTTAACCATCTTACTCAGACCACCTTAACCCTAACCTTAACCATCTTACTCAGACCACCTTAACCCTAACCTTAACCAACTTACTCAGACCACCTTAACCCTAACCTTAACCATCTTACTCAGACCACCTTAACCCTAACCTTAACCATCTTACTCAGACCACCTTAACCCTAACCTTAACCATCTTACTCAGACCACCTTAACCCTAACCTTAACTATCTTACTCAGACCCACCTTAACCCTAACCCTCTTACTCAGACCACCTTAACCCTAACCTTAACCATCTTACTCAGACCACCTTAACCCTAACCCTCTTACTCAGACCACCTTAACCCTAACCTTAACCATCTTACTCAGACCACCTTAACCCTAACCTTAACCATCTTACTCAGACCACCTTAACACTAACCTTAACCATCTTACTCAGACCACCTTAACCCTAACCTTAACCATCTTACTCAGACCACCTTAACCCTAACCTTAACCATCTTACTCAGACCACCTTAACCCTAACCTTAACCATCTTACTCAGACCACCTTAACCCTAACCTTAACCATCTTACTCAGACCACCTTAACCCTAACCTTAACCATCTTACTCAGACCACCTTAACCCTAACCTTAACCATCTTACTCAGACCAACTTAACCCTAACCTTAACCATCTTACTTAGACCACCTTAACCCTAACCTTAACCATCTTACTCAGACCACCTTAACCCTAACCTTAACCATCTTACTCAGACCACCTTAACCCTAACCTTAACCATCTTACTCAGACACCTAAAACTTAACCAGTCACCACTTAAGGACTTTTTAGTTTAAAACTAATTTGAAAGTAGGATTGTTACTTCCGGTTTTGTCCCGATTCCGTTTATGATCTAGTGCCGACCGATCGCTCATACAGAGGAGTCAATGTGGAATCCAAAGGACTGGGTGGTCCTCACAGAGACCAGAGGACTGGGTGATCATCAGAGACTGAGCAGGGGTACCCTGTCGCCCGTGAGATCCTCACAGAGACTGAGCAGGGGTACCCTGTCGCCCATGAGATCCTCACAGAGACTGAGCAGGGGTACCCTGTCGCCCATGAGATCCTCACAGAGACTGAGCAGGGGTACCCTGTCGCCCATGAGATCCTCACAGAGACTGAGCAGGGGTACCCTGTCGCCCATGAGATCCTCACAGAGACTGAGCAGGGGTACCCTGTCGCCCATGAGATCCTCACAGAGACTGAGCAGGGGTACCCTGTCGCCCATGAGATCCTCACAGAGACTGAGCAGGGGTACCCTGTTGCCCATGAGATCCTCACAGAGACTGAGCAGGGGTACCCTGTCGCCCATGAGATCCTCACAGAGACTGAGCAGGGGTACCCTGTCGCCCATGAGATCCTCACAGAGACTGAGCAGGGGTACCCTGTCGCCCATGAGATCCTCACAGACATTAATAAAGGCTCAACCTATCATTGTGAAGCAGAATTCACCAAGCGTTGGATTGTTCACCCACTAATAGGGAACGTGAGCTGGGTTTAGACCGTCATGAGACAGGTTAGTTTTACTGATGATGTGTTGTTGCAATAGTAATTAGAGTTGAGGACAGAGGAGTCTCTTAAAGGAGAAGTTACAGACTTTCCACCTGTTCCACAGAAGATCAGGTTCCTGCACAAAATAGTTTTGGAGAAGGATTGACTGAGTTATGTATTAAAAAGAGTTTAATGCAGAATCAGAACACATTTAACCAATCCAGGCCTAGCGCTTCAGCCCAGGACACCACCATCAGTTTAAATACAGTCTTTAAAATGTTCCCATTTAGTCTCATAGTTGAGGTAAACTATGATAAAAGGCCTCTCTCCTTTTGAAGTGGGAGGACTTGTCTAACTGACTAAATACTGTGTTTCCCTCTGTAAGTGTCTCTGTCTCTCCACAGAGCGGCTGCAGAGGTCTCCAGTGGTCCGCACCATCGCACAGGCCAGGACTCTGTATTTAAGGTCTGTCATTCACTCACGTTTGGAGATGTTCAGCTGAAGGACTAGTTTCACACACATGTGACACTGATGTGTTCCATCTCCTGGTGTTAAAGCACAGTTTGAAGTGTGACATCAGTAACAGGAGGTGGAAACACAACCACAGAAACTCATGAAGAGAATATAAAACCCACTCTGTTCTGAAGACACAAGACGAACAAAGAGACAAGTGAAAATGATCAGGCTGAATCCTGGAGCTTCCTCTGAATCATTAGATACACAGCACAGAGTCTTGATACATCACTGAGAAGTTCAGGTTTCAAAGCCAAACATAGACCTGAATGATCTCAGTCTCAGACTCTGGCCACCCTTCTGCTCTCGTTCTCCTAGATTAACCCTCAGCCTTCGATACGGTGGACCGTCACAGGAACTGCACTTTCAGTCCTGTCTCACGGATTGATCTTTTTCTGTCCAACTGTGACAGTTCTCTAAAGTATGAGACTTAAAGTGAGGAGTGCCCCAAGGCAGTATTTTAGGCCCCACCCTCTTTTGCCTTTACTTGCTTCCCCTGGGAGCTATATTTAAGAAGCAGAATATTGATAACCACTGCTTTGCTGATGATGTCCAAATATATCTATAATAATATATCTGCCCATTCGAACCGTTCTGAACCAAAACTTGTTTGAAGGAAGTTCAGGATGCAGTCAAACTGAGGAGATGGAACTGATCCATCAGACCTGACTGAAACCAGGAAGTGTGGCGCACGGACCATCAACAGGGACCAGGGGGTTTTCACCGAGACTCACACTTGGGACTCACTTCTCCAGAGACCACAGGGGGCGTGGTCAAACGGAGGGGGCGTGGTCAGTCAGAGGAGGCGTGGTCAGACGGAGGGGGCGTGGTCAGCCTAACAACAGCTGATCAGAGACACGTCGCACCGTCACGTTTCTCTGACAAAGGCAGACGTCTAAACATGTGCTGATTAAACAGAACTAGCTTCTTTACACTTTTATTTTATTAAAAGAACCTTCTCAGCCTCAGCACTTTAGTCACGGCTGTTTTAAATGTGCTACCCTAACCCTAGCAGCAAAAATAAAAAATAAATTGAATCTTTCTAAAAAGCTAACAATAGTAATAATCAGCTACAGGCCTTCAGGTCACAGCAGCAGAGGTGGAGTAGCCTCTGGGTGGAGCAGGATGGGTCACAGCAGCAGAGGTGGAGTAGCCTCTGGGTGGAGCAGGACGGGTCACAGCAGCAGAGGTGGAGTAGCCTCTGGGTGGAGCAGGACAGGTCACAGCAGCAGAGGTGGAGTAGCCTCTGGGTGGAGCAGGACAGGTCACAGCAGCAGAGGTGGAGTAGCCTCTGGGTGGAGCAGGACGGGTCACAGCAGCAGAGGTGGAGTAGTCTCTGGGTGGAGCAGGACGGGTCACAGCAGCAGAGGTGGAGTAGCCTCTGGGTGGAGCAGGACGGGTCACAGCAGCAGAGGTGGAGTAGCCTCTGGGTGGAGCAGGACGGGTCACAGCAGCAGAGGTGGAGTAGCCTCTGGGTGGAGCAGGACAGGTCACAGCAGCAGAGGTGGAGTAGCCTCTGGGTGGAGCAGGACGGGTCACAGCAGCAGAGGTGGAGTAGCCTCTGGGTGGAGCAGGACAGGTCACAGCAGCAGAGGTGGAGTAGCCTCTGGGTGGAGCAGGACAGGTCACAGCAGCAGAGGTGGAGTAGCCTCTGGGTGGAGCAGGACAGGTCACAGCAGCAGAGGTGGAGTAGCCTCTGGGTGGAGCAGGACAGGTCACAGCATCAGAGGTGGAGTAACCTCTGGGTGGAGCAGGATGTCGAGCAAAGTCCTTGAACCTGAACCAGACATGTGCTCCACTCGGATGGAAACAGTTATTGTTTGTGTTGTTTCTTATGTGTGTGCAGCGCCTGAAGAAGGACCTCTCCACTTTTGTCCAGGAGGAGCTGAAGAAGTTCCAAAGGCTTCTGAGCACAGATTACCCAGAATGCTTAGAGCCTGTGGAGGATGAGGAGCAGAGGAGCAGCAGTGAGGCGCTCCTGAAGATCACACTGAACTTCCTGAGGAGGATGGACCAGAAGGAGCTGGCTGAGCGTCTGTGGAGCAGTAAGAACACGTTCATGATGGTCATGTGATCTTCTCTGACTCTGTCTCTGTTGTCTTCATTCAGGGGTTTCTTCTGGACGTTCTCAGCGTAAACTGAAGGAGCATCTGCAGCAGAGGTTTGAGTGTGTGTTTGAGGGCATCGCTAAAGCAGGAGCCCCCACCCTCCTGAAGCAGATCTACACCGAGCTCTACATCACAGAGGGAGGCTCTTCAGAGGTCAACCAGGAACATGAGGTCCGACACATGGAAGCAGCCTCCAGGAGACCAGCAGAGAGAACCATCACATGTGAAGACATCTTTAAAGACCCGGCCCACTCAGACAAACCAATCAGAACGGTGCTGACAAAGGGCGTGGCTGGCATCGGGAAAACAGTGCTCACTCAGAAGTTCAGTCTGGACTGGGCTGAAGGCAAAGCCAACCAGGACCTCCAGCTGCTGTTCCCCTTCACTTTCAGAACTCTCAATGTTATGAAGGACAGAAGCTTCAGCCTGGTGTCACTTGTTCATCACTTCTTTAGTCAAACACAAGCAGATCTCTGCAGCTTTGAAGACCTCCAGGTGCTCTTCATCTTTGACGGTCTGGACGAGTGCAGACTTCCTCTGGACTTCAGCAGCTCTCGTGTCCTCTCAGACCCCACAGAGTCCGTCTCTCTGGACCTGCTGCTGGTGAACCTCATCAGGGGGAGCCTGCTTCCCTCCGCTCGCCTCTGGATCACCACACGCCCCGCGGCGGCCAATCAGATCCCTGCAGAGTGCGTCTCCATGGTGACAGAGGTCCGAGGGTTCAGCGACTCTCAGAAGGAGCAGTACTTCAGGAGGAGGTTCGGAGAACAGGCCGACACAGTCCTCTCCCACATCAAGACGTCCAGAAGCCTCCACATCATGTGCCACATGCCAGTCTTCTGCTGGATCACTGCCACAGTCCTGGAGCATGTGTTGAAGAGCAGAGAGAGAGGAGAGCTGCCCAAGAGCCTGACGCAGATGTACAGCCACTTCCTGGTGGTTCAGGCCAAAGTCAAGAACATCAAGTATAAAGAAGGATCAGAGACAGACCCACACTGGAGTTCAGACACCAGGAAGATGGTGAAGTCTCTGGGAAAACTGGCCTTTGAGCAGCTGCAGAGAGGACACCTGATCTTCTACGACTGTGACCTGAGCGAGTGTGGGCTGGACGCTGCAGCCGCCTCAGTGTACTCCGGAGTCTTCACACAGGTCTTTAGAGAGGAGCCAGGCCTGTACCAGGACAAGGTCTACTGCTTCATCCATCTGAGTGTGCAGGAGTTTCTGGCTGCTCTTCACGTCCATCAGACCTTCATCAAGACTGGAAGTAATCTGCTGGTAGAGAGAAAGTCCATAATGTCCACCATAAAGCATCGCGTCACTGAAAAAGATCCACTACAATTCTTCCAGACAGCTGTGGACCAGGCCTTACTGAGTCCAAACGGACACCTGGACCTGCTCCTCCGCTTCCTCCTGGGCCTTTCAGTGTCGACCAATCAGAGCCTTCTAAACGGTCTGCTGACACAGACAGGGAGTAGCTCCCAGACCAATCAGAAGACAGCAGAGTACATTAAGAAGAAGCTGAGTGAGGATGTGTCTGCAGAGAGGAGCATCAGTCTGCTCCACTGTCTGAATGAACTGAATGATTCTTCTCTGGTGGAGCAGATCCAACAGACCCTGAGGTCAGGACGTCTGTTCTGAAGGACTGTCTCCTGCTCAGTGGTCAGCTCTGGCCTTCATCTTACTGTCATCAGAAGAAGATCTGGACCAGTTTGATCTGAGCAGATACTGTGCTTCAGAGGAGGCTCTCTCCTGAGGCTGCTGCCAGTGATCAAGGCCTCCACCAAAGCTCTGTGAGTAACCTTTGTTTAACACAGGATTCATTCAACTTCTACATAACCATGTTTTCTGTCTCCAGACTGAGCTGCTGTGAGCTGTCAGACAGAAGCTGTGGAGCTCTGGCCTCAGTCCTCAGCTCCCAGTCCTCTAGTCTGAGAGTCCTGGACCTGAGTCACAACGACTTGAAGGACTCAGGGCTGAAGCTGTTGTCTGATGGACTGAAGAGTCCTCACTGTAAACTGGAGACGCTCAGGTCAGAGGGTTCATATGATTCAATCTGAAGAGACCAAGACAAACACGTTAATGCATTTAGAAAGATTTATTGTTTGGCGCATTGACCCCGGCAGTGACACTTGTAGAGGGGAGATCATTTGCTGCTGAAGATGATCTCAGATCCCCAAAGAGAAAACTGAGCTTGACGAGTCCAGCTCGATGTGGGTTTGTGTGTGCCGGGAATACACTAAACACCTGTTGGTAGTCACCTGGCGTGGATACGCAGGGACGCTTAGGCTGCTGCAGTGAGTGAGTTTATGAAGCATAAGCAGCAGAGAAATAGACACTCTGTAGTGAAACAATCACATATGAAGAGAATAATGCAGGGAATATGCAGGGATGTGTCACCGTGGCTCTGTAGTGAACATGCGTGTATGAAGCGTAGGCCTTGGGGATGTGCAGAGATGCTTCTCAGGCGCAGGCCGCTTCGTGAGGTGCGTGTATGAAGCGTAGGCCTTGGGGATGCACAGAGATGCTTCTCAGGCGCAGGCCGCTTCGTGAGGTGCGTGTATGAAGCGTAGGCCTTGGGGATGCACAGAGATGCTTCTCAGGCGCAGGCCGCTTCGTGAGGTGCGTGTATGAAGCGTAGGCCTTGGGGATGTGCAGAGATGCTTCTCAGGCGCAGGCCGCTTCGTGAGGTGCGTGTATGAAGCGTAGGCCTTGGGGATGTGCAGAGATGCTTCTCAGGCGCAGGCCGCTTCGTGAGGTGCGTGTATGAAGCGTAGGCCTTGGGGATGTGCAGAGATGCTTCTCAGGCGCAGGCCGCTTCGTGAGGTGCGTGTATGAAGCGTAGGCCTTGGGGATGTGCAGAGAGGCTTCTCAGGCGCAGGCCGCTTCGTGAGGTGCCTGTATGAAGCGTAGGCCGCAGAGGGTATGCAGGGATGTGTCACCGGCAAAGAGCAGCTGCTGTGAGAGTGAATGTATGAAGCGTAGGACACAGAGAGTCTATGAATGTCAGGAATGCAGTGTGAGAGACATTATGAATGCTAACGTGGGAGAAGAGCATTAGCCACCACCAGAGTATTTGATGATTAATTACCTCAGATTTAAGAGAGGGAGCGCTGAGCAGACAGTACAGAGTCAGTGTTTGGTCTGATATAGGATGAGGCAGGACCAGCTGAGGCAGGACCAGCTGAGGAGGACCAGCGGAGGAGGACCAGCGACCCATTTGCTGTAGGGAAGAGTAAGGAAAGCCCAGCAGGTTGCCGTGCCGCGCCTATTCTGAACGAGCGTCCGGTATTGTAGAGGAGAGAGGTTGCAGGAGACCGGCCGGAATTTAAGATGGGCTCGAACATGGGCTCAACATGATATCTGTTGCGGGGATCAGTGTAGTGTGCACCCGTCGGGAGCGCGCATTGAGGGAGCGTGCGCGTCATTGTAGCTCACTGCGCACGGGTTCAGGTGCTTCTATTTACCTAATTAGAGCATGCGCTCAGAGAAACTATCACATCGTCGCACCAAGATAGTGTACAACAAAGCCCGTAAAAACAGCCATATAGGACAAGATTCGACCCACATGGACCACTGGTGAGCATTAATCTGCCCCTGATTGTTTTTGTGTAATTATATGTGGCGCGGGGTCGAATTAGTGCGTATATATGCGAGTGTTCTCAATACGGCTTCAAGAGGCGTTCAGGTCTGTGCGTAACTTTCGCTACTCACCACGGACTATAAGCAATGGACAGTCTAATTCTAAATTAAAGTATTATCTGCACTTGGACTGCACTAATTGGACCATTATAACGCAGTTACATTTAAGTTTATCATTATTAGCTAAAAATAATAAATTATATTAAAATAGTTTATAGTATAAAAGTTGATTTAAGTTAAATTTTAAAAGGTTAAAACAGACAAATTACTTGCGTTTAAAATACCTGTAATCTATTCTTAAATGTTAAATGTGAATGTAAAATATCTAAATATTGTTTACTACAAAATACAGTGAATAAAGTTCATGATTTGTTAAAATTCATTATAATGAGATCTTTAGTTAAAACAATTGATTTTGAAACCCATTTAAAATAGCAAATAGCCTTTAACAGTAAAAAGCACTTAAAATTGTGATATTCTGAGTTAAAATTGTGTTAGAATACATTTAAAAATCCCTAAAATGTTTCTCTATTACTAATCATATGAATGCTTTCTGTTTTAAAGGTTTTCACCTGCTGTTTGTTCAATAAACTGAGTGAAACCGGCCTAAAGTGGTGTCAGAGTCCTTCCTATTCAAGTGGGGAAAGCTTTATGGTCCAATTAGTGCAGTCCAAGTGCAGATAATACTTTAATTTAGAATTAGACTGTCCATTGCTTATAGTCCGTGGTGAGTAGCGAAAGTTACGCACAGACCTGAACGCCTCTTGAAGCCGTATTTAGAACACTCGCATATATACGCACTATTTCGACCCCGTGCCACATATAATTACACAAAAACAATCAGGGGCAGATTAATGCTCACCAGTGGTCCATGTGGGTTGAATCTTGTCCTAAATGGCTGTTTTTACGGGCTTTGTTGTACACTATCTTGGTGCGACGATGTGATAGTTTCTCTGAGCGCATGCTCTAATTAGGTAAATAGAAGCACCTGAACCCGTGCGCAGTGAGCTACAATGAAGCACGCTCCCTCAATGCGCGCTCCCGACGGGTGCACACTACACTGATCCCCGCAACAGGTATTCTTTGAGAGAGAAAGAGCAGGCCGTCTGAATCTCCTCTCTGAGCACGGAGCAGAGTACATTTCATCAGGTGTTTATCTGGACAGGGCAAATAAGAGAATGCACAATAACAATGTTACGGCACCTTCCTTTTGGAGTGTTTAAGGTGCAGATTATAGTGATCGGGTAATAATAAGTCCTTGGGGTCTATTGTCAAAAAAATGACGGACGTGTCTCTGAATTTGGTACAGAAATAAGACAAGATTTCAAGAGTTAAATATAAAACAATATTTAATTATCTTTACAATACAAAACTCTCTGAGCTCTGTTTCCCAAACTAACCCTATGAGCTGAGCCATTGTACCTCTCCCTCCAGGCCTGTAAATGTACTGAGAGGACATCCAGACGCTCTGCCATGTCCTCTCTCTGTCCCTGCTCAGACTGCTCACAAAATGTCCTACCAACAGTTTTATGGAAATGTCCGATGACGTCATACGGTGAGACCGACTGAGGCCCTGGTCTGGGTCTGGTCTAGTCCGGTTTTGGGTCTCATGCCTTGTCCCGATAAGAGAGGCATGTTGTTCCTAAAATGATACTTATATCACAGAAACCAACATTGTCCTTGAATATTCCCTGAATTCACTAAACTCAGGCTAAACATTAAACAAAGGCTTTTTATGCAAACACCTAATGATTATCATTAGTATAAAACATTTTATGGAGACATTTATGAAATCTACATCAGGTCCTATTATTCCAGGGATTCATTAAACTTCTACATAACCATGTTTTCTGTCTCCAGACTGAGCCGCTGTGAGCTGTCAGACAGAAGCTGTGGAGCTCTGGCCTCAGTCCTCAGCTCCCAGGCCTCTAGTCTGAGAGTCCTGGACCTGAGTCTCAACGACTTGAAGGACTCAGGGCTGAAGCTGTTGTCTGATGGACTGAAGAGTCCTCACTGTAAACTGGAGACGCTCAGGTCAGAGGGTTCATATGATTCACTGTTCTTACAGAACCTGTTGGTCATTGTTTTGGACAATACCAGTGGACAAAGACAGTTAAAGATAAAGGATTGTTCTGTGGTGTCTCATTTGGGTTGAATGTTAGTCATGAACTGAGTGATTACAATAATGTGTGTGTTCAGTCTGTCAGGTTGTTTGGTGTCAGAGGAAGGCTGTGCTTCTCTGGCCTCAGCTCTGAGGTCCAACCCCTCCCATCTGAGAGAACAAGGACAGGGAAGCAAACAGCAGAGGAAGGAAGAGAAAAGGGGGGAAAGATGAAGGACAGCAGGAAAGGAGAGGCACAGAGAGGACAGACAAGGAAGTGTAAGAGGGGGGCAGGGCAACAGGAGAAGAGGAGGAGGATCAGAGGAAGGGCAGAGAGGGGGGGGGCAGCAGAGGGAGAGTGGGACCAGAGAAGGGGGAGGGAGGGGGGGAGAAAGGGGGGGAGCAGGGTGGAATGAGCTAAGGAAACTGCGGAGAAGTGAGGGAAGGGAGGCAGAAACAAAAGGTCAAAGGGTCAGGGAAGAGCACAGGGGAGGGGGAATACAGAAGGGGACAGAAGGAGGGAGGAGCGCGGCAAGAAAGTAGTAGGGAGAATGAGCAGAAGAACGGGGAGAGCCAAGTGGACCAGGAGGAGGTCAGGGTAGAGACACAGAGGAGGGGTGGGCAGGACCCAGGGGGCAGAAGACGAGGAACAGGGAGGGGGAGGAACAGAAGAAGCAGATGAAAGAAGGAGAGGACAAGGAACGGGAGAGAGCGGGGAAAGAGGGAGACTAAAGAAAGAAGGGAAACGGGGGGCAAAGGGAGGAGGAAGAGAGGAGGGGCAGTAAGAGAAGGAGTGAGTGAAAGGACAGGAGGGGAAGGGAGGAGAGGCAGAGAGGGGAGAAAGAGCAAAGGGGAAGAGCAGAAGGGAAGGGAGGAGGAAAATAGAAAAACCAGAGACAGCAGGGAAAAGAGAAGAGAAGACAAGGGAAGAGGGGCCACAGGAGGAGGGTGGGAGCAGGCAAAGAGGACAGCACACAGGGAACAAGGAAGGAAGGTACAGGGCATCAGAGGGAGGGAGCAGGCAGGCAGAGCAGGGGAGGGGTAGCAAGTGCACACAAGACAGGTCAGGGAGAGTGAAGCAGCAGACAAGAGTGGTAAAAGGAGGACCCAAGAGCCAAGCGAGCACAGGCCTGAAGAAAGCAAGGGGGAAAGAGGAAGGGGAGGAGAATCAGGGGGAACACAGGAGGGGGAAGAGGACAGGAGCACACAGGTGTATAGAGGGCAAGAAGGAGGCGCCATAGGGGAGCAGGACGCAGAAAGAGGAAGGAGGGAAGCAGAAAGGAGGCAGAGAAAAGCAGCAAAAGGAGGTGAAAAAGGGGGGGGTAAGGTAGGTGTTGACAGAGAGAAGGAACACAGGCAGGGGAGAGGCAAGGGGGAGGCGGAAGGCAGGAAAGCCAGAAAACGCAGCAGAGAAGAAGGGCACAGGAGGAGAAGGAGGAGGAGGCACGGAAGGGACCCTAGAAGAGCAGGAGGGGAGGAGCCCGGGCGCAGGAGAGGAAGGCAGAGCAGAACCAGAGAAGGCACAGAGGGGGAAAGGAGCAGAAGAGAGGCAGCAAGCCGCAGGCGGAACAAGGAACAAGACAGACGAGAAAAGGGGCCAGTAGGTAAGGCAGGAGAAAGAGGAAGGACGGAGGGCCAGGCAAGCATGGGCCCAAGGAAAACGAAGAAAGGAGAGAGAGGACGGGAGGGGGAGAAGGAGCAAAGAGGGAAAGCAAAAGGGGGGGACAGGAGGAACAGGGGAGAAGGAAAAGGGAGAAAAGAGTCAAGGGAGGGGACGAGACAGGGCAGGAGAGGAAGGGAAAGGGAGATCATGAGGAAGAGGGGCAGTAGATTAGTAGAAGGAAGAGTGAAGGGAGCGAAGGGGGCACAGGCAGCGGCAGAAGGGCAGGGGAAAGGGACAGGAGAGCAGTGGAGACAAGAGAAAAGGGGGGTATCAGGAGGGAACAAGGGGAGACGAGAAGCGGAACAAGCAAGCCGAGGAAGGCCAGGAGGAAGACGAGAGGGGGCAGGGAGGGAGATAGGGAGGGGAAGGAGAAGGGAGAGCAAGAGCGAAGGGCAGGCAAGATGCCAGGAGAGGGAAGAAAAAAGGCAAACAGAGGAGGAGGGGGGTGGGAAACAGCCCAGGAGGGGAGGGAGGGGAGGGACCCAGGCAGGAGGGAGAACAGAAAGAGGAAAAGGAAAAAGTGAACAGTGGCGGAGGGAGAGGGGCAGAGAGAAGAGAAATGAAGGAGCACAGCACAAAAAAGGAGGCAAGGCCAGAGAGCAGCAGAGCACAGCAGGGGCAGGACCAGCCCGAAGGGAGAGAGGAGGAGACAAGGCAGCAGCAGAAGCAGCAAGGTAGTGGGAGGGGACGGGCGGGCGGCACAAAAGAGCGGCAGCAGCGAGGGAGCAAGGAGCAGAGGGCGGAACAAAACAACGAGGAGGCAAGGGGGGGCCCAGCGCAAGAAGAAGGAAGGGGAGGGTGAAGAGAGGCGCAGGAGAAAACAACAAGAGTGCTCAGCGGGGCAGAGGCAGGGGGGACCAATCAGCAGAGAAAGCAACAGACAGGCAAGGCAGGTGAAGGGGGGAGACAGGGCAGCAAAAAAGAGGTGCGGACAGAGCCAGGAGGGTAGGAAGGGAGGAGCAGCAGATAGACCAAAGACAGAGGGAGGAAGGACAAGGGAACATAGGGGAAGGCGGCAGGCAAAGAGGCAAGACAGGAGAAGGGAGGTCAGGGGTAAGGAGGAACAACAAAAGGATCGAAAGGAAAAAAAGAGAGGGGACAAGCAGGAATGGGTAACAGGAGAGAGGAAGCAACAGAGCAGTGGGGGGAGGAGGGGGCAGAGGAAGGAAAGGGAAGCAAGGCCATGAAGGGGAGGGGAAGGGATGGGAGGGCAAGAAGGAACAAGGGGGATAACAAGGGTGGATCAGGGAGGTCGCAGACAGGAGACAGGAGAAGAGGTAAGAGGGCGGGGAGAAAGGAGAGAGACGGGGAGAGCAGGAAAGGAGGGAAGGAGGAGCAGCGCCTAGAAAAAAGCACAGAAGGGAAGGAGAGGAGCGGGGGGGGAACGGTCAGACATGAGCCACAAAAGAGGCAAGGAGGGCACAGGAGGACGCAGCAAGGACAAAGAGAAGAGAGGAAAGCTAGCAGAAGGAAGGAGAAGCAAAAGGAGAAGGGGAGGCAGGACACAGAGGAGGAGCAGGAGGAAGAGGAAGAGAGGCCGCAGAAAGTAGAAGCAGGAGGGGGGGGGAAACAGGGAAGGGAACAGAAGACAAGGGGCAGAGAATAGGGAGGGGGGCAGAGAAGAAAGAGGCAGGACATAAAGAAAACCAGCAGGGAGAACCCACAGGGCAAAAGACAGCAAGAGGCAGGGGAGCAAGAGAAAGCAAAAGCAGCAGAAAGGCAGGAGGCAAAAACCCCCCCCAAGAGAGGAAGAAGGAGGGAGACGGGGCGAGAGAGAGCACAGGAGAAGCAGAAGGGGGGCAGTAACCACAACAGGGAAGCAAAAGGAAAAGGGAGGAGAGGAGCAAGGGACACACAGCAGAGCGGCAAGAGGTAAGGGAAAATCAGACAAGGACCCCGAACAATAGAGCAGCAAGGCCGGGGAGCAGAAAGAAAGAAGAAGAGAGGAAACAAGGACACAGAGAAGGAGAGGGGGCGAGAAGCGCAGGAAAGAAGAAGACCGAGGGCCAGAGAGAGGGCGCAGGAAGGGTGCAGAGAGCAGACAGACAAGACAGGGGGAAAGGCACAAAAAAAGGGAAACAAAGCAGTGAACGAGGCAGGAACAGAGAGCAGACAGCACAGCAAGTGAGAGGCGTAGAGCCAAGGGGGAAGACGTGAACAGGCAGCCAGGGAGAAGAGGACAAGGCAAACAGGACAGGGCAGGGGGAAGCACAGGGGCAGGAGAGAAGAAAGGGCAGGCAAGCGAGGAGGAAGGCAGGAGAGAAGCAAGGCGGCAGGGAACAAGGTGAAGGGAGGAACCAGGGAGAGAGCTTCAGGAGGGGGCAGGGGGGAAAGGGCTAGAGACGGAGAGAGAGAAAAGGGGGGGAGCAGGGCCAGAGGGGGGGAAGGGAGGCAGAAGAGCAACAGAGGCAGAGGACAGAAGGGAAGGGAGGAGAGGAGGGGGGCAGAGGGGATGAGGAGAAAGAGCAGGAGTGGAAAAAAGAGATAGGGCAAAGAGGAGGGGAGAAGAGAAAAATGGGGGACCAGGGCGGGGCAGCAGAGCAGGGGAGCAGGAAGCAAGAAAAAGGATGGAAATGGCAAGAGGAGGAGAACAAGAGGAAACAGAAGGGAAGAGGGAAGCCAGAGGAGACAGAACACAGAGGGGACAGGGCAGAAATGGAAGGAGAAGGGAGAAAATGGGAAGAAGGAGGGAAGAGCACAAAGAGAAAGACCCCAGCAAGAGGAAGGCCAGGCAAGCAGAAGGCAGACGGAACAAGAGGGACAGGGGAGAGGCAGGCTCGGGGAGCAGCCAGGAGGGGAAGAGAAAGGGGGGAGAGGCAGAGAAGGAGATAGGAGGAAGGAAGGACAAGAGGAGGGGAAAAAGGAGAAGGAGGCAGGAATGGAAGAGGGGTAGGAAGGTCAGCAGAGGAGAGGACAGACACCACAAGAGGGAGAGGGCACAGGGACGAGAAGGGCAGCAGAGAGCACCCCCCAGGGGAAGAAGGAAGGGGGGAAAGAGAAGAGGTATAAAGGAAAAAGGAAGGGAGGCAAGGGGAAGAAAGCAGACAAAATGAAAAGCACGGAAGCGCAGGGAAGATGAAGAGACAAGAGAAAGAGGCAGTAAAGGGAAGGGAGGAGGCAGCATAGGGGAAGGGGGAGGGCAGGGGGGGACAACAGGGGAATAAGCGGGAAGAGGAAGAAAAGAAAGGCAGAAGGAGGAGCAGAAGCAGCAGCAAACAAGGGACATCAAGGAAAGAGAGAAGGAGATAGGCAAGGGGGAAACAGGAAGAGGGAAGGAGCCAGAGGGGGCAAGCAGTAACCAGAGAGAGGTGAGAGAAAGACAGGGAGGGGGAGAGGTGGCAGGGAGAGCAAGGCGGAGAAAGGCAAACAGGGAGAGGGGAGTGGAGGGTAGAAGCACAGGGAAGCAGGCAAAGAGGAAGGGCCAGCAAAAACGAGGGGGAGGTGAGGAGGAGAGAGGCCATGGAGAGAGAGCACCAGGGGGAGAAGCAAGAGGGAAGGGCAGGAGGAACGAAAAGAACAGGCAGGAAAGGAGGGGAGCAACAAGGAAAGCAAGAAGGGGTAGGACCAGGCAGGACAAGGGTAAGGTAAAAGGGGTACAGAGGTAAAAGAAAGAGGCAGGCAACAGAAGGACGGAGTGGGAGGGGACGGGGGGGGACGCGCAAGGACAGGGGAAGGGGGGGGCAGAGAGAAGGAAAGGGGCCAGAAGGAGAAGGAGCAGGAGGAGAAAAAGGGTCCGGGGACCAGGGAGGATAAGGGAGAGAGAGGGAGTGGGACAGGGGGGCACCTAGGGACAAAGAGACACGGAGTCAGCAGAGAGAAAGGGGACAGAGAAGGGAAGGTAAGAGGCAAGGGCAGCAGGGGACCGAAGAGGGGGATGCAGAGGAGAGAGCAGCACAAGGAAAGGAGCAGCAGGAAGAAGAACAGAGGAACAAGGACGGGGACGAGGAGGCAAGCAGAGGAAGCCGAGGAGGGAAGAAGTGGACAGCAGGAGGAGGGGAGGGTGGAGAGAGGCAGCAGGAAGAAAGGGAGGGCAGGCACCGCAAGGAAGGGGAAGGAAGGGGAGCAGGAAGGAAGGGAGAGAGGGGGGGACACGAAGGGGGAGAGGATCAGGGGGGGGCAAGGGGGACAGTAGGAGGAGAACAACAGAGCATGGCAGGGCAACAGGAGGAGAAGGCAAGCGGGGAAACGAGAGACAAGGGAGGAGCAAAGAAAGTGAGTCAGACCACAGAAAGAGGACGGGGAGAAGAAGCAGCAAGAAGGAACAAAAACAGAAGAGGATAGAACACGGGAGGAATCAGGAAAAGGCGAGCCAGGAGAGGCAAAGAAGAGGGGTGGGGCGGAACAAGGGGGAAGAGAAAGGAAGGTTCAGGGAGGGGCAGAAAGCAGGGGAGGCAGGAGCATGCAGCAAGTAGCACAAAAGGCCACAGGGCAGCAGGGGGCAAGGGGGGGAAAGGCTGGGGATGAGGACACAAACACAGAGGGGGGGGAGAGGTGACAGGGAAAAGAGAGCAACAGTCAAACAGAAGCAAACAGCAGGGAAGAAGAGAGGGGGACCGCCAAGGGGCGGCAAAGAACAAACGCAGGCCAAAGAGAAAGCAGGGAAAGCAGAGGGGAGAGAAAAGAAGAGCGAGGAGGGGCGAAGAGGAGGGAGGAGGGGGATCAGACACGCAAGAAGTGGGAAGGAGGAACAGGGAAAGGCATCAAGCACAGTAGGCAGGAACACGGAGGAGAGCAAAGGAGGGAGGCAAGGCAGCACAAAGAAAGGGTAACAGAGGGGACAGGGGAACGAAGGGGGGCCAGCAGTCAAGAGGGCAAGGGAGAGGGAAGAACAGGAGAGGCACAGCAAGAAGAGCATTGAGTAAGCCCGGGACAGGGGGGGGGGGAAGGGAAAAGGGGGCAGCGAAGAAGTGAGAGGATAGGAGGGGGCGGAGAGGTAGCACCGGCAAGGAGGGGGGGAGGGGAGGGCACAGGGGGGGGTAATGAGCAGAAGGCAGGACAAGAGCAGAAGAAGGGGAGAAGAAAGGGAGGGAGCAGGGGATGAAGAGGAGCAAAGCGAGGGACCAAGGTGCAAGTAGAGGAACAGAATATCAAGAAAGGACAGTGGAAGGAGGAGGTGCAGGAGAAAGAGCAGGAAGAGCAGAAAGGACAGGGAGGCAGCGAACAACAGGAAGAGGAGAAAGGGAGAGGGGAAAGGAAAAGAGGCAGACCAGCAAGGGAGGGGGAGGAGACAGGGGAGGCAAAGGGCAGGAGAAGAGAAGGAGGCTAAGGGTACAACACAGAGACAGGGTGAAGAGAGGAGGAGAGGGGAAGAGGGCAAAGCAGAGGCAAAGCAGACAGGGGCCCAGGGGACAAGGAGAGGACAGCAGGAGGCAAAAGGCAGCACAGCAAGCGACCGAGAGAAGAACAGAGCAGAGCAGGCAGAGGGTAAGGAGAGCAGAAAGGCAGGCAGGAGGAAGGGGACCAGCAGAAGTCAAGCAGAGCGCAGCGAGAAGAAGAGAGAGAGGGGCAGGCTAAGGCAAGGGAGAAGGGGGGGAGCAACAAAAGGAGAAGAGAAGAGAGCGGAGAACCGAAGGAACAGCAGGAAGGACTAGAGACGGGAGAGAGCCAAGAGGAAAAAAGTAAACGGGAGCGGGTGAAAGAACGGGGGAGCAGAGGGGGCAGGAGAGGCGAAGGGGGCGAGGAGACATAAAGGCAGAGCAGCAAAGCAGGAGCAGAAAGGGGAGGAGGACAGGCGGAAGCCAGGGGAAAGGGAGAGAGACCAGAGGAATGGCAGGGAAAGAGAAGAGAGCAGGACACGAGACAAGGAGAGGAAGGGGTGAGAACTCAAACATAGGCAAGAAGGCACAGAGGGTAGCCAGGGTGAAGAGGGTAGAAGGGAGAAGACCAAGGAAAAGGGGAAAAGAGGCAGGGGGAAGCAGGGAGAGACAAAGAGGAGCAAGCAGCGGAAGGGGGGCAGAACCAGAGAGATTGCAGAGAAGGAGGGAAGACAGGGCAGAAGGGAGCAGCAAGGAGGAAGCAGAGAGGGAAAAGGGGGGGAGAGAGCAGGGAAAGGAGCAAAGAGGGGGAGGAGGAGAGTAACAGGGGAAAAAATACAAAGGGGGCAGGAGCAGGCAAGGGCAGCAGGGGCGCAAGGCAGGATAGGACAAGAGGAGCGGAAGCAGAGGAGGAGAGGGAGGCAGGGAGGGGAGGCAGATAAGAGGGGGAAGACAAACGGCAAAGAGGTAAACATGGGAAAGAGAGCGAAGGTAGGGAAAGAGGGGCAGGGAGAGAGCAGAAGAAGCAAAAGGCGGTCAGGCAGGGAGGCAGGAAGGAGAAGCAGGAGGAAGAGAAGATAGAAACAAGGACAGAGAGGGGGAGAGAGCAGGGGGACAGGGGAAATAGCAGGGAGCAGAATGACAAACAGGTACTGGAGGGCAAAGGGGGAGGAGTGCAGGCGCAGAGCAGGGAAGCAGAAAGCAGGAAGGGGAGAGAGATGGGTGAAGCAAGCAGGGAGGAAAAGGGACGGCAGGAGCAAAAGAGGAGGGGAGAGAGCCAGACGGTCAGTAGAGCACAAGGGTATTACAAAGAGAGGATAACCAGGAGCGAACGAGAGGGGAGGAAGAAGGCGGAGCACAGGAGATGAGAGGAAATGCAGAGAAGGGGAAGGGAAGAAGGGCAGACCAGAGGGGGAAGACAGAGACAAGACAAGGAGAAAGGAAGGAAGGGAGTGCAGGAGGGGAGCAGCTAGCAGGGGAAGAAAGGGAAGAAAGGGAGGAACAAGGTGGGGAGGGGCAGGGCAAAGAGGAATTAGGGGAAGCAGCATGAGAATGGACAAAGAGAGAAAGAGTGGGGAGGCCAGGGGACGAACAGGGCAGGAAGCAGGACAAGGGCAGGGCAGCACGGGCGCCGAGGGGGGGAGCAGAAGGAGGGGGGGGAGAAAGCAAGGGGAAAGAAAAAGCCAAAGAGGACAAAGCAGATCAGCACCAGAGTCAGGGAAGACAGACAGCAGTAAGAGCAGTAAGGAAAGCAGGGGCAGAAGGGGACCGGCAAGCAGAACGCAGAGAACACAGAGGGAGCCAGCGAACAGAGGGTGACAAGAGAACAGAGAGAGAGGGGGAGAAGAGGGACAGCAGAGACAGGAAGAGAGAGAGGACAACAAGCAGATGAGGAAGACAAAAATGCAATGGAAAGAAGGGAAGGGGGGGGAGAGAGCAAGGAGACCAAAGAAGAAGGGGAGCTGGCAGGAAGGGGGAGGAGGGACACAAGGAACAGCGCAGACAGGAGAAGGCAGGGCAGGGGGCAGAAAGAAAGGGGGGGGTACTGGGTGGTCCTCACTAGAGGACTAGGGAGGACTGGGTGGTCCACACAGAGACCAGAGGACTAGATGGTCCTCACAGAGACCAGACGACTGGGTGGTCCTCACAGAGACTAGAGGACTGGGTGGTCCTCACAGAGACCAGAGGACTGGGTGGTCCTCACAGAGACCAGAGGACTGGGTGGTAATCACAGAGACTAGAAGACTGGGTGGACCTCACAGAGACCAGAGGACTGGTTGGACCTCACAGAGACCAGAGGACTGGGTGGTCCTCACAGAGACCAGAGGACTGGGTGGTCCTCACAGAGACCAGAGGACTGGGTGGTCCTCACAGAGACTATTGACTCTGTTTATTTAAACAGTGTTAAATAAACACACTATCACACATTTCCCAAACCTCTCAAAGACTACACTTCCCAGCATGCCTAGTGTCATGTGGCCTGTACAATATGTGCCTCTGTTCTCACATGTGTCAGCGCCAATACAAACTCTATCTATCACACACATACAGAGCTCTAACTCTAACTAACTCTATCTATCACACACATACAGAGCTCTAACTCTAACTAACTCTATCTATCACACACATACAGAGCTCTAACTCTAACTAACAATATCTATCACACACATACAGAGCTCTAACTCTAACTAACAATATCTATCACACACATACAGAGCTCTAACTCTAACTAACTCTATCTATCGCACACATACAGAGCTCTAACTCTAACTAACTCTATCTATCACACACATACAGAGCTCTAACTCTAACTAACTCTATCTATCACACACATACAGAGCTCTAACTCTAACTAACAATATCTATCACACACATACAGAGCTCTAACTCTAACTAACAATATCTATCACACACATACAGAGCTCTAACTCTAACTAACTCTATCTATCGCACACCTACAGAGCTCTACTTATATCTCCACTGCCACTGTGAAATCTACTACAACAGTCAACTCTAACTAACTCTGATTAACTCTAACTAAGTTAGATACATACCAACGGGCTGTGTGTTCCTAACTTTAACTAACTCTGACTAGAGGACCGGGTGGTCCTCACAGAGACCAGAAGACTGGGTGGTCCTCACAGAGACTAGAGGACTGGGTGGTCCTCACAGAGACCAGAGGACTGGGTGGTCCTCACAGAGACTAGAGGACTGGGTGGTCCTCACAGAGACCAGAGGACTGGGTGGTCCTCACAGAGACCAGAGGACTGGGTGGTCCTCACAGAGACCAGAGGACTGGGTGGTCCTCACAGAGACTAGAGGACTGGGTGGTCCTCACAGAGACTAGAGGACTGGGTGGTCCTCACAGAGACCAGAGGACTGGGTGGTCCTCACAGAGACCAGAGGACTGGGTGGTAATCACAGAGACTATTGACTCTGTTTATTTAAACAGTGTTAAATAAACACACTATCACACATTTCCCAAACCTCTCAAAGACTACACTTCCCAGCATGCCTGGTGTCATGTGGCCTGTACAATATGTGCCTCTGTTCTCACATGTGTCAGCGCCAAAACAAACTCTATCTATCGCACACATACAGAGCTCTAACTCTAACTAACTCTATCTATCACACACATACAGAGCTCTATTTCTAACTAACTCTATCTATCACACACATACAGAGCTCGAACTCTAACTAACTCTATCTATCACACACAAACAGAGCTCTAACTCTAACTAACTCTATCTATCACACACAAACAGAGCTCTAACTCTAACTAACTATCTATCACACACAAACAGAGCTCTAACTCTAACTAACTCTATCTATCGCACACATACAGAGCTCTAACTCTAACTAACTCTATCTATCACACACATACAGAGCTCTAACTCTAACTAACTCTATCTATCACGCACATACAGAGCTCTATTTCTAACTAACTCTATCTATCACACACATACAGAGCTCGAACTCTAACTAACTCTATCTATCACACACAAACAGAGCTCTAACTCTAACTAACAATATCTATCACACACATACAGAGCGTTAACTCTAACTAACTCTATCTATCACACACATACAGAGCTCTACTTATATCTCCACTGCCACTGTGAAATCTACTACAACAGTCAACTCTAACTAACTCTGACTAGAGGACCGGGTGGTCCTCACAGAGACCAGAAGACTGGGTGGTCCTCACAGAGACCAGAGGACTGGGTGGTCCTCACAGAGACTAGAGGACTGGGTGGTCCTCACAGAGACCAGAGGACTGGGTGGTCCTCACAGAGACCAGAGGACTGGATGGTCCTCACAGAGACCAGAGGACTGGGTGGTCCTCACAGAGACCAGAGGACTGGGTGGTCCTCACAGAGACCAGAGGACTGGGTGGTCCTCACAGAGACCAGAGGACTGGGTGGTAATCACAGAGACCAGAGGACTGGGTGGACCTCACAGAGACCAGAGGACTGGTTGGACCTCACAGAGACCAGAGGACTGGGTGGACCTCACAGAGACCAGAGGACTGGGTGGACCTCACAGAGACCAGAGGACTGGGTGGTACTCACAGAGACCAGAAGACTGGGTGGTCCTCACAGAGACTAGAGGACTGGGTGGTCCTCACAGAGACCAGAGGACTGGGTGGTCCTTACAGAGACCAGAGGACTGGGTGGTCCTCACAGAGACCAGAGGACTGGGTGGTCCTCACAGAGACCAGAAGACTGGGTGGACCTCACTAGAGGACTAGAGGACTGGGTGGTCCTCACAGAGACCAGAAGACTGGGTGGTCCTCACAGAGACCAGAGGACTGGGTGGTCCTCACAGAGACCAGAGGACTGGGTGGTAATCACAGAGACCAGAGGACTGGGTGGACCTCACAGAGACCAGAGGACTGGTTGGACCTCACAGAGACCAGAGGACTGGGTGGACCTCACAGAGACCAGAGGACTGGTTGGACCTCACAGAGACCAGAAGACTGGGTGGACCTCACTAGAGGACTAGAGGACTGGGTGGTCCACACAGAGACCAGAGGACTGGGTGGTCCTCACAGAGACCAGAGGACTGGATGGTCCTCACAGAGACCCGAAGACTGGGTGGACCTCACCGAGACCAGAGGACTGGGTGGACCTCACAGAGACTAGAGTACTGGGTGGACCTCACAGAGACCAGAGGACTGGGTGGTCCTCACAGAGACCAGAGCACTGGGTGGTCCTCACAGAGACCAGAGGACTGGGTGGTCCTCACAAAGAGCAGAGGACTGGGTGGTCCTCACAGAGACCAGAGGACTGGGTGGTCCTCACAGAGACCAGAGGACTGGGTGGTCCTCACAGAGACTAGAGGACTGGATGGTCCTCACAGAGACCAGAGGACTGGGTGGTCCTAACAGAGACTAGAGGACTGGGTGGTCCTCACAGAGACCAGAGGACTGGGTGGTCCTCACTGAGACTAGAGGACTGGGTGGTCCACACAGAGACCAGAGGACTGGGTGGTCCTCACAGAGACCAGAGGACTGGGTGGTCCTCACAGAGACCAGAGGACTGGGTGGTCCTCACTGAGACTAGAGGACTGGGTGGTCCACACAGAGACCAGAGGACTGGGTGGTCCTCACAGAGACCAGAGGACTAGATGGTCCTCACAGAGACCAGAAGACTGGGTGGTCCTCACAGAGACTAGAGGACTGGGTGGTCCTCACAGAGACCAGAAGTCTGGGTGGTCTTCACAGAGACCAGAGGACTGGGTGGTCGTCACAGAGACCAGAGGACTGGGTGGTCGTCACAGAGACCAGAGGACTGGGTGGTCCTCACAAAGAGCAGAGGACTGGGTGGTCCTCACAGAGACCAGAGGACTGGGTGGTCTTCACAGAGACTAGAGGACTGGGTGGTCCTCACAGAGACCAGAGGACTGGGTGGTCCTCACAGAGACTATTGACTCTGTTTATTTAAACAGTGTTAAATAAACACACTATCACACATTTCCCAAACCTCTCAAAGACTACACTTCCCAGCATGCCTGGTGTCATGTGGCCTGTACAATATGTGCCTCTGTTCTCACATGTGTCAGCGCCAAAACAAACTCTATCTATCACACACATACAGAGCTCTAACTCTAACTAACTCTATCTATCACACACATACAGAGCTCTAACTCTAACTAACTCTATCTATCACACACATACAGAGCTCTAACTCTAACTAACTCTATCTATCACACACATACAGAGCTCTAACTCTAACTAACAATATCTATCACACACATACAGAGCTCTAACTCTAACTAACTCTATCTATCGCACACATACAGAGCTCTAACTCTAACTAACTCTATCTATCACACACATACAGAGCTCTAACTCTAACTAACTCTATCTATCACACACATACAGAGCTTTAACTCTAACTAACTCTATCTATCACACACATACAGAGCTTTAACTCTAACTAACTCTATCTATCGCACACATACAGAGCACTACTTATATCTCCACTGCCACTGTGAAATCTACTACAACAGTCAACTCTAACTAACTCTGACTAACTCTTACTAAGTTAGATACATACCAACGGGCTGTGTGTTCCTAACTTTAACTAACTCTGACTAATTCCGACCCTGACTATCTCTAACTAAATGACTAACTATAACTAACTCTTCCTAAATCTAACTAACTCTGAATTACTCTAACTAAGTCTGACCCTGACTAGCTCTAACTTACTCTAACTAACTAACTAACTCTGACTAACTCTAACTAAGGATGTTCCCACCCCCTTTCACTTCCAAACTTCCAGTTGAGTTTTTACAAAAAGTTCTGTTTTGGTTTCATCTGATCATAGGACAGTCTCCCAATCCTCTTCTGGATCATCCAAATGCGCTGTAGCAAACTTCAGGAGATTATCAGCTCTCTTCACACCTAACTGCTTACCTACTGCAGATCCAGTCTTCCCAGCCTGGTGCAGGTCTACATGTGTGTTTCTAGTGTCCTTTGACAGCTCTTTGGTCTTGGCCACAGTGGAGTTTGGAGTGTGACTGTGTGAGGTCGTGGACAGGGGTCTTTGGCACAGATAGAGTTAAAACAGACATTAATAAAGTAAACGAGTGGAGGACAGAGGAGTCTCTTAAAGGAGAAGTTACAGACTGTGAGGGACAGAAAACTGACTTTAATCTGACTAAATACTTATTTTCCACCAACAGGGCGGCGTCATTGAGCAGTGAACGCTCCAATCATCGATGGATCAACTTTAAAAAGGACGATCAGCGGTAAGTCTGACTGTAACTCATGTGTGTCTGAGGCTAAGCAGGGCAGGGCCTGGTCAGTGATGTGATGGGGGGCTATTGCTATGGTAACACTGCCCTCACAGCTCAGAGATGAGAATCCAGCAGTGTCAGAGCTCAGACTAAAGCCACTGCTCCGTCTGCGCAGTAGTAATAGTAATAATAATGGTAAAAGACTGAGACTGGGTGGTCCTCACAGAGACTAGAGGACTGGGTGGTCCTCACAGAGACTAGAGGACTGGGTGGTCCTCACAGAGACCAGAGGACTGGGTGGTCCTCACAAAGACCAGAGGACTGGGTGGTCCTCACAGAGACCAGAGGACTGGATGGTCCTCACAGAGACCAGAGGACTGGGTGGTCCTCACAGAGACTAGATGACTGGGTGGTCCTCACAGAGACCAGAGGACTGGGTGGTCCTCACAAAAACCAGATGACTGGATGGTCCTCACAGAGACTAGATGACTGGGTGGTCCTCACAGAGACCAGAGGACTGGGTGGTCCTCACAGAGACCAGAGGACTGGGTGGTCCTCACAGAGACCAGAAGACTGGGTGGTCCTCACAGGGACCAGAGGACTGGGTGGTCCTCACAAAAACCAGAGGACTGGATGGTCCTCACAGAGACCAGAGGACTGGGTGGTCCTCACAGAGACCAGAGGACTGGGTGGTCCTCACAGAGACCAGAGGACTGGGTGGTCCTCACAGAGACCAGAGGACTGGGTGGTCCTCACAGAGACCAGAGGACTGGGTGGTCCTCACAGAGACCAGAAGACTGGGTGGTCCTCACAGGGACCAGAGGACTGGGTGATCCTCACAAAAACCAGAGGACTGGGTGGTCCTCACAGAGACCAGAGGACTGGGTGGTCCTCACAAAAACCAGAGGACTGGATGGTCCTCACAGAGACCAGAGGACTGGGTGGTCCTCACAGAGACCAAGGACTGGGTGGTCCTCACAGAGACCAGAGGACTGGGTGGTCCTCACAGACACCAAGGACTGGGTGGTCCTCACAGAGACCAGAGGACTGGGTGGTCCTCACAGACACCAAGGACTGGGTGGTCCTCACAGGGACCAGAGGACTGGGTGGTCCTCACAAAAACCAGAGGACTGGATGGTCCTCACAGAGACTAGAGGACTGGGTGGTCCTCACAGAGACCAGAGGACTGGGTGGTCCTCACAGAGACCAGAGGACTGGGTGGTCCTCACAGAGACCAGAGGACTGGGTGGTCCTCACAGAGACCAGAGGACTGTGTGGTCCTCACAGAGACCAGAAGACTGGGTGGTCCTCACAGGGACCAGAGGACTGGGTGATCCTCACAAAAACCAGAGGACTGGGTGGTCCTCACAGAGACCAGAGGACTGGGTGGTCCTCACAAAAACCAGAGGACTGGATGGTCCTCACAGAGACTAGATGACTGGGTGGTCCTCACAGAGACCAGAGGACTGGGTGGTCCTCACAGAGACCAGAGGACGGTGGTCCTCACAGAGACCAGAAGACTGGGTGGTCCTCACAGGGACCAGAGGACTGGGTGGTCCTCACAAAAACCAGAGGACTGGATGGTCCTCACAGAGACTAGAGGACTGGGTGGTCCTCACAGAGACCAGAGGACTGGGTGGTCCTCACAGAGACCAGAGGACTGGGTGGTCCTCACAGAGACCAGAGGACTGGGTGGTCCTCACAGAGACCAGAGGACTGGGTGGTCCTCACAGAGACCAGAAGACTGGGTGGTCCTCACAGGGACCAGAGGACTGGGTGATCCTCACAAAAACCAGAGGACTGGGTGGTCCTCACAGAGACCAGAGGACTGGGTGGTCCTCACAAAAACCAGAGGACTGGATGGTCCTCACAGAGACCAGAGGACTGGGTGGTCCTCACAGAGACCAAGGACTGGGTGGTCCTCACAGAGACCAGAGGACTGGGTGGTCCTCACAGACACCAAGGACTGGGTGGTCCTCACAGAGACCAGAGGACTGGGTGGTCCTCACAGACACCAAGGACTGGGTGGTCCTCACAAAAACCAGAGGACTGGGTGGTCCTCACAGAGACCAGAGGACTGGATGGTCCTTACAGAGACCAGAGGACTGGGTGGTCCTTACAGAGACCAGAGGACTGGGTGGTCCTCACAGAGACCAGAGGACTGGGTGGTCCTTACAGAGACCAGAGGACTGGGTGGTCCTCACAGAGACTAGAGGACTGGGTGGTCCTCAGAGACTGAGCAGGGGTACCTTGTCGCCCGTGAGATCCTCACAGAGACTGAGCAGGGGTACCCTGTCGCCCGTGAGATCCTCACAGAGACTGAGCACGGGTACCCTGTCGCCCATGAGATCCTCACAGAGACTGAGCAGGGGTACCCTGTCGCCCGTGAGATCCTCACAGAGACTGAGCAGGGGTACCCTGTTGCCCATGAGATCCTCACAGAGACTGAGCAGGGGTACCCTGTCGCCCATGAGATCCTCACAGAGACCAGAGGACTGGGTGGTCCTCACAGAGACTAGAGGACTGGGTGGTCATCAGAGACTGAGCAGGGGTACCCTGTCGCCCATGAGATCCTCACAGAGACTGAGCAGGGGTACCCTGTCGCCCATGAGATCCTCACAGAGACTGAGCAGGGGTACCCTGTTGCCCATGAGATCCTCACAGAGACTGAGCAGGGGTACCCTGTCGCCCATGAGATCCTCACAGAGACTGAGCAGGGGTACCCTGTCGCCCATGAGATCCTCACAGAGACTGAGCAGGGGTACCCTGTCGCCCATGAGATCCTCACAGACATTAATAAAGGCTCAACCTATCATTGTGAAGCAGAATTCACCAAGCGTTGGATTGTTCACCCACTAATAGGGAACGTGAGCTGGGTTTAGACCGTCATGAGACAGGTTAGTTTTACTGATGATGTGTTGTTGCAATAGTAATAAGAGTGGAGGACAGAGGAGTCTCTTAAAGGAGAAGTTACAGACTTTCCACCTGTTCCACAGAAGATCAGGTTCCTGCACAAAATAGTTTTGGAGAAAGATTGACTAAGTTATGTATTAAAAAGAGTTTAATGCAGAATCAGAACACATTTAACCAATCCAGGCCTAGCGCTTCAGCCCAGGACACCACCATCAGTTTAAATACAGTCTTTAAAATGTTCCCATTTTGTCTCATAGTTGAGGTAAACTATGATAAAAGGCCTCTCTCCTTTTGAAGTGGGAGGACTTGTCTAACTGACTAAATACTGTGTTTCCCTCTGTAAGTGTCTCTGTCTCTCCACAGAGCGGCTGCAGAGGTCTCCAGTGGTCCGCACCATCGCACAGGCCAGGACTCTGTATTTAAGGTCTGTCATTCACTCACGTTTGGAGATGTTCAGCTGAAGGACTAGTTTCACACACATGTGACACTGATGTGTTCCATCTCCTGGTGTTAAAGCACAGTTTGAAGTGTGACATCAGTAACAGGAGGTGGAAACACAACCACAGAAACTCATGAAGAGAATATAAAACCCACTCTGTTCTGAAGACACAAGACGAACAAAGAGAAAAGTGAAAATGATCAGGTTGAATCCTGGAGCTTCCTCTGAATCATTAGATACACAGCACAGAGTCTTGATACATCACTGAGAAGTTCAGGTTTCAAAGCCAAACATAGACCTGAATGATCTCAGTCTCAGACTCTGGCCACCCTTCTGCTCTCGTTCTCCTAGATTAACCATCGGCCTTCGATACGGTGGACCGTCACAGGAACTGCACTTTCAGTCCTGTCTCACGGATTGATCTTTTTCTGTCCAACTGTGACAGTTCTCTAAAGTACAATACAATACAATACAATACAATACAATTTATTCTTGTATAGCCCTAGGTCACAACAGAAGTCATCTCAGAGGACTTAACAAAACCATTGAAATCACCAACACAGGTCAGAGAATCAACAGTTAAAACACATGAAGAATATAAAGCACACACAGAAGAAAATGTCCATACATGTTGTAGAATGCTAAAGTGTCCTGATCATCACCAATCCTTTCTGTTGGACACTAACTGTCCAACAAGACCCTCCTGCATCGACAAGGAAAAACTCTTAAAAAACCCAGTGGGAAAACGTGAGAAACCTTGGGGAGAACTAGGGAAACCCACAGGGAGGGAGACCCATTTGAGAAAGGGATCCGCTCCTCCGGACGGACAGGCTAATGATCCAGGACCTAAGCTAGCTACAGAACGTGGACCAGTGGCCGCTGAACGTGGACAGGTCCGGTGCAGGACCAAAGCACTCCCAGGCGGGTCGGGCGGGGCAGTCCGCAGGTGTAGATGGAGGAGGCCAGGCTCAGAGATCCCGTCATCGTACCATGAAACAGACAATGGGACAACGGGTGAATAGCAATGAACAAACTACAGTCAGAATCCTAAAAATGCTAAACAGATAAAGTAGGAAGGAGGAGAGGATAGTGCAGTTACCATACTTCTCCAGCAGGGGGCTCCCTATGCAGCTGGACTGACAGTCTGAGGAGTTTAGCCTTCCCTGAGTCTTACCTTCCTAACCATATGCTAAACTAAAGAGGACTGTTTTAAACCTAGCCTTGAATAAAGAGATTCATGGGTTGCACACCAGGTGTGCAAACCGATCCAAGCAAAACCAATTATATATTATATATCATATACATCATATATACCATACATACCATATATATCATATGTAATACACAACATAACATACAGCATAATATATAACATAACACAATACATTATTGTATAATATATAACATAATATATAACATAATACAGCATATATATATAATATATACACCATATATTATATATTACCTAATTATATGCTAAATTAAAGTAAAGTGCTTTAAGCCTGGCCTTGAATGTGGAGACCGTATCTGCTTCCTTAACATAAATGAAGCTGATTCCACAGTAAAGGAGCTTGGAGCTAAATGCTCTGCCACCAACAGTGACCTTTGAGACCTTAGGAACCACCAGACGTCTGGCGTTTTGTGAGCGCAACGCTCGACTTGGTTGATACGACACTAACGTGTCTTGGAGATAAGAAGGAGCCAAGCCATTTATGGCTTTATATGTTAAGAGAAGGATTTTAAACTTTATTCTGTACTCCACAGGAGCCAGTGGAGTGATTTTAACACCGGAGTTATGTGCTCCCTCCTTTTGGTACCTGTTAAGATCCTAGCTGCTGTATTCTGAACGAGCTGGAAGCTCTTCAAAGAGGCTTTAGGGCACGCTGCCAGTAAAGCGTTACAGTCGAGCCTTGAGGTGACAAACGCGTGAATAAGTTTTTCCGCGTCACTTTTAGGAAGGAAATTCCTAATTTTAGCGATGTTCCGTAAGTGGAAGTACGCCGTTTTAGTTGCCTGGCTTATATAAGCCTTGAAGGAGAGTTCTTGGTCAAAAATGACTCCAAGATTCCTCACAGTGTTACTGGGTATAATACTGACATTATCAGAGTGATTATCTGGTTAGTGAGGGTGTCACGCAGGCGCTTCGGACCGAGTAGGATCACTTCTGTCTTCTCTGGGTTGAGAAGTAGGAAGTTAAGAGTCATCCACATTTTAAGGTCCTTTATGCAGCACTGAGCTTTTCTAGCTGATCTGTCTGATTTGGCTTCATCGACAGATAAAGCTGTGTGTCATCTGCAGCAGTGGAAATTAATTCCATGCTTTTTAATAATGTTTCCCAATGGCAGCATGTAGAGAGTAAAAAGAATCGGTCCGAGTACCGAACCCTGCGGCACACCGAATTCTACTCCAGAATAAGGTGACGAGTTCTGATTTACGTTGACGAAGTGATACCGATCTGATAAATAGGATTTAAACCAGCCAAGGGCTGTTCCTCTAAGACCTATATCACATTCTAGCCTCTGCAGTAGAATGCTGTGGTCTATTGTGTCAAATGCAGCACTAAGGTCCAGTAGGACCAGCACTGACACTTGTCCATTATCAGCAGCTAGTAGTAAGTCATTTGTGACTTTGACTAGTGCCGTTTCAGTCTATGATGAGCTCTGAATCCTGATTGAAAGACTTCAAACATATTATTTTCCTGCAGGTGGCAGCGAAGCTGCTCAGCTATAAGTTTTTCCAGGATTTTAGATATAAAAGTGAGGTTTGAGATCGGTCTGTAGTTTGTAAGTATTTCTGGGTCCAGGTTTGTTTTCTTCAGAAGGGGTTTGATTACCGCGGTTTTAAAAGCTTGTGGGACATAGCCACATTGTATGGATGCGTTTATTATATTTACGATAGGCTCAATTATTAAAGGAAGAGCCATGTCGGGACTGCGTCTAACATGCAAGTTGAGGCTTTTGAGGATGTGACCACAGAGATCACCTCTGCTTGGCTCACAGCCATGAATTTATCGAGGCCCACTGAAGAGTCTAAGTGGGAAGTCACGTATGCCGCTTCAGCCTATCCACCACTAACAGCAGGAGTAACCTCCTCCAGTTTGTCACGGATGGATGTCATTTTATTATTAAAGAAGTGGAGAAAGTCGACACTGCTCAGTGAGCTTGGAATTTTAGGCTCGATTGCGCTATGGCAGTTTGTGAGTTTAGCGACGATGCTAAACAAAAATCTACTGTTATTTTTATTGGCTTCTATTAAAGTTGAATAGTATTGAGTTCGAGCCCTGCGAAGGGCATTCTTGTAGTTTCGGAGACCTGCTTTCCACTCCCTGTGGACAGGCTCCGAGTGGGAGTGGCGATATAGCCTCTCCAATTTTCTGACGTCCTGTTTTAAAGTGTGGAGTTGAACACTGTACCAGGGCGACGATGATCTAATCCTAATAGTTTTCTGTTTTAAAGGAGCTGCTGCATTTAATGCAGATTTTAAAGACTCCATAGTGTTGCCCACCGTTTGGTCAATGACTGAGGGACTGCAGCTGCTGTGAACAGGTTCACCTGCAGCAGTATTCAACATAGGCTGTATTAGTTCTTTGAACCTTGTGATAGATTTATCATTTAAGGTTCTTTTCATTATGGTTTTATCTTGCGGGACAGGAAAGTCCTCCAAATCGAGATCATACGTGATCAAGAAATGGTCAGACAGCAACGAGCTTTGACGCTGGATGTCAACATTGGAGACATCACAGCCGTAGGTCAGGACAAGGTCCAAGGTGTGGTTATGAATGTGAGTAGGTTCCTCAACATTCTGAGCAAAACCAACACCATCTAGTACGGCGCTGAAAGCTTTGTTTAAGCTGTCAGTGCTGTCGTCCACATGTATATTGAAGTCTCCAGTTATAACTATGTTTTCCCATTCCAAAACTAGGTTTGAAATGAAGTCAGAGAATTCTGTTAGGAACTCGCTGTAAGGACCAGGAGGTCGGTATAAAACTATAAATAGTACCGCTTTTTGTTTTCTCCACCCAGGACAGGTGATTGAAAGTGTTAAGTTTTCAAACGAGTGAAAAGCGTTGTTGGTTTTGGGACTAAGAACCAAGTTGGTGTGTGATATAATCGCAACACCACCGCCGCGACCTGTAGCTCTGGCTTTCTGGAAGCTAACATGCGTCGGAGGAGTGCACTCATTCAATCTAACGTAGTCGTCCTGTTGGAGCCAAGTCTCCGAGAGCGCAAACAAATCCAAGCCCTTGTCTATAATAAGTTTGTTTATGAGAAGCGATTTAGACGAGATTGATCTGACGTTCATTAAACCACATTTAACAACCCTACTGTTAGAACTATTTCTGTCTGTCTGAACTTTTATTAAGTTACTGTGTCTGACACCCAGGTCAGATTTCCTCATATAGTGCTTTAGACTTCAAGCGAGGAACACACACAGTTTCAATCTGACTAGGTTCTGAGGCTAGTAACTGAGCACACACAGGCACACACACACATGCACACACAGTTTCAATCTGACTAGCTTCTGAGGCTAGTAACTGAACACACACAGACACACACACACACACACATGCACACACAGTTTCAATCTGACTAGCTTCGGAGGCTAGTAACTGAACAGATGGGGGCTCAGAGGTTGTGGCAGAGCAGCTCTGCACCCGGGCCTCAGTTCTGCATCGTCATTTGAGCCGGGCAGAACAGTTTAGAGCCAGGGCCAAATTCTTAGCCAAAAGGGATGTACCCGCCAACGTTGGGTGGATATCATCCGGGCGGATGAGACCGGGCTTTCCCCAAAAGGCACTCCAATTGTCAACATGAACAACACCACTTCGAGGGCACCAGCCAGACAGCCAGCGGTTGAAAGCCAAGTGTCTGCTGAATGCTTCTGCACTGCTAGTGCTAGGTAGGGGCCCAGAGAAGATGACAGTGTCGGCCATTTGGCTAGTGCTAGGTAGGGGCCCAGAGAAGATGACGGTATCGGCCATTGTGCTAGCCAGCTTGCACACCGCGGCGACTTGCAGCTTCTGGGCGGCACGGTGGCTGAGTGGATAGCACTCTCGCCTCTCAGCAAGAAGGTCCTGGGTTCAAATCCCGGCCGGACCAGGGCCTTTCTGAGCACTCACTGGGTCACATGACACGCTGCAGCCATGTTAGATAGATAGATAGATAGATAGATAGATAGATAGATAGATAGATACTTTATTGATCCCTGTTGGAGAAATTAAGGTGTCCAGTAGCGTCAAAAATTAAAAATAAAATTGATCATTCTAAAAACATAACAATAGTAATAATCAGCAACAGCCGTTTAGGTCACAGCAGCAGAGGTGGAGTAGCCTCTGGGTGGAGCAGGACGTGTCACAGCAGCAGAGGTGGAGTAGCCTCTGGGTGGAGCAGGACAGGCCACAGCAGCAGAGGTGGAGTAGCCTCTGGGTGGAGCAGGACAGGCCACAGCAGCAGAGGTGGAGTAGCCTCTGGGTGGAGCAGGACGGGTCACAGCAGCAGAGGTGGAGTAGCCTCTGGGTGGAGCAGGACGGGTCACAGCAGCAGAGGTGGAGTAGCCTCTGGGTGGAGCAGGACGGGTCACAGCAGCAGAGGTGGAGTAGCCTCTGGGTGGAGCAGGACGGGTCACAGCAGCAGAGGTGGAGTAGCCTCTGGGTGGAGCAGGATGTCAAGCAAAGTCCTTTTTTTTAATTTTTTAATTTTTTTTTAACCTGAACCAGACATGTGCTCCACTCGGATCAGATTCAGATTCAGTTTATTTGCCATTTGCAGTAAAAAACCACATTGACATTCCAGATTGGCAGTACATGTTTGGTTCACGATTCGAGTGTCCGTGCACCAGCGCTGATTAATTAAAAAGCACACACCTCCACCTCTGGCCTTGCCCGTGGTCTCCTTCACTCTGTCCGCACGGTGAGCGGTGAATCCCGGGGGCTGAACAACAGAGTCCGGGACGTTCGAGTGGAGCCACGTCTCTCTGAGGCAGAACACAGCGCAGTCCCGGGCCTCGCGCTGGCTCTGGACCCGACACAGGAGCTCGTCCGTCTTGTTGGGCAGAGACTGGACGTTGGCCAGTAGATGGAGGGCAGAGCGGTCCTGGAGGAGCGGCTTCGAACGAGCATACCGCCTCGCCTTCCCCGGTGTCTGCGCCTCCTTCGCCGACTCGAGGTGCCCAGCTCCACACCGCGGAGAGAACGCCAGAGACGCCCAGTCCCCTCGCTCTGTTGGCGGCCACCGCCGCGGCCCGCCTGCCGTGCTCCGCCAGCCTCTCGAGTGTGACACTCGAGGAAGTTCGTGCACCTCAGTTCGGGTAAAACGAGTGACCCGTCACACGCAAGGTCCCGAATGTTAAGAAGCGCCTCTCGGACATACTTCATAGTGGCAAGTGACTCAAAGACAAACAGCAACAAAACACAGATTTTGCACACTAGAGCTCTCACTGCGGCGCCATGACACGGCACCATCTTGCGCCGTGTCAGATGGAAACAGTTATTGTTTGTGTTGTTTCTTATGTGTGTGCAGCGCCTGAAGAAGGACCTCTCCACTTTTGTCCAGGAGGAGCTGAAGAAGTTCCAAAGGCTTCTGAGCACAGATTACCCAGAATGCTTAGAGCCTGTGGAGGATGAGGAGCAGAGGAGCAGCAGTGAGGCGCTCCTGAAGATCACACTGAACTTCCTGAGGAGGATGGACCAGAAGGAGCTGGCTGAGCGTCTGTGGAGCAGTAAGAACACGTTCATGATGGTCATGTGATCTTCTCTGACTCTGTCTCTGTTGTCTTCATTCAGGGACTTATTCTGGACGTTCTCAGCGTAAACTGAAGGAGCATCTGCAGCAGAGGTTTGAGTGTGTGTTTGAGGGCATCGCTAAAGCAGGAGCCCCCACCCTCCTGAAGCAGATCTACACCGAGCTCTACATCACAGAGGGAGGCTCTTCAGAGGTCAACCAGGAACATGAGGTCCGACACATGGAAGCAGCCTCCAGGAGACCAGCAGAGAGAACCATCACATGTGAAGACATCTTTAAAGACCCGGCCCACTCAGACAAACCAATCAGAACGGTGCTGACAAAGGGCGTGGCTGGCATCGGGAAAACAGTGCTCACTCAGAAGTTCAGTCTGGACTGGGCTGAAGGCAAAGCCAACCAGGACCTCCAGCTGCTGTTCCCCTTCACTTTCAGAACTCTCAATGTTCTGAAGGACAGAAGCTTCAGCCTGGTGTCACTTGTTCATCACTTCTTTAGTCAAACACAAGCAGATCTCTGCAGCTTTGAAGACCTCCAGGTGCTCTTCATCTTTGACGGTCTGGACGAGTGCAGACTTCCTCTGGACTTCAGCAGCTCTCGTGTCCTCTCAGACCCCACAGAGTCCGTCTCTCTGGACCTGCTGCTGGTGAACCTCATCAGGGGGAGCCTGCTTCCCTCCGCTCGCCTCTGGATCACCACACGCCCCGCGGCGGCCAATCAGATCCCTGCAGAGTGCGTCTCCATGGTGACAGAGGTCCGAGGGTTCAGCGACTCTCAGAAGGAGCAGTACTTCAGGAGGAGGTTCGGAGAACAGGCCGACACAGTCCTCTCCCACATCAAGACGTCCAGAAGCCTCCACATCATGTGCCACATGCCAGTCTTCTGCTGGATCACTGCCACAGTCCTGGAGCATGTGTTGAAGAGCAGAGAGAGAGGAGAGCTGCCCAAGAGCCTGACGCAGATGTACAGCCACTTCCTGGTGGTTCAGGCCAAAGTCAAGAACATCAAGTATAAAGAAGGATCAGAGACAGACCCACACTGGAGTCCAGACACCAGGAAGATGGTGGAGTCTCTGGGAAAACTGGCCTTTGAGCAGCTGCAGAGAGGAAACCTGATCTTCTACGACTGTGACCTGAGCGAGTGTGGGCTGGTCGCTGCAGCCGCCTCAGTGTACTCCGGAGTCTTCACACAGGTCTTTAGAGAGGAGCCAGGCCTGTACCAGGACACGGTCTACTGCTTCATCCATCTGAGTGTGCAGGAGTTTCTGGCTGCTCTTCACGTCCATCAGACCTTCATCAAGACTGGAATTAATCTGCTGGTAGAGAGAAAGTCCATAATGTCCACGATAAAACATCGCGTCACTGAAAAAGATCTACTACAATTCTTCCAGACAGCTGTGGACCAGGCCTTACTGAGTCCAAACGGACACCTGGACCTGCTCCTCCGCTTCCTCCTGGGCCTTTCAGTGTCGACCAATCAGAGCCTTCTAAACGGTCTGCTGACACAGACAGGAAGTAGCTCCCAGACCAATCAGAAGACAGCAGAGTACATAAAGAAGAAGCTGAGTGAGGATGTGTCTGCAGAGAGGAGCATCAGTCTGCTCCACTGTCTGAATGAACTGAATGATTCTTCTCTGGTGGAGCAGATCCAACAGACCCTGAGGTCAGGACGTCTGTCTGAAGGACTGTCTCCTGCTCAGTGGTCAGCTCTGGCCTTCATCTTACTGTCATCAGAAGAAGATCTGGACCAGTTTGAGCTGAGCAAATACTATGCTTCAGAGGAGGCTCTCCTGAGGCTGCTGCCAGTGGTCAAGGCCTCCACCAAAGCTCTGTGAGTAACCTTTGTTTAACACAGGATTCATTCAACTTCTACATAACCATGTTTTCTGTCTCCAGACTGAGCTGCTGTGAGCTGTCAGACAGAAGCTGTGGAGCTCTGGCCTCAGTCCTCAGCTCCCAGTCCTCTAGTCTGAGAGTCCTGGACCTGAGTCTGAACGACTTGAAGGACTCAGGGCTGAAGCTGTTGTCTGATGGACTGAAGAGTCCTCACTGTAAACTGGAGACGCTCAGGTCAGAGGGTTCATATGATTCAATCTGAAGAGACCAAGACAAACACGTTAATGCATTTAGAAAGACTTGTTGTTTGCCACATTGACCCCGGCAGTGGCACTTGCAGAGGGGAGATCATTTGCTGCTGAAGATGATCTCAGATCCCCAAAGAGAAAACTGAGCTTGACGAGTCCAGCTCGATGTGGGTTTGTGTGTGCCGGGAATACACAAAACACCTGTTGGTAGTCACCTGGCGTGGATACGCAGGGACGCTTAGGCTGCTGCAGTGAGTGAGTTTATGAAGCGTAAGCAGCAGAGAAATAGACACTCTGTAGTGAAACATGCACATATGAAGAGAATAATGCAGGGAATATGCAGGGATGCGTCACCGTGGCTCTGTAGTGAACATGCGTGTATGAAGCGTAGGCCTTGGGGATGTGCAGAGATGCTTCTCAGGCGCAGGCCGCTTCGTGAGGTGCGTGTATGAAGCGTAGGCCTTGGGGATGTGCAGAGATGCTTCTCAGGCGCAGGCCGCTTCGTGAGGTGCGTGTATGAAGCGTAGGCCTTGGGGATGTGCAGAGATGCTTCTCAGGCGCAGGCCGCTTCGTGAGGTGCGTGTATGAAGCGTAGGCCTTGGGGATGTGCAGAGATGCTTCTCAGGCGCAGGCCGCTTCGTGAGGTGCGTGTATGAAGCGTAGGCCTTGGGGATGTGCAGAGATGCTTCTCAGGCGCAGGCCGCTTCGTGAGGTGCGTGTATGAAGCGTAGGCCGCAGAGGGTATGCAGGGATGTGTCACCGGCAAAGAGCAGCTGCTGTGAGAGTGAATGTATGAAGCGTAGGACACAGAGAGTCTATGAATGTCAGGAATGCAGTGTGACAGACATTATGAATGCTAACGTGGGAGAAGAGCATTAGCCACCACCAGAGTATTTGATGATTAATTACCTCAGATTGAAGAGAGGGAGCGCTGAGCAGACAGTACAGAGTCAGTGTTTGGTCTGATATAGGATGAGGCAGGACCAGCCGAGGCAGGACCAGCTGAGGAGGACCAGCGGAGGAGGACCAGCGACCCATTTGCTGAAGGGAAGAGTAAGGAAAGCCCAGCAGGCTGCCGTGCGGCGCCTATTCTGAACGAGCGTCCGGTATCGTAGAGGAGAGAGGTTGCAGGAGACCGGCCGGAATTTAAGATGGGCTCGAACATGGGCTCAACATGATATTGTTGCGTAGGTTTCCTCCGGGTACTCCGGTTTCCCCTACCACTAAAAATATGTACAATAGGTCTGGCATGCGCCTCCTGTTCGGCGATCCCGCTCCCATCTCTGTGTGGAGTGAGAGGACAAGTGCCCAAAAAATAACAATTGTAAACCGCTTTGTGACTCTGGTCTGTGAAAGGCGGTATATAAATAAAGCTTACTTACTTACTTACTTACTTGTTTGAGAGAGAAAGAGCGGGCCGTCTGAATCTCCTCTCTGAGCACGGAACAGAGTGCATTTCATCAGGTGTTTATCTGGACAGGGCAAATAAGAGAATGCACAATGACAATGTTACGGCACCTTCCTTTTGGAGTGTTTAAGGTGCAGATTATAGTGATCGGGTAATAATTAGTCCTTGGGGTCTATTGTCAAAAAAATGACGGACGTGTCTCTGAATTTGGTACAGAAATAAGACAAGATTCAAGAGTTAAATATAAAACAATATTTAATTCTCTTTACAATACAAAACTCTCTGAGCTCTGTTTCCCAACCTAACCCTATGAGCTGAGCCATTGTACCTCTCCCTCCAGGCCTGTAAATGTACTGAGAGGACATCCAGACGCTCTGCCATGTCCTCTCTCTGTCCCTGCTCAGACTGCTCACAAAATGTCCTACCAACAGTTTTATGAAAATGTCCGATGACGTCATATGGTGAGACCGACTGAGGCCCTGGTCTGGGTCTGGTCTAGTCCGGTTTTGGGTCTCAGGCCTTGTCCCGATAAGAGAGGCATGTTGTTCCTAAAATGATACTTATATCACAGAAACCAACATTGTCCTTGAATATTCCCTGAATTCACTAAACTCAGGCTAAACATTAAACAAAGGCTTTTTATGCAAACACCTAATGATTATCATTAGTATAAAACATTTTATGGAGACATTTTGTCATGGTTTAAGTTTATTTCCTGTTTTATTTTGAAATGTGTTATTCCTGTGTCTTCTTTGGTTGTACTTCCTGTTGTCTGATTACCAGCCCTGCCCTCATCTGTCTCACCTGTGTCTCGTTAGTCTTGTATTTAGCCCTGTGTGTTCCTTCACTCCCTGTTCCGTCATTGTCATTCCTAGTCTGTTTTAGTTCTGTCCGTTCCCTGTGTTTTTGGTAGGTCTTGATTTGTATTACTTTCATTAAATCCGTCATTTTGCAGTTTTTGCCTTTTGGGCCTCATTTGTTTTTCACCTACGTGACACATTTCTGAAATCTACATCAGGTCCTATTATTCCAGGGATTCATTAAACTTCTACATAACCATGTTTTCTGTCTCCAGACTGAGCCGCTGTGAGCTGTCAGACAGAAGCTGTGGAGCTCTGGCCTCAGTCCTCAGCTCCCAGTCCTCTAGTCTGAGAGTCCTGGACCTGAGTCACAACGACTTGAAGGACTCAGGGCTGAAGCTGTTGTCTGATGGACTGAAGAGTCCTCACTGTAAACTGGAGACGCTCAGGTCAGAGGGTTCATATGATTCACTGTTCTTACAGAACCTGTTGGTCATTGTTTTGGACAATACCAGTGGACAAAGACAGTTAAAGATAAAGGATTGTTCTGTGTCTCATTTGGGTTGAATGTTAGTCATGAACTGAGTGATTACAATAATGTGTGTGTTCAGTCTGTCAGCTTGTTCGGTGTCAGAGGAAGGCTGTGCTTCTCTGGCCTCAGCTCTGAGGTCCAACCCCTCCCATCTGAGAGTCCTGGACCTGAGCTACAACCATCCAGGAGACACAGGAGTAAAGCTGCTGTCTGCTCTGCTGGAGGACCCCCACTGCACCCTGCACACTCTCAGGTATGGTCTGTAAGGACAGAAGAGACATGTGACATCACACATCAAAGAATACATGGCCTTAGTGTGACAGATGTTTTAACGAGATTTAATGTGTTTCAGACTGGAGCATTCTGGAGCTCAGAGGTTAACTCCAGGACCCAGAAAGTGTGAGTGTTGAAGTGACTTCATTAAAAGGTTCATTCTCCTGGAGCTCACTGCTTATGGAGCTGAGTTTGGGGAAAATGGAAAAGGACAAACTAGAGATGAAGCTTAACCCTTTAAGCGCCAAAGCAACATTGCTCCTTTAAACAGGCTGTATCTTTAAATATGGTGTTGAATCTTGTTCATACTTTTGACCAGGAGATGGCAGACATGTGTGCCTGTAATATGAGCAGCATTTGTGGGCGTGGTTTTATGAAAAGTTTTTGAGTAATATGAGTTTGTGTGACAGCCTTCGGCGCACTTACGCGGAGGCAGAGAAGTGGCAGTAGTGCAGAGCGTAGCGAGAGCAGAACATAGAGAAAGAGTGTTTTTTCATTCATTCACGATGAAGAGAGGTTGTTTTACCGTTGATGAAGTACTTGGTCAGGTGCTAGCTGACTCAGATTCAGAGGAGGAGGACACGGAGTTGTCCAGTGAAGCAGAAAGTAACATGAGTAGTGACGGTCCTCGCGTCATAGTCCACAGTCTGCCCACAGTATAGAGGATACTTCACCTCAACGTGGCCGGGGGGGGGGGCATTCAGCAAACACTGAGCAGGGGACGTGGTCGTGGGGGCATGGGTGAATGTAGTGGGGAGAGTGGAAACCACCGCGGTTGTCGTGGTAGACAAGGGACAAGCCGCGGGGGAAAAACACCGCTAATGGCGTTCCCAGACCAGCGGTGGTGACGATGATGAGGATGGCTGGCAGCTCTTGAGAGTAGATGAAGATTATCAAAAGTGGATCAGAGATTTTGAAGAGCCTGTTGGTTATTGTGGAGATAATATGACAAATTCTGAGCCCATTGATTTCATTTCTCTGTTTCTCAATGACACATTCTGAAGCCTCATTTCCACTGAAACAAGTAGATATGTCCACCAGTTTTTTGAAAGAGAAACCTTGAAACCAAACTCTAGATTTCATGAATGGTATGATGTGACTGTCCCTGAAATGAAAGCTTTCATCTCACTTCACTTGTGCATGGGGCTTGTTGAAAAAGGCAGGTTTTTGGCCAACTTCCACTCCTGGCTTTGGCAAAGTGATGGTGAGAAACAGATTTGAAATCATTCTTTCTTTCCTTCACTTTGTAAATAATGAGGACCGCATTGAAAGGGGCCGGGTCATGATAGACTTTTCAAAGTGCGTCCTATAATTGCATTGATCATTCCCCGTTTTGCCGCTGTGTATGGTCCATCGAAGGAACCTTCCTTGGAGGAAATGACAATGGCATTCAGGGGAAGGTCAACATTGAAATTGTACAACCCTAAAAAACCTGATAAATATGGCTACAAAGCATTTGTCTTGAGTGAGGCCAGCTCAGGTTATGTAATAGAGTGGTGCCTCTACAGTGGCAAAAATACAACTGATGAGGACCATTTAGGGGCAACACATCATATTGTCCGTCAGCTGCTTGCCCCGCACACTGGGAAAGGGCAGAGGTGTACATGGACAGCTGCTACACATCACCAGCCTTAGCTATTGAGTTAGCCGCTAAAGACAGCGGACTGTGTGGGACAGTGAACTACAACAGAAGAGGGATGCCAAAGGGGCTGAAACCAGCTGCCTCTGAGAAGGCCAGACCCAGTGTTCATGCGTCATGATAAACTGCTGGCTTGTGCTTGGCATGACACAAACCATCTCACGCTGCTGTCCACCAATCATGGCAGGGCTTTGACTTTTGCACAAAAAACACATTCCAAATGTGTTTGTTTATTCATTTCAATATTCAAACATATTTGAATATTTAATCCAAATATATTGAGTATTAAATGCCTTCAGTGAGACCTAACGTATGGCATCAAACTGAAGTTGTATGTTTTGTCCAACAGAGGGCACTGCAGAGTACTGTAAATCAAAGTCAATAAGCAGGCAGCAATGTTTTCATTTTTTTAATTGAAGATTAAAAACTTTAGCGTATGCATTTGGCTTCAATAAAATCAATATAAATAAGCCATCGACTTAACTGAAAAGACAAAGTAAAGGCCTAGAAACAACACAAACACTTCCTACCATTTCATTAACATTCTGCTGCTGCTTATTTCTCTGCTCACTTTTTTAAGTTATTTACCAAAAATACAAGTCTATGAACATTTTCTGGCTGTAGTGAAGAACGTTGCTTTGTAACGATGTTCCCCGCTGTGGAAAACACTGGGATCTCACAGACGTCCGGCATATTGCCAGGTAGCCGCGTGCCAGCTGGGCCAGATGTGGATACTTAAAGCCTCCTTCCACCAGTGCAGGGGGTTGCTGTCAGATGGGGGCGGGGTCTCACTGTCGTACGTCAATATTTCTCTTAGTACATCGTCATTCAGTCTAGCTGTTCCAAATAAATTAGTTTTTGTTAGTATTTTGTTTTCAATAAATAAATAAAAATGTTGTATTGATAAAACAATGGTCCGGCTGCTTCTGCCATGTTGTGGCAGTAAACATCACCAAAGAGGTCTCCCATGGCACTAAGAGCATTATTTGTGTAGCTGCTGTGTCTCTGTGGCGTTCACATCCTCTGCACCTGTCTCCTGCTGAGGTCTACAAGCTCCCTCTGAACCCTATCTCGCACCGCCTGCCGCCACTCTTCATCCAAACACACGAGCCGCTGAAAACACGGGTCCAAGTAGCTGGCTGTGTTCAGAAGCAAGAATGCATCTTTGTTGGGCCCGTATCGCGCCTTCAGATTAGCTGACATCATTTGTTTCATCTCTTTTAGTCCTGCCGGGTCATCAGTGGAGGGCTTTAGTTGTGTCAGAAGCACATACTGCAGGGGAAGGACCTGATGCTGTTGGGAAGTCTTCCATTGACAGCGCCTGAGTGGCTACTTTGAATGGTTTCAGCACGTCTTTCACCTGCGGGACAACACACAATGTATCTAACCGTGTGTGACTCTCTTCTCTACTCTTAAATAGAAAAAATAGACCAGTAAATCAGCGCGAAAACAAACAAAATGTAGGCTCTTGCAGCGTTATAGGGTTGCTGCAGTCGCTGACCGCTAGGCCAGGAGGTAGACTATAAATAGGTTATTCAGAAATCCCTTGTTTTATTTTAGAACATTATTGGTTTAAATGAAAACAAACATTTAGGCTACTAAAAAAATGGCTTGAAATGGCTGTGTCTTAGTTTATGAACATTTTTACTAACCGCTATGAGGAGCTGACAGGCCATTCCACTTGAGGTTGCACAAAACAAAAACTTAGTTTATACGCGTTATTTGCGTGTTATTGCATTAGTAAGCAGCAAGCTAATTTTAACATTAGGGGTATAATATAATGAGACCACCCAACATCATCAGCCAACGGTAGGTTACTGACCTTCTCCATTAGGGTCCACTCGACACTGCTGAGCTCCAGGGAGCTGACTTTCTTTTCCATTATCACTGCTGCAACAGGGGCTTGTTGATCAGCTGCCCCACAGATCATGTGGTAGGTACTGTTCCAGCGAGTGGGGCAGTCATTGATGAGCTGAACTGGTTTGAGACCAAGGAGCTTCTGTTTGGACTCCAGGAGATAGCTGTCTGTAGGGGAGTGTTTGAAATGTTGAGCAGCAGCCTTTAGGCGGCTGACTGCTGTTGCTACAGAACGCTCTGAAAGCCCTTTTCTGACTGCCAGGTTAATAGTATGGGCCATGCATGGGATATCCGTGATCGCTAAATGCTTCTCCACCGCATTAACATAGTTAAGTGCGTTATCAGTTGTGATTGCAAGCACCAACTCCCGCTCCACTTTGTATTCTTCTAAAATATTGTTGATGCAGGTGGAGACTTTTGCAGCTGTGTGCGCTGTTTGAAGCTCAGATGTGTCAAGTACAACATTTTTCATCTCCCAATCTTCACTGATGGTGCTGTAACGGTCACGTACGACTCCGTGGCCAAAGAGCTCCACCCATCAGTGGTCAATGATAGCTTTTCTCCACGCAGCATTTCTTTCATTTGGCCTTTGGTTGTGTCGTACAGCTTGGTTATTTTATCACCGATTGTCCGGGGGCAGAGGAACTTGAATCGTGGCTGTAGCTCCTGAATGAATGCCTGAAATCCGCTCCCATATATAATATTAATGGGCCTCATATCCTGACAAATAAATGGGGTCAGCAAATCAGTTGCTTTGTTTTGTCGGGCATTTGGTAATCCTCGTGCATTTGGCAGCATGGAGTCGATTTTTGTCTGCCTCGGCTCCAGCGCTGACCCCTGACCCCCCTCTCCCTCCTCCAGCTTGCCGGGATGGAGAGTTGGTGAGCTCTCAGGTTGCTCGTCCACGTGTGAAAATTTAAATCTAAATCTATAATTAATGTTCAAGCATATCATAAAAAAGCCCATTACAGCTTCGAATATTAAGGAATGTCTATATTTGTTCGAATATATATATATACTTTATTGTCTAAAAAAACCTTTGGCCGTGTGTCAAAACTTGATGCAGAAAACAAGACAAAGATTTCCAAGTTAAACATCTGTATTTAATTTATCTTTACAATCAGATACAGAAACTCAAAAAAAGCTCCTTATCCTAACTATTTCTGCTCTCTTTACTTTGGACTCACCCTATCTGACTGAACTAAAACATCAGGCTAAATCATATAAGTAATAATGTGCAGAAGGGGCGTGTCGTATCAGCCAGTTCCTGGTCCCGGTCCGGACTCTGCATCAGGTCTGGCCTTTGTCTGGTTTCTCCTCCGCATCTCTCCATTCCACACCTAAAAAGGGATTCACACTTCCAACCTATAGATTTATTCCTTCCTTGAGATAAGGAAGAAATCTCAAGGCTGCTGTCACTGGTCTGGCATCAATCTCCTCCTCTAAAGAACTCCCTTATTAGTCCAACAGCCCGCTTCATAAAGAACAAACCTATGAGCAGAAACCTCAAACAACACTGACAACAGAGTGTAAAAGTGTTAGACATGAAATCACGTGTGCTGCATTTCTGAGATATGCATCAACATATATATTTAATATTCTAAATATAATGGAATATCGAGTTTGGAAGTCAATACAGGACAAAGGATAATGTGACAGGGTTTCGTCACATTATGAAACCAGTGTGTGGACAGTTCCAACTCCTTTATGGGAGGAGCTGATACAGCGGATCAACGACTGAAAACAGACTTGTTTCCACACAGATCTAGAAAATGGTACAACCGTATTTTTGATGCGGTTCTGAGCATCAGTGTGGTCAATGCACACATCATTTATTCACGCTGTAGTCCTGGTCCACACAACCCACTGAAGGCCTTTATTCAGGACATTATAACATCTGGGCTTGAGGGCTTCTCCAAAAGGAAAAGACTAAAGGAGGACGTCCTTCAATGGAGCAGGGAGAAATGCCACAGAGGCTCACTGAACGTCACTGGCTCTGCAACACAGAGGAACGTCCAGTGTGTTCAGATCGCACCCGCCCAAAAAGCTGTAGACAAACACAATACAGGTGCAGTCAGTGTGGAGTAGTGCCTTGGAATGAAAGATCCCACACACACAAAAACTATAAGGATCATCTTGATCAGTGAAGGTCTTTGAAAATACATTCCCATATGGCCGCTTACCAGCACTAAAAGATTACACAAAATGGATCTGTGAATTTATATATATCCCAAATTCTTTCATAAATGTTGTTTCATACTCACATTGACTTTTTACAGTGTTCCCTTTTATCAAACCGCTCTCAAACTACAGCGTTTAAAAACAATGTTCCATTTACATTTTCCAATATGGCCGCCACCTTGTGATGTCACAATATGCAAATTAGACGACGAATCGACTTCCATCCCAAACTTTGGTTCATATTGAAGATATTTCTCATTCACAGTTTGCCTTTATCTCAAACCACTTTAAAGTCATAAGATTACAGTTATTGATCATAATCGTGATCTCCCTGGTGGAGAGAGCTCACCTCCAGATTAGACTTTTAAGGCACAGGTCTAGCAGGGTTTCCGCCAGGAATTTATTTGAGGGGCGGACTGCGCGGGGGCGTTGTCGAGGTCCGATGACCCGGAAAAAAGAAATTCACACACGTTTATTCCAGTGATTTTTGTTGATACTTTAATAAAAATCACCGGACATGTGTGCCTTTGTGTGCCTTTAATATGAGCAGCCTTCGTGGGTATGGTTATATCAAAGTATTAGCATAAAATGAGTTTGTAAAACACCTGCGGCGAAGCAGGAGCCAGAGCAGAGCCAGAGCAGAGCCAGAGCCAGAGCAGAGCCAGAGCCAGAGCAGAGCCAGAGCCAGAGCAGAGCCAGAGCAGAGCCAGAGCCAGAGCAGAGCCAGAGCAGAGCCAGAGC